GACTAGAAAGTAAAATTTTGTATAGATACAGTGGTACTGGACTGTTAACGGGGGGAGATTTTTTCCAGTAATTCCGTACAGCCCTATAGCGAAATACAGGCCATTGTTATCGAATTTTAGTCAGTTTTTAGATATAAAAGTTATAAAAAATATGAAATTTTCGCAACAAAAATGTATGAAAGTGAAAAAAGAAACAAGCAAAAAAATTCCTTATTGGAATCAAAATGTTTAAAAACTATAAAAATAGATTTAAGTGCTTTTAGACGTTTTTGACGAGTTTTGCACCCACGAAAAATAGCTCAACTGGTGGAAAAACAAAAAGTGATTCCCCCGCTAAGAGGTCAGTACCGATACAGTAACCGGCAACGCGGGGATCGTTGACTAGTGAGAGGATAAAAATAGAGGCAAAAATTAGGTAAGCTTCGTCTTCATAATTTTCTACGAATTTCCGTGTAGCAGGGGTTGACTGTCGCCGGCCGACGCCTCCGCGGGCCCCTCCTTCAGCGCGCCGCCCGAGATCGCGTAGCACCAATCTGGAATTTCATTCAACGGGTTATTGCAATTTTTTGATACTGTTTCATCGTGGCTATTTTTGCAGATAATCTACGGTGAACAGGGGCGCAACATCGATACCGGAAATAGGGCTTGTTTTCCAATTTCCGTGGCTAATAGGAAAGAAGGTGGATGAACAGGTGAAGTTGTGCTATTTCTGGGAGTTCTGGAGCTCGACTTTCGCAATTAACGCTACAGTATTATTCTGGAAGCTTTAGTAAATTGTAGAAATTTCTTTTATATTTAAAGAAAGTATCTAAACTATTTTTAATAATCTAAAACGTAAAAACTGCATGGTTTTGGCCCTAAAATATCGATTTTTCGACTAAAAATGGCTGATTTTGGAACAAAATTGCAAGTGTCTAAACAGTTAAATATTCATTATTTATTGAATTTAAGTGTTAGAGTATTAATGAATTTTAAAAATAAAATAAATGTAAAAACTTCATTGTTTTGATCCTAAATTATCGATTTTTTGACGCAAACGGACTGTTTTTCGGGAAACATTTCATCTTTTTAAACATTTAAAAAGTTTTCTTAGTGATGATACTAAATTCTTAAAGGATTGATTCGTTAAAATTAAAATAAACTTCTCTGAACATTTTTCTACGCCCAATTCACGCTCAGATTCTCCCGGGAATGCCCAAAGATCACACCACGCCCCACCCCGAATTCATCAGCTTTTCTTCTGCGTGAGGCGGCTTTGGCCCCTTGCCCCGCAACATTCTGGAATGGCCCCCAAAAAACCCCCATTTCCCTAATCAAATGCCGCCCCTAAAAAGTCATACATCCCGGACCAGCCCCCCCCCGACCCGCCCGCCGCAACACCACCCGAATTGGGGGTAATTCGATGAACGGCACTTGGGGCGGCTGAATGGAAATACTAACGCTGCCAGACCCCAGCCAACTTTTGCCCCCCCCCCGCTGACAAACAAACAATTGGCTAATAGGGTGATGGCTTAGAGGGCAAATGTTCCGGTGAAGCCCCGGGCATTTTCTAGCGGAATGTCAAAATGTATTGATATCGAAATTTCATAATGTCGAATTTTTATAATATCGAAATTCACAGTGTCGACCGTGCAAAATGCCGAAAATCGTAATGTCGAATTTCAAAATGCCAACATTCATACTTTCGTAATGTCACAATATCGAAATTTCGTGCTGTCGAAATTTGCTATGCCGAAATTCATAACGTCGAAAGTTCAAAATGCCGACATCCATAATGCCGAAACTTCAGTGTCGATATTTTTGCCATAATTTGGGGGACCTTCCCGGAGATTTTTTCAAGGAAATTTCAGTTTTTATTAAATTCTTTTGGGAGATTTGCTCAAGGAGATTTTTTTAAAATTTCGATAGCATAAATTTCGGCATTATGAAGGAGAAGCGGACGCGATGAATCGAAATTGCAGATTTCTTTTTGCTGTTTTCTTGTCTTTTCTTCTACTGCGCGGCATAGATAATTTTTCTCAGGTTTTTCGTATAAAAAGGCTCGATACTTCTCTATTTTTCATTTTTTGTAGTTTCTGCCTTAAAAAAATCGAAATCCCGACGTAAAGATTGAAAAGCTGCCCCCGGGTTCCTTAAACCGCGCCCCCGCCCCCCGTAATCCACCTAGGCCGTCAAATGTCATTCAAGACAAGGCGGGTTGTTTTTCCCGACCGGGCTTTTTCCGCTTAAGCGATTAGCGGCGGCGGATCAGTGATGACTCACATTTCATAATTCCATCTGTCTTTGGTAACGCGTCGGCCGCATTTTTGGGCCACGGAAACCCTAGGCAAATCAGTGTCTTTATGGCTGATTGTCTGGCTTGCCATGTCGTTTTTTCGGCCGACATTTTCGGGGCGTTCAGCACGATTCCGGGGGCTAGGCAGGCGTCTCTTTTTTCACCTCAAAGCCGGGACGGCCGGGAGCCAATAAACGCCAGGCCAGGATTCCGTCACATGGCGTCGAGCGGAACGGGTATTTCGGCCCGATTCAGGGGCCCGGAAGCGACTTCCCAAAATCTTGGTTCTGGTGCGTTAGCGGGGGGAGGGGGTGCGTATCTTCTTTTTATTTAGCCTAACTACATAGTACTCAAACGAAACACTATTTTTGTACTGTTTCTAGTCGTTGGAATTGGAAAACGTGTACCCCCCGCTAATGAACCAGAGCCTTTCCCAAGCCACGCTTCTCACGCGCCGTGAAAATATTTGAACCTCTTTGTTCATCCACCCCCTAAATAACCCATCTCCTTATATTTACTAGGCACATGGTTCCGCGTCCCCCCCCCATTCAATTGTAGCGGCGCGTCCGTAATTAGGCGCCAAGCGGAAATCTATCATACGCGCCGACGTAGATTCGCCACGAGTTATTTGTCACACCCCCCCTTCGTTCCGCTCAAAACACGGCCTATCGTTTCGCGCTTTTCTCGAGAAATCGCTTCGAATATCGTCGCTTGTGTTTCGCTGAAAGCGGGGGATTCTATTCATTTTAATGGGGATCAAAGACAAACATTTTTTTCGATGGAAAGAAGCCGCATTTTTTCGGTTTCTCCGGTCTTGTGCTCCCGCCCAACGGATTAAGCCATTCATTCACAGGATCTGTATCGGGCAGAGTTCAAATGTGGGTTATTTGAGGGTTCTGGTTCGTTATCGGGGGGGGGACTAACTTCCTTTATTCAGCTTCAGCTCCATTTTTATTTGTCGTGCTCCACTTCAGCTCCTTGCAACTTTTTTCTTCGGATTCAGTTTTCAAATATAAATTGCGGAAGTGTTTCTAAACTTTCTGATTCCTAAACGTAAAAATTTGACAAATTCTTATGAAAAATATTGAAGAAATATCGATTTTCGACCAAACATGGCCGATTTTTTACCAAAATTTCGAGTTTTTCAAACCTTTTTTAGTTTTTATATAGTTTGTAGCTGTCAAATAATGATTAAAAGCACCAATGAAAATACCTGATATTAGGTTACTAGGCATTCTAGACTAATACAAAAAGGCACTTATCGCGTAGCCCCTCCCCCCTAACAAAGAAGCACCTATTCAGTATTGTTCCGGGGGTTTGGATACTCGCTACCGTGCTTTTTTTGGGCAATTTCCGCGGCTGTACGCTGGACGACCGCGGTGTGTTTGGCTGCGCGCCAATTCCCGGGCGATTGTGGCCCATCAGACGGGCCGAAATGTCAATAGAATAATGGCCCGAAAACGACCCCGGTTGATTGGGTGATCATTCTGGGGGCTTGGTGTGTCACCCGGGTCGTTGACATGCGCGCTACTACGTAAAAATTCCCCTTTATTCTCATTTTCTAATGTTCTATCCTTTCTTATCGCCGACAAATACCGAAAAATCCAAAACTTTTCCAGAAATGCGCGCCGAGCTACAGCTACTAAAGGGATGGCTTTTGTACGCCATGCTCCAATGGACAGACGCGTTGCTGTGCTACGATTCGTCATTTCCTAGTCCACACTCGACACATGAGTGTTCGGATGGAATGGTCAGTACTAGCGAAAAGTAAAAAATAGGTTCTTTCGCATTATCGGGGGTGGGGCAACTTTTTTCCACGTCGAGAAATGCCTAGTAACGAAACAGTAAGTGTTTCGCTACTATTTTTAGCAAAACTTAACGATATTTTCAGTTAAATCAAAGGATACCTTAAAAATTTTTCACATTTTTCTCAAAAATCGGACATTTTGGTTCGAAAAATCTATATTTTTTTATAATTAAGTTTTAAAAATCGATACTTAGAAAATAGTTGCCCCCCGATAATGCGAAAGAACCAAAACTTAACTTGTCACCAGGCTAAAGTTACGTTAATTATTCTAGGTGTGCTACCAAGAGTACTACGCGATAGCCCAGGGCAACGACCGGGTCGACCAGTATTTCGAGCGCTTCTGCGTGGCTAGGCGCGAATGTCGGATGCGCGGCTTCCACGGCGTGTGCACCAACTTTGACTCGTTCGATCCGGCCATCAAGGTACAGTTTTTGCACTTGTTATACTGCTAGATTTTAGAAACAACTTTACTAGTATAACTTAGAAGAAAAAAAATTAAACCTCCCATTACAGGATACCTTTGAAAAGTATCGCCTCCACAACAAAGGCGTCAATCGGACAGCGCTCGCCTTTTCAAAGTAAGTTAAAAAATATAAAACTGATAGGAAAGAAAAGAGTAAAGCAAACAATTCCTTAAAAGAACCCAAACACATTCAGATTCTGCTGCTGCGACACGCCCCTATGCAATTCGTTCGATGCCGGCGCGGCTGAACGAGAATTTCAGCTGACGGCCAGTGGCGCGATCAAATCCCAGATTTTCGGAATAACACTACTTTTCGCCGCTCTTCGATGGCTTCTCTAATTAATCGAACTTAAAGTGACTTTCCTATACCTTCTTAGATATTTATGAAAGCCCCCCTCCAAATTGAAGCCATCATAGACAAAAATCTCCAAAATTCTCAGTTTCCCCGGCCACTACTCACCAACCACAAACGGGTGCTCGTATTGTATTAAAATTGTATCGATTTTTGGCATATGCTTTTGAGAATAAATTAAATACATGTATCTGCCTTTGGGCCCACCTTGTTGCAGGAATTGTGTATCTCCCAGCTCCCGCAGCCGCTCAAGCAGCTCCCAGAGTTGGCAGGTTTTCTGAAATGTATGATGGACTCCTTAAAATTTCAAAATTTCAAGCCGTATTTAATTTTTTGTCTGATAATTCTGATCTTAGATATCGCTAATTCTATAAAAACGCTATTAAATACTATTCCAAAGCATATACAAATTTTCGTTGAAAAATCTAAAAAATTTTCGAATAAGTTGGGCAGTTTTACACTTTGGATACCGTAAATTTGATAAACCACGGATAAAATACTTGCGATTAATAAAACCCGGGCGTACATAAAAATCCCCTCCCCCGCTAACGCGCAAGAACCAGCTCGTACAGTATCCCATAAAGCTCACCTGGTGCAGATAGCGCTGCTTCAACTGATTTTCGGCCTCGGCGCGCGCCAGGAGATCCTTTTCCGTTTCTTTCCTATAATTTTTCAATTCAGAAATATCAGCTAGGGTCATACCCAGTGTATGACGGGCTGGGATTATGCGCATTTACGGGGGCCTTGCTGACGACGCTCTTCATCAGTCCCCGCCTATAGCCCTTCTGCTCGATTCCGGCCGGATTTCGGACGAGTTCGACCATCTAAAAAGAGCTTTTAAACTTTTAAATCTGTAATCTTCACTCTGCAATCATTTTTATGGCAAACATGCTTTTTCTTGTAATTTTATGAATGTGGGACAGGAGAGTTAGGGTAAGTTTTTTGTGGTGCTTCCGTATTAACAGGGGGAGGGGGAACTACGTTTTCAATTTTTGAAAATGGTAATATAATATACCGCAAAAATACATTTTTTTTAAAGAATTTATATATTGTTATTAATTTTCGTCCAAAAACCGTATAAAATGTTATAAAAGTAGTATGTTTCATCTAAGAGTCGGAACGGACCCCCCCCGCGAACACGCAAGCACCGTTTTTTTGTTATCTTCAATCCAACATATATTTTGGTATACCGAGAGATGCAGGGTCCGTGCCTGGAATCAGGGTAACTAGGGTATTTCAAAAAGAAAGGCACCGCCTTAAAAGCGGGATAATCTTTCAAAAAGACCTTTGGCACGAATACGAGGCACAGCGTCAACGCCGTGGACACCACCACGAATAACGACGTCATGGCGAAGGATTCGTTTACTCGTTCCTGAAACATAATCATGCCTAAAATGGTAGTACTAACGAACCTGTAAAATAAAGGCAATCGATACGCCGAGCGTGCTCATCACCACCACGATGTAGACGGACATTCCGATGTATCTAAAATTGACAAAAATTTTTTCAAAAACAAATAGACCAACTTGCTGTCGTTCAATGCCGGAACATTGACGTGACGCGTTTCCCAGGCTAGGAAACAGCCAAGCATCTGAAATGTATGGTTGTATGAAGCAACTAATGGTACTGGACTGTTAGCGGGGGGCGGCTAAAGCTAATTTTTCGAGTTTACCGACCTGTCCATCATATATAACGTATTTTTATCGTGTTTTAGTAGTTTTTTTATTTCATAAAATTATATAACAACATTTAAAAATCCACATTTCTATGCTCTTTTTAAATTTATTTAATCGTTTTACACAGTGTAAGATATAGAAAAATGGCTGTTCCCAAATTAACGCTGGTAATTAGCCAAATTTAATTTTAACCAAATACCATTAAGACGCCCTTCACCGCGAAAAGTATCGCCTGGAAGACGAGGGAATTTCGCGAGTCGCAGTATTCCAGCTTCGGCTCAATCTCCACGTTGTTTTGTTGCTAAATATAGGGGTTCAGGCATTATGATATTGTCGCTTGCATAGGTAGGGAGATCCTTGACTTTAAGAGAGAATGGGGATAAGAACGCCCACAGAGACAGCACGAGCACGTCAATTAGCAGAAGACCGCCCACCATCAAAAGGAGACGGGAATCCTGTAAGAAAAACGGTATAATTGAACGGTACCATTTTATAGACTCAAAAATTCGTTGTTCCTAAATTACCTTAATCGCCTTCTTGTCCATGCGAATATTCGTAAAAATCGAGTGCACGCGCCACGTCTTTGCGAACATGGCCCCGAAGGCCAGGGTGAAGCCAAGGCAGAGCGTCCAGGTTTTGGCCTATAATAATACTAAATGCGTGTTTAGAGGAGCCTTACGTAGCACATCTTTACAAACATCCCTTCCGACAGCAGCCGTGTGTCAACACCGACGAGGACCACCTGAAAATATTGACAGGTAAAAGCTAGGACTTCTACCTACCGAAATAAACGTGCACATTGAGCCGAGGATGATCAGGTTGTTCATGTTTGGTGACGACATTTTGATGAATCTGAAAACAAAGGCGGTTTTTTATAAGGTGGGCGGTGCGCATTTTTCTTCGTGAATCGTCATACTTTAATAGTTTGGTTGTATTTATAATTACGTTACATTTAATTGAAAATTCAGAAAATTGCGAAACAACCCAAGAGCCAAGTTCTATAAATTGCCCCACCTATGGTTCCGGTACTTGATGTTGAGCGCGAGGAAAAGCAGAGCCAACAAGCAGCCCAGCGACGCGAAAAACGTGACCGCCCCGAATAACCATGATGAGACGTGTTGTAGAACAACACGCCGCTCAGGCGCGTCTTCTGGTCGTTGCCATCCTAAAAGGACTTTTGTATCATTGCCGGCTTCCTCCACTAACCATTCAAAATGTCGGCCACCCTGAACTCGTCGCGGGCCCCGTCATAATGGGCCGCATGGTGGTAGCTGCCGTTTTGGAACCACAGAACCTCGGCGATGCCAAGCCGTTCGTTCTTCTCGAAGCGGACTTGGCCCTGGGGGTGTGTAAATCTTTTAGTTTTACTTTTGCTACCGTCACTCCTTCAAACTTGCTGTTGGCAATGGCGTCGATGAGACGGGTGTGGGAAAAAGCGTCGTTGCCGAGAGCCTGGAAATCGGGGTTGCCGGTTTTATAAGATTTTTTAGGTTTTTAGCTATAAACCAAAATTTAACCTCCTTCAATGCGATCGCCAGTGCCCATAGCCCATCGTAGACGTAGCCTTGAAAAATATTCTTCTTCGAACACTGATCACGGCCGCACGACTCCGTTAGTTCCCGGATGATGTCGCCGGCTTTCTAAAACGCAAAAATAAAAGTTTTAATGCCAACCGACCTTTCCGCCGACCACGTAGCTGTTCAAATCGGAGCGTTGCGTAGCGAATTGCACGGCAAAATGTCCGTCGATGGCCGAGAGAAGTTGCTCTTCGGTGCATCCGTTGATTGGCTTGCTGATCCAACTAAACAAAAAGATAGAATCGTGTCTACGTTTACTACTTTATCCAACTCAGTTTCAAAACCAACCTGGTTGAGTGGTAGCCCGGCAGTATCCACACAAAGTCTTTTCCCGTCATCCCCAGCGACTCGGCCCCGCACATCACCCGCGGCAAGAGCTCCTCGGCCACGTCGGCCAATATGATGCGCACATCACGGGCCTAGAATCCAATTATATTACAACCCTTCCGAGCTAACCTTTAACAACGAAAGCTCATTGCCGATATTCTCCTGTTCCTGCCAGGTCACTCCAGCCGTGTAGACCACCTAGAATATGATACAAGTGTCGCTAGTTAGCTAAATTACGCACCTTGACCTCTGCCTCCTCAAATCGTGTCGTCAACGTCTCGTGGGGCTGAAATACATGGGTGTTATTTTCTTTACATTGTTTTCACGCTGTAGCTCAACTCAATGAGTTTTTCCTACCAAAGCGTATCGGGGCTCGTCTGCCTGCTTCACCGTCCCAATGCGCTTCCACTTGAAGTGGGAGACAAGCCTCGTCTTGGCCAAGTTCAGGTTAGTCCTCCCGGGCACGATACGGAAGAACGTCGGGTACAACTGGAAAATTGTGGGTTAGAGCGGGAAAGTTGTTCTCATTAACTTTTGAAATTCTGTATCCTCTATCCAATTTGTAATCACTCGCGCTTCGAACAATCAAAAATAAATAGTGTTGTGTTTGTGTGTGTGTGTGTGGGAATTTTTAGTGTTTGATAGGGGAGGGTTAGGGGTGTGTTTGTAGAAAGGTGGTAATGATGAAATGAATATCAGTTTTAAAAAGTGCTATTTTCGAATTAAATTAGGTTTTTATGATTCGGTCCTTTTGTTAGGAGATTTGTGTCCCGGAAGTGGCGAAAGCTATATAAAGGGAAGAAGGGGATGTTTTCATTTTTCGGAATGGGGTGTGAAAAATATAAAAGTGTCGAATATATCGATAGAGGGTTGAAATCGCGAACGCTTCACTTGCTATAAAAAAAGTTTCTATATTTGCAGTTTCCATATTCTTTCCTATATTTTTTGCACGTCCCATGGTTGGCCATTTGCAAGCGCCGCCAAATTGGCCACGCTTACGACCAGCGGTTCGGCCCAGATTTATGGGCAGCAGAGAGCAATGAGCCCACACAAACCTCGCTCGAATCGGCCGTCCCAAACTTCGGATGCGTTTCCGCGTAGCTCAGCTGAGCAATTTGCCAATACTTTAGAGCTGCGGCTATCGGCTCGTTGACCTAAAAAGAGGTTAGGAATCTGGAAAAAGGTTCAAACCTCGGTGCATACGCCACCAAAAATCGCCACAGGCCGCGGCATTGAAGCGACGACATCGAATAGGGCCTTCATCCCGGTGGAAGTTTTGCACTGAAAATACGTTTTGTCATTGCCTCGTACCTTTATTAGCTTTATTTACTGTGAGAGGGAAAGAAAGAGAGATAGATAGATAGATAGATAGATAGATAGATAAATCTAGAAAATACAACCCGAAACCGTGTCTTTCTTGGGCAAAATTACACACCTGCGTATCTTTATACGTTAGCTGCAGCTTGTAGCCGTCGAGGATGCAGGATTGGTTGTGGATGTGATCCAGGGCCACATTCACCGCCGGCTCCACCTAGACGTTCAGCTCAATGTCAGAACATCAAATTTCATTTACCTCCGGGGTGAAAATGGAGTCGTGCCCGCCTCTCGCATGGAAGACACCGATCGGAATTGTGGTGCCAGTGTTGGAGGGGACACATGTCAACGAAGCCTGACCCCCACCTAGCAGAATGGCAAAGTAGAAGAGCAGCAACATCATCCGGCGGCTATCATTTTGGTTCACCTATTTTTTTAATATACGAGTTTCTTTAACGAAGTTATGGTTCAAAAAGCAATCGTTATTTAGAAAAATACGAAAGAGTATAAAAAAGCCAATGGACGTCGATTCATTGCGAAGACAAACTCGGCCTTTTGATATTAGCTTGCTAAAATAGGTTTTCGGTAGAAAACCCTGTAAAACATTAAAATACGACGATTTTCCAATATATCGAGCAAATTGCCAATAGTGCCAAGTTTGCCGTTGCCGTCGGGAGGGAAGCCCATAAAAAACGAGGAGCATAGGGCGTAGGGGAGGGGGAGCAGCGTGCGGCTAGAGGGAGGCATCGAGCGGAGAGAATTGGGTCCCTTGGTGGGCCCCAGGGAATAAGGGGCCCCCATGGCCCTCACTGCCGCCACCTGACCACGTTTCTCTGCAACGCTAGTCGCCCCACAAATCATGCATAAGCCAAAATACATCATAGCAGGGTGTAGGCTGTCAGTTCTGAAATAAAAGGTGTATCGAATCAACCCAATCAGCGAATTGCACACATTTATCCAGACAATAACCGTATCACAGATGAGAGTTAGCAGCGCAAAGTGACAAGATTAGTTACACCCGAAAAAGAATATATTGTACAATTAAAAAATTACCAGGACCCGATCAATCGTCATAATAATAAGAGGCAGCCGTCGGTTCATAGACCATTCGCTGGAGAATTGGCTCGTTTTGGACGGTGCTGAACGTGACGATGAGCAGCAGTACTCCGCCGATGCAGACGTGGGTCAATGCGTGAGTTAGCCCATCGTCGCGACCAAAGAACTAAAATAAATTTAAATGCAGGCTCGCATTCAAGCTTACCAAGAAGGACAAGCCCATGATCAAAAAGGCACAGATGAGCCCAACCCAAGTGCTGAAGGAAGGCCAGACATGGCAGATGGATATGCGATCGTTGAAATATTCCTTGGCGCGTCTCCAACTAAAAGAAGGTCATTTTAGCGATATGCGACTTGCCTGTAATTTATCCTCGCTAGCATATCGATACATTTGATGATGACAAAGCCTAGGCTACCAAAGACATGGATGATTGGCCACGAGAGAAGAAACTGAACGATCGCCAGAATCGATAAAAATCCGCCATGAGTTGCCACCTAAAAAAGGCATGTGATAACCGAAATCACGAGCTGTAAGAAACATCGCTAATTTATCTTACCTGTCCGTCGTTCATGATGACCATGGCAAAGCACTCGGTAATCCCATTGATCGCCATCAAGCAAATGTAGAAGCAATAGATACAAAGTAGGGCAATACCTAAAGATTAAACTTAAAATCCATCTGAATAAATTCTACCTCCATTCTCAGTCAACAGTTTCCCGCCGTAGATACTAACGGCGAGCTTCGAATACGGAACTCCGAAGAAAGTGACGACCATTCCAAAGATCGCAGCGACGTGCAAAATATCGAGGAAAATACGACGCAGATGGCGAGCGTTGTACGACTGAAGCGAATTTCAGCTTATACGACGCCATACCTGCAGTCCGTTCCGGAAATAAGCCGCGCAATTCTCTTCTAGCGGCGCTAATGCCAAACGACAAACCAGACTGCCCAACTTTTCGATCGCATCATAGACGGCTGAAAAAGGTTAGAATCAAGCTAAACACAATCCAAACCTTGATTTTTGAGCGACAAGACGTCAGTAAACGTCATCACATAGCCGCTGCCGTCGGTCAACATTTGTTTCAGTACCGAATGGCCCATCATAGTTTTAAGTGCCGTCAGTGACTCTGCAAACCAGGATTTCAAGAAGGTCGAGGTCCTGATTGAAAATTCGCTCAACGAAAATAATACCTGGCCGAAGTCCCAGCTCGGGGCGCGGGAAAAAGCTTCGAAAATCTTGGAAGTTCTTCAACTCTTCGGGCCTTCGCAACCAGAAACGAGCCAGGTGGAAGAGGGTATACGCGCTCGATGCCATTACCTAAGACGAACGGCTAGAAAAATTTTAAGGAGATTTACCTGTGCATATGCGTAAATATATAACGGCTCCAGAGCGGTTCCGAACAACAGTATTATTACGAAGACACGTTGCAAACTGATGAGCAAGCACTGGGACCATGCGTAATGTGCGTTCATCGAAAACCTGCACAAACGTTGTATTCGAGAACAAAAGATTACGTTAGCGAATAGACGGCGAAGGGCTCTCCGAAAGACTCGATGATGGCCGCCAGTGGAAATGCGAATAAAACCGTCAGAGGGAGCTCCTGAACGACAATTTTAGGGAGTTCCCAATACGTACCTTCGTTGTCGACGACAATAGTGTCCAAAGAGCCACAGAAAACACGGCCATGACGGACGCAATCACCGGACTGAATAAAAATTGCAAAACAGGGCGATAAGCTCACCTTAGCCATACAATATTCACGAATTGCGTCAAACTGCCAGGGAGGATATTGGCCTTGCGCATCGGCTCACGGACGATGAAGAGGATGGTGTTGTACATTAGCATCAACCTCAATATCGGCCTTTTCAAACTCAAAACGATGTTACCGCACGTTGACGATCCCGATGACATTGCTATCGATCACACGGAGCAGGTAGATGTTGATGGCGAAGGACAATATGCGGCCAAATAGCTAAAAAAGGTTTTTGAGGAAGGAGATTCAACCGTTATAACCTGCGCCAAGAAATTGTAGCTCAACGCCCTCAATAGGCCGGGCATCTTGTCGATTAGGTCGTGGGCATACACTGAATGATCAGCAAAATTGGAAATCAGGTCGAAGGTAAGTAGAATTGATAAAGTTTCAAGAAAGGACGGTTTACAAAAAATCCAACATCACCGTAGTAGTACGTGCAAGGGCTTTTGACAACTGTCCGTAATTATTTTTCGATGTACAGTAACAAATCGGAGCTGCGAATCACGCGCGCTTCTCACGTTCGAATCTCACACAAAGTTATTAGTATTTGGTCCCTACAATAGTTCATTTTTTACGTAGAAGATATGTTCTGATACTTTATATTCCATTTAGATGTATACCCAGTTTACCCTAATGGTTTTTATTATATAAAGATTTCATAGAAAATTCTGCCGCATGACGTTTCCTAATTCACTAACAGTTCTGCGGCCAGACTTTTGAATCAACGCTTTTCGTGGGCGTCCCTTCGATCCTTTCGCACCCGGCTCGATTTCCGCCGGCATTTGCCGTTTGGCCGATCGGCGAATGCACCCTGCTCGTCTTTGTCTACAATTTATGGGCGAAAATGTGAAATGCCGCGCCTTTTTGCATCTTATAGCCACGCTAAAAAGACCTCCAACTAGATTCAGTTTTGTAGCTAAATGCTGACAAATAACCCCACCTCCCCCGAAATTCCCATTTCAAGCTTCGTCGTTTGGCTATACTTTTTTATAGTATAGTTATACCGATCGGATAGTTACTTTTCATGCATTCTTTCATGCCTATTGCGCGACGCCTACGATTTCAAATATTGGCCAAACAAAAGAAAAATAGCTGTTCGTTGGGCTTTTGTCGAGTTGTAGTGTGCAGTCGGAGTAGATCCTAGCGTCAGTTAGAGTTCCTCCTTGGTCCCCGAACCATCCTCTCAATTAATCTGATTGGTCGGTGTTCTGCGATTTGCCATTCTCGGCCAATTATGCCCTTTTCACTTGGGTTCTGACCGCAATGGAAGGACAGTGGGGTGGCCAGGCACATGGCTAGAGTACACGTGGAAGGGAATTGGCTGCGTAGCTGGCTCCCTGTCTATGGGATCGATGCGCAGTTGAGCCAGTCGTCAGGTGTCAGAGGTTCTTGCCATTCCTTAACCGAAAGATAGCACCCATATACGCCATTTTCAGCCCCCATCACCTGATTTACCGAGTTTCACTTTTTTGCCTGGTATCGATTGGGTATTGATGCGCTGGGGCCGCTTGGCCACGTGGAAGCTGCCATTTATCATGCTTTTATTGCTGACCCTCGTTTAGCCCTTATTTGTTTCCTTCTACGTTATTGTTATCCAGGAATTTTATTTTAATCACCTTCTTTTTCAGGCGAGCGGCCAGGATGTCGTGGCTATGGGATTGGTTTTCCGGCGTCTTGAACTTCCTCGGTAATAATTTTTCTGGTAACCTCAATTTATTTTATAGGGTTGGCAAAGAAAAGCGGAAAGTTGGTATTCCTTGGCCTGGACAATGCCGGTAAAACTACACTCCTCCACATGCTCAAAGACGACCGGATGGCTCAACACGTTCCCACGCTTCACCCTAGTATGTTTTCGAGTTGGGATTACGCATCATCGTTTTCAAACACTGTGACCAAAAAACGGTTTTTGTCACCTTTTCCTGCAGGGTTTTATGATTTTTCTTTAGCGTCTGAGGAGCTCTCACTCGGCGGGATGCGCTTCACCACCTTTGATCTCGGAGGCCACGCTCAAGGTGCCTTTTGAATAAATTCGTGTGTAGTGCATTAGGCCTTAGTTATCCTTATATCTAATCATGTTCTTTTTTCAGCGCGTCGTGTCTGGAAAGATTATTTCCCGGCTGTTGATGCAATCGTCTTCCTCGTCGATTGTGCCGATCACGAGCGATTCGTGGAGAGCAAGGTCGAGCTTGAAAGCTTGCTGCGTGACGAACAGGTCAGTCCTCATTTTTATTGTTTGCATTTAATTTAATTTCTTTCCTCGTTTTTTTTTGTAAAAGTCCGTCAAGAGAAAGTTTCGTAACTCCTTTTTGTCAATAGCGCCGTAATGCGTTGGCAAAACCGAACACAAGTACCAAATAGTTATTGGTGTCTTTCGCGGGCGCTGTCTAATTAATCCAAAAATTCATTATTTCAATTCTGCATTTAGGTGGCTGCTTCACCGATCTTGATTCTTGGAAACAAAATCGACAAACCGAATGCCATCAGCGAAGATCAGCTGAAGTGGCACCTCGGCGTCCAGCATCTCTGCACCGGCAAAGGTTGGAAATATTATTGTTGTTTTCTTTCTTTAGTTTATTAGCGTAGCTGAGTAGTCATTTTCATGAGCATTTTCTGCGGTGTTCAGAACACGGTTTTAAAAATTTATGGCCCGGTTTGATTAGGTTTAGAATATTGTACAAGGTTTTCAGGACATTCACCTTGGCTAGCACACTGATATTGTATTTTTAGGAGAAGTGGCCCGTGGCGACTTGGCCTCCCGTCCGTGTGAAGTCTTTATGTGTTCGGTTCTTCGGCGTCAGGGTTATGGAGAAGGTTTCCGGTGGCTGGCACAATACCTTGACTGAACATCCACCCTTTTATACAATGCTTCCTCCACTAGCAATTCTGTAGTACAAAGAGAACGAGAATAACTGGGTAGAATTTTGAGACCAGTTCTCTAGGGAATAAGTAAACCTATCGTCATAGCAATTCTGAACACCATAGAACCATGGTTTTCATTTTCTCATCAGTTTGGGCTTCCTAAAAAGCTGAAAAAAATTGAAAAACTAATTTTATCCCGCTTTCTCGTTTTCTTTGCGCCTTCAACGCCCTTCCCGGCATTTTGTCCCCTGGTCCCGTGATAGAAATCTTTTTAGGATTTTGCTTATGATTGCTTTCATTCGATCCGCGATTTGCCTGGTGGGTGGCCCCCTGCCGTGTTCGATTTTGGGTACTTGTCTGTGTGCCGATTCTTGTAAATTTACTCGGCGATTAGCGCTTTGAATTCCTGAACCACTTCCTCCTTGTTTTGTAAATGGTGCACATGCTCAACATGATAATTTATGTGTCCGTGCGAACAGACTGTGTGATGCATTCACCCCGAGCTCTACTCTTCCCGCAGCACGGCGTTACGGCCTAGCTGTTGTCATTCTTTCCCCCGGCCCTCCGTATTTCTTATGAACCGGAGAAGCAAGACACCTCTACCGGTAAATTTTCGAGAGCTTCCTCTCGAATTTTATTGGTGGATTTTGGCGCAAAGTTTTGTGTAGTGGTGGAAGAGCGTGGCATCAAGCGATTCCTAATGATTATAAACATTAAGCCCGATCATCCACTACTGCACTTCCCTACCGCCATAAACTTGCTGATCCATTCTCATCCTGTACCAATAAAGATGGGGCGGGCAAAGGTCTTGAATAAAGTGTTCTATCTATCATGCCCCACCCACGGATTCTCAAATACACACACATCACGCCACGTCCCCCAATTATTTTCTCGAACCCGAAATGTCACTTGTTTGCGCCTTGTCGTCCCGACGGGGAGGGCCATACCTCATCTGCCAACAATGAGCAAGGGTCTTCGCATGTCCAATGAGGGGGCACGAGGCAATGACTATCCGAATTGCGCACATTTTTCAAGTGTCCAGCACCTTTTACTTTTTTCGAGGATTTCTCGTTTAGCCCCTGTGTAATGAAGGCGGTGGTCGCGCTGGCACTGCTCTGCTGTCTGGCAACAACCCTGGTATCAGCTGACGAGATGGTGGTGGAATTACCGGTATCGTTTTAACTCTAGGAATCCGAAAAATATCCGTCTAACCTGCGAAGGTTAATTTTCGGTTTGCCGGCCGAATGAAGGAATCAAGGACCTAACCTCATACGGGAATAAAGTCGACTCCTCCCACTCAAAAACCCAACCACGCTAACCTTCCAGATCAAACGCGCTCGGCTACTCAATTTGCTGGGTTCCAATCGTCGCTTCACAGCCCCGTTCGCGAAATCTGTTGACAAAAAGGTGGAAAACCGGCCGCTCTACGGTAAGTCGTCACCACATTGCCAATCTATTAACATATCAGCCTTGCTTTGTCGTCATGGAAAGTGCTGAATGGACCAAATCGCGCCAATAAATTTATTGTTATAAATGAGTGGAACCAACTAGCAACCGCTTGAATTGTTGAATCTTGTTGCGCAGCGTCGTTGTGTCAAAGCCTATGACGGCCGGGTCGAGCTTGGCCTAAACAGCTTTTTAATGGCGCGAAGTGCTCTTACTTCCAGAGCAACAATCATTTTCGCGAAACCAGAAACCGAAGCATCCAAGATCGGGGCAGGCGGGGTTTCGACGATGCGCTAAATTTGTGAAATAAAATTATGACATTGTCCTACCGGCTCCTGGCACCCAAATCTAAATGTCTTGTGGTCCGTGATTTGGCCGGCTAGCTGCTCTATTACGATCACGATATCATCAGGGCGGGGCCCGACGCGGTCTGTGCGAAAGGTTGTGGCTAGCCTTTCACTGGAGCAATTGAAAGAGCAACGCCTCAAACAAAAATAAATGCTATCGAGGAAAGCCTACCTGACGTCCGAAATTGCGTCTCTCCACAAAGCCCATTTCTCCGGCACAATCAGCTCTTGCAGGATTCTATTCAGCAGGACGATGGAAGCGGGTTCCGATGGAAGCCATTCAATCAAAACCTGAATATCTGTTTTCTAATAGTGCCAATTTTAGTGTGTCGTAATGAAGAAAGCTTTTGCGGAATGTGGTCCGTCCCATTAAACAGTCAAAAGCCTCACATCAGGAACGAATCTAAATCGCCGCAAAACCTCGATTATCAGATGTCGTGGCTGCCATAGCGAATCGGTACTGAAAAATTAAAATATGAATGATAGATCAGCCCACCTGTCGAAGTTGTCTCGCAGTTTAAACAGGATGAGCAGCACGCCTACACAGCGCTCGTCATTGAGTAGTATCCGAGCGGCCAATTCTCCGCGGTTTTCATAATAGGGGGCAAGCGTAGCCAGGAACTCGGGAGCAAGTTCTTAATATGGGGAATGAATCGAAGCTAAGGCAAGCGCCAACCATATGATGAGAGCGTGTCGATCATATAGAGCCCGGCTGCGAGGATTCGATCGCAATGTCTTGTATCGAAGATAGCATTAGTCATCGCACCGCCAAACCACGACCCATCGCTTGTTCTTGCTAAATTCATTATACAGAGACTCAAGAAACAAACATTGATCTGTAGAATTATTTATGCGCAGCCATAGCTCACGCTCTTCCTCATCAATGACTCTGCTCTTGTCAAGAACACAATTGTACCAGCATTCTCTGGCCTCATCTTCAAGCGAACTACAAAAGCGGCATCGAATGTAAATACAGATAGCCCTACTTCGTAGTTTCCATTGAAGCGTACGTGTAAATAGTGATGTATGCCACCTGTGTTGTTTAGCCCTGCACCGTCAAATTTATCGCGACTTTTGCATCACAGCACATGACAAGTAATTCACCGAAACACTGTGCTAAAGTAACCGGGGGTTATGCGTAAAATTTATTCGAAACAGCAACAGACAAAGGCTGATGAAAGCAACATCAAAAACTTAACAATTGGGCAACTGGCAACGATTTACTCTTCTTCCTCATCTTCCTCGTCTTCATCATCATCATCCTCCTCGAAGTCATCGCCCATGAAATCGTCGTCAGTTTGTTCACCGGTGTAGAAGAGCACAGCGCGGGGCACCAGGACGTCACGCATGATTTGTCCGATCTCGTAGTCGGCGCGCATCAGATCATGGCTTTCCTAAAAGAAGGAAAGCGTTGCAACGAGACAAAGACCAAACCAGATCATCTTCATCGTCTTCATTGTGCGTGTCCGGGCTGCACGGAGCTGGGGGGTCGAAGAAGTTGAAGAACGAGTCGTTCTTCACAGTCTTCGTCAGGAATTTTCCGGCATTCGGGCCCTTCTTTTGCTTCTTCTTGATGACCTTCTTGGTGATATCCATCTGATCATTCCACTCGATATTTTCCCTAAGCGAACAGATTATACATGGCAAAATATGGCTTACCCAACAGAACGGACAACCGACGGGCCGTCGTACTCGAAGGGAGCTTCTGGGTCTGGCTTGTTCTGCATGTAGTAGCGCTTGGTCAGAACCGAATTCGAGAAGTAGGGGTTCTGCGCGAAGTGGAAGAAGAGCGTGAATCCTTCTTCTGGGGCCCCGTGGACGGTCGTGGTAATGTCGATCAAGTACTTAAGCACTTCCTTGTCGTGTTCATGGATCATTTCCGAGGTGGAATCGCAGCTTTCCAAGACGTGGAGCCAGAAGTTCGGGATGCCCTTGTCGCCGGAGGTTTCAGGAGAGTTGGCGAAGGTAGACTAAAGGCATTTAGAAATCCGAAGAACTAAAACACCTCCAAGTCCTCATCCGTCACGCCATGGATAATCTTGATGTCGGCGACCTCAGCGTCAGTCGGCTCGCGTTCACCAGCGACGATCGCTCGTCTCTAAATTAAAATATTCAAGCGCAAGGGGAAAATACCTGTTGGAAAACCGTGTTGAACTTGGATTCGAATTCCTTCTCCAGTTGGTGGACGCGCTCGTAGAACTCGCACTCGATCTAAAAGAAAGGGTGCAAACACAGCTTAGGTGTTACCTTGATTCCTTCCAGTTGGTTTGTCTTCAGAGCCTTCACACGACGGATGACGTCTTTGGGAAGGTCCTTGAGATGTTCCGGGAACATGTCTCCCATCTGGAGCATCTGGGAAAGGTCTCCAACGTTAGCGACCGGCATTGTACCCTAAACGATGAAAAAATCGTCCAGTTAGGTTCAACCATTCGAGAACCAGATCAAAGAAAAATATTCAGAGCGTCCTAGCCAATCAGAAAATATGAAAGTTCACGTTGTAGGAAGGAGAAAAGGCTACGCTACCCCAAAATCGTATCAGACCGATAACTTAGCTGGGGATTTATCCAAATACCCAGGAGGACAAAAAGATCGGCTCATTTCAAAAAAATCAACTAATTCCGCGCGAAATTTCAGGTCTGCTGCCGGTCTTTCGTAAGCGAATGAAGATTTCCGCTGACCTAAATACGATAGCAAAAGCGGCGCCGCCACGGGACCACCAGTGACGGCTGGTAAAGGGAGACTCGCCCGACTCTAACCGACGAAAAGTTTCGCCGATGTTACGGCATGTAACAAGGTAGCCCCGCCCATGTCTGTGGGGTACATGTTTGGAGAGTGGAATAATCCTTGATCAGAGTCAGAGTATGTTAGTCAGCGGTAAAAAGCAGCAGCTGAAAAAATTCGGAGGAAAAAAGAGAAACTCCGTAAGCTCCGGTGCGCTTCTATGAATTTGGACTACTGTAGAATCCGTTTATAGGTGCCTCGCGTACATAAAGACTACAAGCTACAAAAATTCTACTTTGGTTTGATTCTTGCTTTTTATTTTTATGGTTCTTTCTTCGCCTCCTGATTGTCAGAGTACACTAATTGGCTGTCTTTTAGTTATGGATGTTGTGCGCAGTAAAGGGCAACGCATGTTCCTTCACCAGGCCATTGAACACGGAATTCGGATCGACGGCAGAGGGTTGGTTCAATATTCTGCCTATTACCCCAGCTTGCTAGATCATTCGACCATCGACCGCTTTCGCTGGAGCAAGGGATCCTGAGAACGGCCGACGGGTCAGCGCGCGTCATTTTGGGCAAGACCGAGCTGTTCGTGATCATTAATGCCGAAATGTTGGAGGTTTGAGCAGTAATAATCATACCTCATCCTCGCAGGTCGATGATAGCAGTTCACTGGAAAAGCGACTCAATTTCACCGTCAAAATAGCTCCACAAGGTCCAAACGCTGCAAGATTTGGACCAGATGAAAAGCGGCGGGACGATGAAGGTATTGCTTGCCGGCATAAACAAACAGTTTCCTGCTTTTAGACCTGGAAAGAGACGAGATCTTGCAACTTAGCGTGGGAATCCGGCCGGAGCAGGAAAACTCCTCCGTCATCATGCCTCCTAGTGACAATGTCCTTGACAAATTGGCTGTGAAATGTAAATTTTTGTGAGCTTTCTTATTACCAAGGATTTTAGACGAACGAGAGATCTCCGAAGAGAACGAATGCTTGGTGTCCCGTGATATCGAAGCAGCATTGGATAAGATATTTAACGATCTGTCCGAACTTGAGCTCGAGAGGTAATTATTCTGACTTTTGCCCTGAAATGTTGCAGGATTGCCGTCTCCAAAAATCATGTCTGGTCGATTGAAGTGGAACTAATGGTGGTGAAATACGCCGGGAACCTGTTGGAAGCCGCTTATCTCGGGGTCGGTTTATGTAAATTTTTCGGAACATCGATATTGTGTATGAAGTGTGAGAGCGGCGGACTGTTTGGCGAAGGGACCATTACAAATATAAATAAGCTTGTGTTAAGATACCTTTTTAAGGCAAAGGCTGCGCTCGATGACTTCGTTTGTATCCAACCGCCCGTCACGCATGATACTGAAACGGGGAAAGATCTTATCGGCGCTGTGCAGGATGAGGATGCCCTGGTCTCGTGGAAGTTTGATATCGAAAAGTTAGTGTCCTATGATATCGGTAAAATTGCTTTCATAGGACCCCGTTGATTGGAACAAGTTATCGTGTTGGAGATTCTGTCTTCCTAGACCCAAATGATTACGAAGAAGTTCTGAATCCGGTTCTGTGCTGGGTAGCCATCGACAGACCGACCTCTAATAAGGTTTTTTTAATTTTTGCAACTAGTCTTGGTCTACTTAGATCGCCGACGATGATTGTTGTATATCGTGGTCCGCGTTGACCGGCACTGGCGGAACACGCGATGGAATCCATCGGGAAATGCTTACCACGGCAATTAGGTAACATTTTTTTGGGGTAAAACGCTTTTTCTCTTTAGGTCAGCGAGGAAATGGGACCCAGTGTTGAGGGACTACATCAAACTTTGGCGCCAGACAAAGCGCGATCCCTACGCAACTGTACTTCTGTCTTTCAACAAGTGATTGCCGGTTATTTACTTTTTTGCATCTTTCTACGGGTTAATTTGTTATAGCTTGTTTGTTGCGTTGATAAATCTTTGCCCACTCGTCTTTTTTTTAAGCCGCAAGTGAAGTGATCGCAAGACTTTCCTCTCCGGACTTTGCCCTGACTTGTCCCTTTCACCTTATCACTCGCCAGGATCCCTTCACGCGATATTTCATTTTTCTGCAAGCCCTAAATTAGAGGCAGCACCTGGAAGCATCGATTATTGCCGCGGAAATGCTGGTTACACTATTATTTATAGCAGCTATACTATTGCTATTATGGAAACTATTCGATATTCGATCAGTTGCTGAGCTGCAGAAGGTGTTCTCAGGCCTGATTTCCGGGAATGGGCAGCATCCCATCAGCAACCTCTTCCAAGTGACAAACCATCTACATTATTATTTCTTGCATACTTAGGTCGAAGAGAAGTCGAAGCGACATGGCGGAGAGTTGGTGGCTGATGTGCTGTTCGCGCATAAAGTGAAGGAGATCTTCGTACTTTGTGGAGGCCACATTTCCCCGATTCTTGTCGCAGCTGAGAAGCTCGGGATCAAGATTGTCGATACCAGGCACGAGGTGAATACTTGATAAATTAAACTTTGTATCACAATCGTGGCTTTGCGAACTTAATGTTTAGGCGAACGCGGTCTTTGCCGCTGATGCGGTCGCGCGTCTGCGACAATCTATTGGAGTTGCCGCCGTCACCGCTGGTCCTGGACTGACCAATACGATCACCGCAGTGAAGAACGCTCAGATGGCTGAATCGCCATTGCTTTTGATCGGTGGTGCTTCGCCTACTCTACTGAAAGGGCGTGGTGCCCTTCAAGTAAGAAAAATTTCGAGCTAATGCCCTTTCTCTTCAGGACATTGATCAAATGGTGCTTTTCCGCCCTCTCTGCAAGTACGCCGCGCGTGTCACGCGTTTGAGGGATATTGTGCCTACGTTGAGGTGAATTATCCACCGCTTTTGAGATGGGCTTTAGGGAAGCTATTCGTGCCGCTACATCTGGCTGTCCTGGCCCGGTTTTTGTTGAGTTCCCCGTGGACGTCCTGTACCCCTACGAGCTCGGTAAATACTTTAAATGTGTAGAAACAGTGAACTTCAGTCATGAGAGAAGTCGGCCTGAACCCGAATGCCAAGGGATTCATCCAAAAGGCTCTCAACCACTATTTGCGCATCCATGTCAGCCGACAATTCGGTGCCGCATGGGAAAAGCAAGATATCTCCCCGTTGGCCACATCAATTCCGAAGCCGTCAAGTGAACAGGTTGGTAGCGCATTTATAGTGTCATATAATTGCTTTCAGGTGGCTGCCATCGCCGAGCTTGTCAAGGGTGCGAAGCGGCCAGTCTTGCTGATCGGAAGTCAGGCTACTCTCCCACCTATCAAGCCTGATGACTTGGTTGCAGCTGTGAAGGTTGGATTGAATATAATTAAAGTAATCAATTTTAAGGAGCTCGGCATTCCTGTTTTTTTGGGAGGTATGGCACGCGGATTGCTTGGAAAGCAGAGCGAGCTGCAGATGCGGCAATGCCGAAAGGATGCGCTCAAGGAGGCCGATCTAACCATCTTGGCTGGTTTGTGTCTATCAGCATTTTGTAATTAAGCTCCTAGGTACTGTTTGCGACTTCCGACTTTCCTACGGCCGAATCCTGTCGAAGAAGTCAAAGATCGTCACAATCAACCGTAACAAGGAGCAATTAACAAAGGTAAGGGTCTTATCAAGGAGTTAGACGCTCTTCTATGTACCTTTCAGAACGAAAAAGCCTTCTGGAACTCCGATGTTTCCGTCCAAGCCGATGTTGCTTCCACGCTGGTCGATGTGGCCAAGCAGGTGAAGGGCAAGCTGACCAAGCGAGCAGACTGGATCGACACACTGAGACAAAAAGACAACGAGAAGGAGGCTGCCAACGCTAAGAAGGCGCTCGATAAGGCCGTGGGAGGTGTAAATCCACTTAGCTTCCTGACAGCTTTTGATAAGGTATGTGAGGGAGGAAAGTGTGTTAGGTTTTTTAGACAATCCCGGACAACGCGATCCTGGTTGCTGATGGAGGTGATTTTGTCGGTTCTGCCGCGTATATCGTCCGGCCGCGTGGTCCACTTCAATGGCTTGACCCCGGGGCGTTCGGCACGCTCGGTGTCGGCGGTGGTTTTGCCTTGGGTGCAAAGGTGGGTTTTTTACATACCGAAGCTTGGTCTTCAAAAAGGTTAAATCGATAAAAACTCAAGCGAATAGCGGCAAACTACAGAAATTTCGTTCAGATTGTTCATCCCGAACGCCCAGTCTATATTCTTTGGGGAGACGGGTCGAGCGGCTACACAATTATGGAATACGACACCTTTGCTCGGTAAATCACGATTTTTGTGCGTTCACGAACCAACGGTTTTAGCTTCAAACTGGGCGTCATTTCGGTCATCGGCAACGACGCCTGCTGGACGCAAATTGCTCGCGAACAAGTCCCGATGTTCGGCAGCGCTATTTCTACTCAACTAGCTGTAAATATCCTTGCCTTACCTCTCATCCGCTTTTAGCACACGAAATACGAGAAAGTGGCTGAGGCACTTGGCGGCTGGGGCGCCGCGATTGACGAGAGCAATGAAGCTGATACAAACAAGGTACCTTGATTTCTGAACTCGATTATTTTGTGCATTTAGATCCTGGAAGCCGCTTCTGCTGAATCCAAGAAGGGAATCCCGGCGCTAATCAACGTGCACATTGGCAAATCAGACTTCCGCGAGGGTTCAATCTCCGTGTAGAATTCCCCTAATTTAATGCTGGTTCTGCGCATTTCCACTGTGATTGCCCATGTGATACCTCTTATTCCTCACGGCTTTTTCCTTCAATTTTTTTCTTCGGAATCTCAAACACCAAACGCCATTCCTTGCCAAATAATAATAAAAGCTTAGGTAACCAATTGCAAGAAACAAATAATCGTCAGCAGCACAACAATTACTTGTGTAAAAATATGTTCGTTCACCTTCTCAAAAGTTGCAGATGTCCCGGTTAATTGTAAAGGGGCTTCCGACGAATTGTACGGAGCAATCTCTCCGCAAGCATTTTGCGAAATACGGCCAAATAACTGACTGCACACTCAAATACACCAAGGTACACACTTTTTGAAATTCTAATCCTTTCCCGCAGGAAGGCAAATTTCGAAAATTCGCCTTTCTGGGCTTTTCCGAAGACCAGTCAGCCGGTAAAGCCATTGATGCGACGAACAATTCCTTCATCCAGTCTTCTAAAATCCAAGTACGTTCTAACGTTGCTTCCTGGTATGCTGTTTCAGGTCGAAAAATGTTTGCCGTTTGGACATGAGAACAAGCCGCGTGCGTGGAGTCGTTTTTCAAAAGATAGCAGGTCGGCTTCTCGCCTGGGATTATCACCTAACAGGGCGATTGGTGGAGTCTGAAACTCTGCTGCATGCCGTGGGAAACTAATATAGCTGGGGAGGAGCAAAATTCTCTGCGGACTAATACTTCTTGTTTAGTGCGTATAAGCGAGTCCATGGCGACGATGAAGTAACTGCCCAAGAAAACGGAGGCAAAAGGAAGAAAATAGTTGAAGGTTCAGGCGACTTCACAATTGGGATTTTTGACCAGGTACAGCACTGTTGTTCGGTTTGTTATTATTTTTAGGTGGCGCCGACCCAAAAGAAAGGTGCGAAAAAAGCAACCGAAGCTGAAGATCCCTTACTGAAAGAATTGCTGGAAGGAATTGAAGGTCGGGATTGATAAGGTTTTATATAATTTATTTAGGCGATACGCGACTGTCCTTAATTTTCCTTGGCCTGCCTGCCTCGATCAAACAAAAGAATATCAAGGAATGGCTTGCCCCGGTCCGCGTGAAAGCTATGAAGATAGCGCAGTAATTATATTTTATGCAATTTTACTCTGAGTAGAAACGATGACAACGGCGGGGCTTTTGTCTCTTTCAACCGTCCACCGGATGTTCGTCGTGCGCTGCAGATGAGTGGGACTTTTCTTGGAGGCTTCAAGGTAGTTTAAGAAATAAAGAGCTGACCCTAATTTTTTCATTTTAGGTAACCGTTCGAAGGGTCAAGGAATCTGATGAAGAAAATGAGGAGTCAGCAGAAAAACAGGCCGAAGATGCAGGAGTCGACGAGGAGGCTAGCAAAAAGGAAGAGGAGAGGACCAGGGACGAGATTCTCGAGACCGGACGACTTTTTGTCAGGTTTTCCTGGGAGTTTGGCCTATTTATTTTTGTTCAGGAATCTGCCGTTTGTAACAACAGAAGATGATCTCACCGGCTTGTTTAAAAGATATGGAGAAGTCTCTGAAGTGCAGGTAATGCGTTACGTTGTTCCTTCAAAGTGCTTTGCAGCTTATCGTCGACAAGAAAACCGGAAAATGCAAGGGATTTGGAATTGTCGAGTTCATTTTTCCCGAAAACGCCATGGCCGCCTATTCGGAGTTGGATGGTACCATTTTCAAGGTATTTCTCTCTCATTGATCTTTTCATCGTTTCAATTCTCAGGGTCGTATGCTGCACATAATCTCGGGTCAAGAAAAGCGCATACCTAAGGAAGAAGCCGAAGACAAGGAGGGAGGGGCTAGCTACAAAACCGAGAAGCAAAAGAAATTAAAGGTGCCATTGTTTTGTTGGTGATGAACGTGTCTTAAGGATGGATCAACGAAAGCGACACATTCTTGGAATGCGCTTTTCCTCGGACCAAATGCAATCGCGGATACGCTGGCTGAGAAGCTGGGCAAGGAGAAGCGCGATGTCTTGATGGGGAGACGCTGAGAAGGGGTAAGGACGGTTTATTTCCTCTCATTCTTCCTCCAGTGCCGGTGTCCAGTTGGCGCTCGCTGAGACCCGGCTTGTCCAGCAGACGCGAGAGTTCTTGCTGGAGAACGGGGTCAAGCTCGACGCATTCTCCCGGCCATCCAGCAAACGATCAACAAAGGTACTTGCGCCGTGTCCAATGATCCAAACTTTAGGTGATGCTAGTGAAAAATCTTCCCATTGGTGTGGAGGCCGAAGAATTGGAGCGGATGTTTTCTAGCAAAGGCGACTGTCAAAAGATTTTACTGCCTGGTATTTTTTATTAATACTTCTAAATACCACTTCAGAATCGAGCGTCACGGCGATCGTTGTCATGGGAAATTCCGTAGATGCTAAAAAAGCCTTCAAGGTAAAAATTTTCTTACATTTTTTCGAATTGTTTATAGGCCCTGGCATATTCACGCTTCCGGACAAAGCCACTCTTCCTCGAGTGGGCCCCGGGAGATGTGTTTGGCGAAAAGACAATTGAAGAAAAGACCGAAGAGGAAGCCGCAGAAGAGCCAACCACCTCCAAAAAGGAGACGAGAAAGCGCGGCGATGAACTTACGGAAGAGGATAAGAAAAACCGAAAGAGCAAGAAGCTAAAGAAGCAAGAAGAAGAGAAAGCTAAGGAGGAGATTATCGAATTTAGGTAAATGAATCGTCCCGGTAAAATTTGCAGAGTCTACCTTTTAGCGAGTCCGGGAAAGCACAGGACGAAAGTGAACCTGAAACGGATCCTGTTGAGACCGCGGAGGTATATTTTAATATTACAGCCAACAGCCCGTCCTAGGATGCCTTGGAGCTGGAGCCTCAGTCGACGGTTTACGTGAAAAATCTCAGCTTCGATACCACCGACGAACAACTCGAGGCCTATTTCAAGAGACGGGGCCTACGCTTCAAATTCGCTCAGGCAACCTAAAGTCGTTAATCCAAATTCCGTAATTCTAGATCTCGAAAAAATTGGACGCCAAGGACCCGCTGAATAAATTGTCGATGGGCTTCGGCTTCATCCAATTTTACACGAATGCAGAGGCGGAAAAAGCGGTCAAAGAGTTGCAGGTAGCGTGTCTTTTGAAACAATGAGGATGGATTTTAGGGCGCAATGCTGAACGGTCACTCGCTGGAGTTGAAAATTTCTCATCGTGAAGTCCAGGTAAATACATGCCGACTACGTCCAAAGTTATTTAGACGGAACAATCCACGAAGAAGCGGGACTCGGAAAAGGCGAAGCAGGGCAAATGTACGAAGATATTGGTGCGAAATATCCCCTTCCAGGTCGGCACAGTCAGCGCTTGTTCTTAAATAATTATAGGCATCAATCAAGGAGGTGGAGGAGCTGTTTAAATCATTCGGCGAGGTCAAGACTATTCGCGTGCCAAAGAAGGTAATTTCGCCCTAATTTCGCATTATTATTTCCAGGTCGGTTCTCGAGATGAGCATCGTGGATTCGGTTTCGTTGATTTTATGAGCATTGGCGACGCAAAGAGGGCCTTTGAAGTATGGCTGAACATATCCATTTTGTAACAGGAGTTTTCCAGTCGCTTGTCCATTCGACTCACTTGTACGGTCGCCGCCTCGTACTGGAATGGGCCAAGGCAGATGATACTGTGGAGGAGCTGCGGTCGAAGACTTCGAGCAAATTCAGGTTTGTTCGGGTTCCAAGATTTCTTGCAAGCATCGGCAATTTAGTGGCAACGTCGCGGCCAAGAAGCGTGTCAAGAAGCGCATCGACGATTTGCAAGCCGATATTTTCAAAGCCGGGGACGTTGGAGACGAAGAAGGGTGAAAGTCGAAACATTGTTGAACTGTTTTGTCAATTTTATTGTTACTTGTTATTGTTGCATCTTGTTTTGTTCAGATTGGTTTAATAGAGTTTACCGAGATATAGTTCGAATCACGCGTGTTTGATAAGACATAATGTTAGAACCGTGGGTGAGGAATTGTAGTCGGCAACGTCAGAAAGGGTTATGTACAACGGATCAGTGGGAGATATTACGAGTTGTGATGAAATACAAAGGAGCAGCACCAACAATGCAGTATTCGTAAATAGAAAAAATATCAAAGCAAGGTACCAGTATTAGGAGATGCTAGATTGAATGAACAATTTCCCGAGAATTGTCCAGTAACTCTCGGAGGGCGCAGTTGCTCATCAGAACACCGCGCAGCTCCTCATCAACACGAGAGATCACCGCGGCTATTTGTCTGATGACACCGACGCGTCGCTCGTGCCGTGTCTAGAAATAATTTAGTATACAACCGAATTGCCAATCGGCTTCTCCAAAGGAATTTGTGGCCTCGTAACGAGATCCTCTGTCAAAGCAATTACCGGCAGTTGCACAGCAATCAATCTCATCCGGAGCACCAGGTCCACAATTTCCGCGTGATGACGCGATGCGAGCACGGATGCACCGAGGTCGGCTTGGCACAGTTCCTGCAAGGACCTATTTTAAGGCAAGTGGCTCCTGATACCTCAATGTACGCCATCTTGATCTGCTTGGCAATGTCCGAATTCCTCTGAGAAAGCCAACCGGCAAAAGTGCGAGTGGAAACAAATCGACGGTAGAGACCTGAAAAATGAAATAGCAGGATAGAGTAATAGAGTTAAAATCACCCGTAGCAACGCTTTTTTTAAAATTACCTGACCAATCTCCCTTGATGCCACAAGTCAATGAAGGTCCTGCCGCCTCCAGAGTAACAAGAAAGTCGTCAAGGACGAAGGGACGCGGATGCGGAATCGACTTAATCGAGGCTCGTCAAAAAAATAAGTACCTTACCTTAAAAGGAGACATTGTCTTCCGCAACGGCATTAACGATGATAGGTGTCGTTCGAGTGGGATCATGAATGACTGGGTTAGCTCGAGGAAATGCCGGCGTAGCAATGCAGAACAAACTTCATCCGGGCGAGTTCCCTATAAAATAACGGGATTGCTGGATCGCATTGACAAATTGTTCGATTACCCTATACAATTCCGCAAAAAAACATACCTTAAGCAATTTCTTGATCAGCGCTTTGTCGCGTCCCAGGAACGGTTTGTACTGGGTGTACAAACCCGGCTTTGCGTCGAGGCTCTTCCCATCCCAGTGCTTGCTAAAAATTATCATTGCCCAGAGCCGGTTCTCGATTGTCCAGAGTTCACACGAAAAAGGCTCACTTCTTTTCAGTCTGTTTTTCAGGGCCCTCGCTTGCACGATCTTCTTCGACCTTCAAAATATGGGGCCAGTGCGGCAGAGCCTTGATGAAGAACGGATTCGTCACTCCCAATATAACGGCCGGCCTGGAATTGTTTTTGGTTTGAACGACGTGAGTCAGCCTCAACTCGGCAGTCAGGAGGGACAAAAACTTACAAATTCCTGGCCCGAGCCGAATATTCACGGAATTCGGAGTCGTGGATGGTGAAATAGGGCCGAAAATCGGAGAGTAGCCGCAGCGGGCAGATGAGTGAAACGAGTGATTGGACCATCGATGAGCAGCGTGTAGGTGTCTGGGCCACGACAAGTAGAGGCTGCAATAGGGAATTCATACATGGAGGCGAGCGAAAACGAACCTCTCCCAGCAGCACAAGCTCCCACATCAGCTGGACGTGTACTAACACTTTTGAGAGAGACCTGGGAAATTGGATAAAACAAGGGTCAGGGAGGTAACCTGTAAATATCGACTTCGCTAACAGAGGGAAGAACAATCGAAGGCCCGGTTTGGTCGTCTTTTGTGTAGCTGCTCGGGCCGGTTATCGGCAAATCACCACGAAGAGGGATCCGGCATTGGATTACCTAGATACAAAAAAAATTAGGATGCATAACAGGAAAAAGGTTTATATAAATTTCCTTACCGTTCCCATCAGGGGTAGCATCAAAGGTGTCCCGGGTACTGGTGTCGGCCATTGGTCGAGATCGTGGCAGGCTAAAGAAGAATTCAGTTGTTCCAAAAGCCTAGCTTACCAGCTTCGATCGCAGCTTCTCCTAGCTCAAAGTAGCCAGATGCAATCTTCGCCGCTACACAATTCCACAGTGAAAAGAACGGGAACGGCGTTAGTAGTACGACGCTCTAGAAATCCTCTTTACAAAAATTATTCACGACACGTTTCAGTTTTCACCACTCGAAATTCCAGTCAAATGCCACCCTACCTTTTGGTAGTAACCCCTTTTGATTGAAGGGTCCTTGTGCTGCCGAAATTGAACAAATCCATAGAGATAGGAAGCATCCAGTGGCAGCGACACCGAGGAATTTTCGAGGACCAGCATGTGATGGGGCCCAATTTTAGGCGACGTCCTGAAAAAGAAAATAAAAATCAAATAAAATTACACAATGCTAGTGACAATAATTTGTTAGCGAAAATTCAAAACGGTGCTTGCCCAACCTTCGTATCCGAAAATGGTAGGGGACATCTTGGGCCGAACCAAAATTGGAGTCCGGGAACGCTAGGTAGCAAATATTCGCCTTTTCGATCGACGACAAATCGGCATCGCCCGGGTAGATGATCTAAAAAAGCAGCTATAGCTTGAAGACATAATTCTGAAAAATTAAGAGACCTCAAACGACTAACCTCGAGCGCCTGCCCCAGCTCTAGATCGAATGTGACGACGGCTATCGAGTGAAGCCATTTCTGGAAATGTTCCCACGGCACACTGCTCGCCTCGTTGTCGCCATTCATCCGATTCTATGGGTGTCACTAGAAAAACTATTGGAATAAATTGGATTTTCAAAAACAAATAGTAAAGGTAATCGCGAATTGACGCACATAGTATGAGTGACATATTTTTTGCCGCGACTTGTCGTGAATTCCGGATTTTCTTACAAACACAAGAATAGGCAATAAACGCAATTATTTGATGGGCTGCCAAACAGCCCATTCTAGGCGCGTGTGCTTTTATGATGCGAAAAGTGCTAAAAAATGGTTGCGCGCGTAGATCGATGGGTCGCCGGCCCTGGGAAAAGCACGCGAATTTCCGGAAACACCGCGGATACGCAGACAGTGGAGAAAGGGAGGAGGGAAGCGGGGGTAGGCAACACACAGGCGCGGAAGGGCTGTGGACGACACCGCTTCTTCCCAGTCTAGCAAACACCCAAAAAGTGGCGTCGTTTGCTGTACTTTGCCACTAAACTAGGCTAGATTGGCGGGCTGTTATTGTCGGGAATTTGAGGGCGATACTTCGTCGCAATTAGTTCAATTAGATTGCACGTATAAATACAAAAAACGAAGAAGCCAATTCCTATCTAAATATTAAGATATTTGCAAAAGCGAATTGCTGAAAAGACAAATACGGATGTCTCCAAAAATACAGCTCGGTCCACACTCCCCTTCCACACGTAAAAAGGCGAAAGCTTCGATAATATCTGGCGCCGAGCCCCCACCTGCTCTACCCACCTCCAATGTATCTGATCGCCAAAAACATTCGAAAATTTATGCAGAAAAATCCAAAGATATGCTTACACGGGTAAAAACTGAGATCCGGACAACACAGTGAGTAGAGGTAGCTTCAACACAAAAATTCCAAAAAAAGATCTATTCGGCCTCCTCCTCGCTCTCCTCAGCGTCGGTGCTCTCTTCGCCGTCTTCCTCATCCTCTTCGTCCTCCTCATCCTCCTCAGCATCGTTGAAGAGTTCGCGAACCTCGTCGAGCTGGGCAAGCTTCCGATCCGGCAGCTGTTCAGTAGCCAAGTCGAGCAGCTTGAGAATCTAAAAAGCACTGGTTTTCGTAGACATTTGGCAAAATCCAGAAAAAGGAAACTAACACTCACATAGCCCTTGAATTCATCAAACGTCTCGAAATCGAAGGATTCGACACGATCGGAAATTTTCTGAAGCGACATAAACGGGCTCTTCCTGCTCCTTGTCGGACGTGGAATCTCGAGGTTGGCCAGGCTGGTGTAAACTCGCCGGCCCTTCATTTTTTCGAACACCTCCTTGACCAGCTGAAAAGGCAGGGGATAGATACAGATAATTTTACGACTCCACCTCAGCCTCGGGGTTGAGCTCAACCCGACGTGGTTGCTTTGAGCGGGTGCTGCGGCCAGCGGGAATGTCTTCAGACGCTTCAGAATGGGCACGCTTCCGGAGACGGCCATTTTTCTAAAAACGATGAAACGATATGGTCGCAATACCTCAGCCGCGAAAAAGTCGTCATTATCGTCCTCTTGATCGTCTTGTGCGGCGGCTTGATGACGAGACGATTTCTCGGATTTGTTCTTCTCGTAGACGCAGCTCGCACAGTTCCACGCATCATTAGGGACCTATTTTAAAGCAAGCTTCAAGCGGAAAAGGAATTTCTACCTCTTTCAACTTCCTTGGAAGGCAATAGACGTGGAAGCAAGCGCCACACGTGTGGCAGATGACTTTAGAGTCGTGCGTATTTTTACGGCCACATCCGCGGCATTTCTGAAAGGAAAATTGTACAACGAGCGTCAAAGCACCTTGTTCTTCAGTGACTCGTCCCAGTCGGCACGTGAGTGAACCATGTCAAGAAGCATCGATAGTTTCGAGAATGTTTTCGATTCCAGGACTTGCGGACGCCACCTAGATATCAGTTATTGACACCATTCACAAACTTACTTTGCCAATACAAACCAGCCGCAGCCAAACACCTGGGCAATCGTCGTTCGGATGGCCTTCGGGTTAGCCTTTTCAACGATTTCGACGAGCAGCTCACCCTAGGAAAAAACTAGTGAAAAACCCAGATGCACTTACAAAAGTATCGACATCGGTGGCTGTTCGCAGGCGTGCCTGGTAGCTAGCTGCGTCAAGCGCGACGGCCAAGTGATTTTCAATCATCTCGTCAGCAAAGCTGTCGAGCGACGCCTTGAATGTCTCGAGGGCCGTTTCGACCTGGTCGACAGACACCCTAAAATACAAAGTTTATTGCACCCTGCGTTAATGCTTACGATCGACTGTTGCGGTCGCCCTGGCGACGTCGGGCATAGTGCGCCTTCTGTTCGTTGACGCTTTCCACCAAATCCTCAAAATCTTGTCGAAGGATCTTCTCGCGATTGGCTAGCGGATTCAACTTCTTTGAGAATTGGCGCATCTCTTCGACGTCGCGCAAGCAGTACCACTTTTCTTTCAGGTCGACGGCCAGTTCGGGTTCTTTGTCTTGCTTCAGTAGCACTTCTTCTCGCGTAACACCTAGCTGAAAGAGAAAAATAAGTTGGCCTCCAGTCTAACAAATCAAAAAAATAAGAACTTACATCCTGAATCCAAATTCCAAGGTTCGGGCTCGATTTCCCGAAATAGTAATATCGGCGGAAGTTGCGGTCCATGCCAAAGGAGCTGATACGGTACGCATACTGGGCTTGTTGTTTCGATTCCTAGAAACACTATTAAACATCCGAGTGCCAACAATAAACCTGAATCTCTTCCTTGAGCTCATCGATATCCTCTTCCTTGATTGCGATGTTGCGCCGCAGAGTGTCGCGCTGCTGCCGGATCTTCGAAAACTTCATCGACTCGAGTCGGGAGAGCTCAGCATCATCCGGCGGGCATTCCGGTAGAGCGGCCAGGTCTTTTCGTAATTTGACTAGCTAAACCAAGCATTTTGATTTATTTTTTGGTCAAACCTTCTCTTTTTGCTGTTCCAGCTTCCCCAACAATTTTTTCGTGTTCTCAACGTCTCCACCATTTGTGCAGTATTCTTCGTAGAGCTCGGTGGTCAGGACGATTCGGAGTAGATAGGAGGCTATCTTCAGCTGCGTTTCCGGTGGTAGCTCCCAGAGCTCGAGATTATCCGGGAAACTGGCCAGCAGCGTCTCGCGATAGTTCTGCAAAATAAATTTAGAAGAAACTTTCCAGATAAAGCAGGAGAAAATGGAGATAATATACCTGATCGTGGGCTGTCATATCCAAGTCGACGTCTTCGGTCGCCCGCGCCACGTCATCATCACCTTCTATGGCAATCGAGGAAGATGTTAGGATGGCGCGACACATTTCGGATAAGACAAGCGTATCGACATTGTAGTGACGGAGACTTTGCGAAAAGTGGCTGATCTGAAAAATATTAAAAATTAAATAAAGCCAAGAGCAATGGCATAACTCATACCAGAAATTTACACTACCTTAAATTCTTTTGCGGTTTGTAGCAGCCGGATTAATGGATGGACGATTTTTGCAAGACCGTTGCTGAAGCCAACAAAGCCGCGGGAAAGATCCGAGAACAATGACTCTACAAATTAATGCCGTAGATGGGAGAAAAAATTTGGCTTACCCGCGCTTGGTGCCTCCTTGACCCCAAAGAAATTCGCGAGCCCGTGGATGGCTTCGGTGAGAGTGAGCGCTTCGGCGAAGGCGGTTTGATCCGATACAGGCTCATCGGGAAGTTCGAGTCGATCAGTGCAAATGTTCAGATCCTCAGACATCTAAACCAAGAATAGCTTACAGGCTGTATTTGATTGGAACCAACCTCCTCAAAGTGATCGGACAGTGCTGAGTTCATCGCGGCAGCCCTAATCTTTTCGGTCTGCTTCCCAAGGGCCTTCGCCTCATCTTCCCCTTCCTGTTCTTCTTTCCTGAAACAGGGCGTAATTCTCGAAAATCCTCCATACTTCTTGATCGAGCCTTTGTGCACACGTGAAAGGAAATAGCGGATCAGCTCTTCAGGTACCGATTCGATCTAGAGGGAGAATCTGCATCAGCTCGAGAAAATATACCTGTTCGGTGGTCAAAGAGGATGCCGTCTTGTTCACGAACAGCAGGAATTTCTCCTTGGGACCCTGATCGAAAACGGCGCGCAATTTTTTCATAATATCTAAAAAACCATAAATTCTTGTATATTGATGGCTTTACCATTGAAGCGCTTCTCGGATCTTTGTGCGGGCGTCAAGAACGGAGAACCAGTAGTAGAAGATCCTTGGCTACTTCCTTGAGAGTGCAGGAAATTTTTTAAGCTCTAAAAACGATCAATGGTCAATGCGCCGTTTCAAAAACCTTTAGTTTCTTTTCAGGCTTTTCCTTTTTCGGCTTCTTTTCCTTCGGTTCCTTCGGTTCCTTCTTGGCTTTTGGTTCCTTCTTGACCTTTGCAGGTTTCTCAGCCTTCACCTTCGGAACCTTGGTTTTCTAAAAACCCGTCGCGTAACACGAAATCAGAAGAATCATTACCTTCGTCACTGACGTCCCCAAACTTTTTCGTAGCATAGCGCTCGGATGGGCGGCGGTAAGAGAGCGTCGAATATCCTAAAAAAAGGCTAGGAATGTGAACTTCCCGTAGCGCCAACCTCAAGCGGCCTGTCATCGTCGTCACTGGAAGAAAGGACGTGCGGCTTCTTTGGCGTGCCATCACTGGGTGCTTCTCGTTTGGCGCTTGAAGAATTGCCTAATCGCATAAATTGGCCAAAAGGATGTGTACCAACCAGATTTGCGCACCATCATCAATGGGTGTATTTTGTTCTTGACGCCGAGCTTCTTGCAGAGCTTATCCTCTACAATCCAGTATCGCTCCTCTGGCACAGCAATTCGCGAAATAATCTCCCGGAAATCAGCCAATGTTCGCTTCTTTTCGGGGCTAAAGGTGAAAAATATGGAATCATGTAGGTAAACTTACTAGACATTAGATTGGTTAACCGGAAGCCCACTGTAAGTGTCAGGTGTGAATTGTAGAATGCGAGTTCCACCCTTTTTCGTCGAAGATTGAACGGTTTTGAGATCGATACTAAATTATCCATACGGTCAAACCCTTAAAAGCTAACTCTGATTTGCTGATCTTGACTCTGTCCTTCTCGTACACGTTGTCGCCAAGCTCATCGAATGCTTCTTCAGCGAGCTGCTCGAGTGTTCGATCGACTTCTTCTGTAAAAATGGACCATGATCGTGCCGTAAAACTAGTTTCGCAAATTACTCGAAAGCTGACCATGGTGAACTATGGAAGCAACATCTCGGAGCAGATCATGCGCGAACAGCTCATCAACAGCCAGTTCCTTCGGTGCCTTCGCCGAATCGTCGTCATCGTCGAGTGTCAGAACTTCGACCGCAGGGCTGGAAAAAAGACATTGCATATAACAAAAAAGTGTCTTACATATCCTCAGTGGCCTTCTGACTCTCTCCCATATTTGAACGATCTCGAAACACCGCGGTTTCCGCAATGGGCATGGCCGAGGCGGCTGCTGAAACAAGGAAACTAAAAGAAGCCCATCAAGGCCAGCTAGAACAATGTGGAAAACGATTGTCAAGCCTGTGAAATATAGATTTCTGAGGCTTATAAGAATGGATTCAGTACAACATCTCGAGGATAGAAAGTGGTTATAGCCTTGGGCTATCTCGGCGCAAAGGCAAATTTTTTAAACCGATTGTTTTGGCGCGCGCGGTACTGCCCAGGTGGGATGCCCCACCCAAGAGACAGCCCCGACGATTCACTAGGGTCACCCGGCTGACTAATGACAACAACATTAGGAGTTCCCGTCCTGAGGAAACGGGAAAATCTAAATCTAAGAAAATTAACAACATGGTACAGTACAGGCATGCATGTGAGAAGCTCAGGCAGTTACAGTAGTACACCCCAGGATTTGGATATCTGTAAAAATGAATATCTCAATATCAAAATGCTGATTTGACTAGGAAATATAAAATAAATCCCGCCGGAGTAAACCCCACTAAAAACCCATTCATAAGGTATTTTCACCTCTTCCATGGCTCATAAAGCTTCTCATGGACAGGGGTACTATGAAAAGCAGGTATATTTGGGCCGTTCGGATGTGTTTTCAAATTCTAACGCGTGAAAGGTCATCATCGAGTTCCGAGACCCCTCTATTTCAGGGGGTGCTCGTGTTCCGACTGGCGGCCGATTTTGCTCAATCGACTCTGGCAGGGCGCAAGACGCTTTCGAGAGCCTGCACCATTGTTTGCTTGAAGGTATGAGGCGTAGCGATCAAGCGGCGATTTTCTGCCGTTTTTCTGGGCTGATTAGCAGACTGATTATTGCCTTCAGATGGCTGAATCGGTCCACCGAAGCGCGCTCTCAATGATGTCCATTCCGGTCAGGCAGCAGGCCTTCCGACAGGCGCGACTAAAATCTTCGAATGCTGAGGTAGCGATCGACCGCGGCAGCGGCTTCTTCACCATTGACTTGCACGTCACTTTGCTAGGCCCACCAGCGACCAACGTCTCTTTGCAAACGGATGATAACCGCTTACGCGAATGCCATCCTCGATGCGAATGCCATCCATGAAGTAACCTTATGATCCGTTTTACCCAGGCCGCCTAGGAAGCCGTTGAGAAACAGAAGCGACACGACCTGAATTTTAACATTCCAGACGCGGTTCGAGTATGCGGGGGAAAATTCATTGAGGTGGGGAACTTTCCTCAACAGTTATATGCTCAAAGTCAGGTGGATTTCTGCGCGGTCAACGAGCTGATGAGCGAATCATTGCCAAGGCTTCTAAAAATGATTACAAAAGAGTGGGAGATTACTTGAAACCAAGGATCTTGTTCAGCGTTCGATTGAAATCTCTGCCCAAACTCTTCCTTATCCTCGTCGCCTACGAGCGCGCCATCTTGTTCGTGGTTGACCGGAAGCGCGGGTCAATTGTGCTCTTTGACTCCCACACGCATATGGTCGAGCAGAAGGTCGAAGGTATTGTGATATACTTACGCTTGAAACCGGGGTTCAGGGGCCTACATCGCAGCCGCATCGCTCACAAATATGAACGTCTTCTGCGAGTGGATCGTCGAAAATATCTTCCCGGAGGCTTCGATAACAACCCAAGTTTCCTTAGATACCTTGGATGCGATCAGCTGATATTTAGGAATACGAGCTATCCGTCCTCCACTTCACGGAGCGGCCGACCCCGGGGGACTGTCACACCAGCTTACATATCCCAGTCGTTAGTGATCTATCCAGGAATTTGGTCATCGACAAATTCAGGTGTCCTGCCGGCTATTCAACGAAGCAAGGAAGGGGTGTGCTGCCTGAATCTTCAACCACAGCTCTAACCGCACCATTATCCCTCAACTAATAGAAATCTGTGATAACTTAACTCCTAATAAATTATGTCATCGCAACATCAAAACCCTGGACATTTCAAGAAACAAAGATTTATTCTGCGACACAACCTGTAAGAGTATGAAGTAGCCAAAAGCGAACGACATGTAATTATGTAAAAGATCAGCGGTTTAGCTTCAAAGAGGCGCGGATGCACATAAAATCACAACAAATCGGGGACAACTGGATAACATTTAGCTATTACTCGGTGGCTTCGTCTTCGATATAATTCTTGGGCAGGCACCCGAACTTCTTGTCCCATTCGTGGTAATTCTAAGAAAGCTAGCTAAAAATCCTAGAAATACCTTTAGGTCTTCTTTGACTACAGTAGGGCGGACGACGATGCATGCCTCTCGGAAATCCGAAATCAAAATCGGGCGAATCTGGACCGATCAATAATAGAACCAGAATTTAGCAAACCTTTTCTAGGGGAATAGTCTCTATATCATATTCACTATTGTTAACGATATCCCGCACGGGTCCCATCGCCGCTTCGCTGCAGAGGTTCCGCATGTCAGCTCCGGAGTAGCCTAAATCCAGATTCGATAAACTAGGAAAGCTTACCCTTCGTCATCCCAGCAATCTCGTCGAGGTCCTTGTCTCGCAGTCGATGCGTATTCTGGGCGATTAAATTATGCACCATCTGCCGTCTAGCGCATTCCTGGGGAAGTGGTACATAAAGTCTCTTCGCGAAACGTCTTCGTGCCGCTTCATCGAGCTCTTGTGGTCTAAGAAGTCGTCATCATCATCATGAGCCAAAAGCCACATACCGATTCGTCGCCCCGAGCACCAGCAGTCTGTCTTCAGCCGATGTCGCCACGCCATCAAGCTGGACAAGGAATTCCGTTTTGATCCTAGAGAACAATTTCAAACACCGATCCATCTTACCGGCGCGAGGATTCGTGTTCCGTTTCACTTCTTGCGCACAGCAACGAGTCGATCTAGAAGCGAAAAGTGTACACAAAAATAGCAAATGTGGCCTACTTCGTCTATAAAAATGATGCTCGGGTCTTTCAGTCGAGCCACAGCGAATAATGCGCGCACTAGTTTCTCCCCCTCGCCGACCTAAATAGTGAACTTATCAAAATTAAATTCGAAGCGTGACGAGGGCGAGCAGATCATGGCGTACCCATTTCGACGTCAACGATGATGCGGAGATATTGAAGAAGGTTGCCTTGCATTGAGAAGCCACACAGCGCCCTAAAAATTCCTAAAAATTCAAAACAAACTAATACCGATCATAGTCTTTCCAGTCCCTGGTGGACCGAAGAGGAGGACGCCCTTTGGAGGCGCTCGGATCCCAGTGAAAACGTCTCTAAAAGACGTTGTAGTCAAGCTTCAGAGAATTACGGTCGTTTGAAAGGCAAGACAACAATCTCAGATAGTGCTTTCTTCGCAGCCTCAAGCCCAGCGACATCGCGCCAATCGGTATCCCGTGTGATAGCCATAATCTAAGCAAAGAAAATATGTAGGTAGTCTAATATATATCCAAACAACCTCATTTTCGATCAGACGGATGATATTTTCGTCAAACATTTTGAGGCTAGGCTCAGCGCGCAATCCGGTTGGTTCCTCGATTGTTGTTTTGAGCACAGCCTCCGCGGCTTGTTTGGCGATCCCCGTTGGAGGCACAAAACCCGAAGAACCGGTGGTAGAGCCGCCTAGTTTTCTAAATAAAATTATAACATCAAGCGAAAACACAAGCTTATTGCCGAGGTAGCGATCTCCTTTGTCTTGGCTGTTGCTTGGCGTGGGCTGATTTTCCGGCGATTCCGCCGGAGTAACGACCTTATGTACCTCTTTGCCCATCCGACTTGCTCCGGATGCCGTCTTGAAATCTCCCGGCTTAGCAAAGCTGGGCGCCGTGAACTTGCTAAAAGTACATATAATCAAGCGGTACTATTCAAGTTGGGGGGGGGCAAAAATTTTTTGGGTCATTTTTAGGCTAATTGGTCAGTTTTTCTGTGGCTTAGGCTTAGCGTAGCTTAGTATTGGCTTGGCCTAGGCTTAAGCTTAACTTAGGTTAACTAGTTAACTAGCTTAACTTAGCTCAACTAGTTTAACCTAGGCTTAGGCCTATGCTTAGCCTAAGCCTTAGTACCTGGTCCTTAGCTTGGCTTCGTCACAGCATCACTGCTTTTGGCGTCGACTTAGCTTTGTTCAAGCTCAATTTAACTGTGCTTCGGCTTAGCTTAGCTTAGGAGTTGAGTATTGCGCTGGATTAGCCACGAAAAACTGATCAAGTAGCCTAAAAATGACCTAAAAGATTTTGCCCCCCAACTTGAATAGTACCAATCAAGCTTATCAAAGGCTCCAACCTCTTTGCCCTTTTCGCAGGGTGGGCGCTAAAGATCGTCTGACGAACGGAATTTTCGACGCTCTCCTCCAGTTGCTTATGACGCAGGCCGGCCTGAACTCTGGACTATACAATGAAAGAACGAAGCGCACCGGATCCAGGACATGAAGCATCTTCCGCTTCGTGAGTTCAACCATCGGATCGTTGTTGAAGGCAGAGTCAAAGGCATTAGAAAATTTGGAACTAAAAACAATGCAGTAGCGAATAAATCAAACGCACTCTCGCTGAACCGGACGGCCAAATAGTTTGGACTTTTCTGGCTTTGACACCGAGCTGTCAGTGAGAACAATCGGTTTCAGGCCATTTTTTCGGGCACTCGTCGAGGGCATCGTGATGTCAACGATGGATATTTCGTCAGGATCAGAATCGCCGAACATCTAGAGGAGGCTAGAATATTCCAAGTTTCCTACCAATTCATCGGTATCCCTACTATCGCGCTTGTCCTTGCGCTTCTTACTTCCGGTGAGGGCACTAAATCTTTTCAAGATACAAAATCAATTATACCGATTATTAAAAGCAGGGTAGTTCTCGTCGCCTCCATTATCCTTGCCCAGAAACATCGCAGCCTATTCGTGTTTCGACTTGGCGCCCGGGAGTAGCAAGCTCTGTATAGGTCGCGTAACCAGTGCAGACATAGGAGACAACGGGTAGTAAGAAAATTTATTACCAGCAAAAAGGGTGGTGACCCGTTGGATAGTTTGAAAACAAAGCAACGATTGCATTGGGTTCAAAACGGTCATTAATCACAGAGCATGGACATGACGAATAGTAAGCATGTAGAAGAAAGACCCGTAAAAGAAGATTAACGTCAAAAGTCCTAAGGTTTTCGGGCGGCTCCGTCAGCTTTCCCATCATTCGGTGGCGAAGATCCCTCGATCGATTCAGACTGGCTCTGGGAGGAAGCTGCCCTGCAAAAAAACATTTATGTTTAAACTTTTTATCTCACTTGGCCTGAACTGCGGCTTCCTTGTCTTTGCGCTGCTGGTCGATATAAGCTTCCTGCATCAAAGCTATAGAAACCCTGAATTGCAAACATGGAGGCGATGCTCTTCCTCGATGCGTTTGTAGTCGTAGGAGGGACGGGTGCGGAAGAGGAATGGGACATAGTAATTAATCTAAAAAAATTTTAAGCAAAACTGAATACAATACCCGCTCCTTAGCAGCCGGGAAGCAGTCGGGATTCCATGTAATCTCCTTGAGGTTGTAGCCGACTTGCTGAAGACGAATTATAAGAGGCAATACAAAATTATAATACCTTGACCAAGGGAACCGACGCGGCAACGGCCGAAACAATCGAGCTTCCGATGCCCGCACAGCCACGAGGAGCTGAGCGCGAGCCTATGTAACTACACACTAAAAGGATAGTCAAACTACCTTCAGTCAAAGGGCCCTCGCCCAGCTGGGGGCGGCCCTTGTCTTCCGGATGCGCAACGTCATGTGCCTCGGCGAGCTCCTTGAAGAGTTTGTCGATGCCCGTCTAAAAAAACTGATTTGCCAGGGCTAGCAAATTTTTACCTGATCCTGTGCCGAGCATTCGAAGGCCTTGACGGCGTTCAGCTCCTTGGCCACGTCGGCAGGGCTATGTCCATCCTAAGAAAGATAATGTAACGCTGACATCGCAAATGTACGTCATAGTTGTCGTAAAGACGGTCACATTTCGTGCGCACCAGGTAGACCTTCGCCGTGGGGAACCACTCAGCTATGCGAGGAGTCCACTAAACAGAGGTTCGCGAATTTGTTGATCTATACCTTCTCAGAAAGTCGGGCCTCCTGCTCCCTCTCTCCGTCGTAGCACAACAGTACGGCCTCGATGTCATGGGCGTACTGGCGCTTCTTCTCCCAATCCTCACGCATCTCGACGAGCGTAAAGAGATAGCGCTGCTCGCCGATGTAGAACATCTTATGCGCTTCCGGTTGCTAAAAAAACAGATGTTATAGTTCAAACAGCCGCGCAACCTCAGCAGGGTTTAAAGGGAAGACGCTGGTCACAAACGTCTCGATCAGTGAGGTCTTGCCCACATCTAAAAAAAAGTTCAAAAGATATTTCGGAGTTTACGCTTGTCTCCAACGACGGCAACCCGAACTTTCTTCACCGAAATAGCACCAGCATCCAACATTGTAGTTTCTAAATTGCGAAGTTCCAAAAGCTGGAAGGGCAAACCAAATAGGATTGATGGGCCGTCCTCAATGAAGAACATCTCTCTTCAATCGGGCACGCATAATATGTTAATGTCGGCTAGTCTAAATCTGGACGAAAATTCGAAATTGCGGAGATATTTCGCAAGTTCCGTGAAGAAACTAATCGTCATTTGTACATCGCGTACACAGGGGGGTAAAATAGCAAGTCTTGAGATCTCGAAAAGCGCGTAAAAGGTAAAAGAAATATAAATAATTAAACTTTAACTTTAAAATATAAAAATTAACTTTAACTAAATTGCTCCAATTAAAAATTGGCAGTGAGCATCATCTTTGCAGCTTTGCCGCGGATCGAATCTCCCAAATTCGCTCGCGCGCCCTGCCCTCGAGATCCATCCATTTACGAGTGCATTTCCAAGGCAACATGGCGGATACATTTATCTTTGCCAACTTGGAAACAACGCTAACGATGAAAACAAGAAAAAGCCCGTAGCTGGCGTATATACTCCATGCGATGGATGCCCCTTTGGGCGAGAAGAGGGGAAAAAGGCACTAATATGGCGGGGATTTGGACTCGTCGGCGGGGAAATCGGGAGGGTGGCAACACGAAGAAAGTCTAAATCCCCCAGTCATCGGGCCACTTTCTCTAATCCATTTCCGGGGAGATTGCACTGACGATAGTGCAAGATGTCATGGAATGGAATGCGACTTATTCTCTAACAATAATTTTACAAGTTTTTGAATCACATTGGCTTGATAGGGGATAAATAGGAATAGGTCGCCGATCGGCTATGAATAGCTGCCGTGGTCGTATTTGAAGCCCGTGTGGTCCATATCTTCGAAGGAATGGAGGATACCGTTTGTATGTGGTGACTCCATCATCGGGGTTGAGCCTCTGAAAAAGGATTTGCTGCCACAATCTTAAAACTAATACTGTCGAAATGTCATATCGAAGTTTACCTGAATAGCCCGTCTGCTAAGCCAAAAATTCCGACATTTTTTATAAATAAGTCTCGAAATCATCAATTTTATTCCTTCAACATTTTCTGGTAACAAATTACCGCCCTTGAATACGGGTTTCCCTAACTTACCTCGTATAAGAAGTGTAGGGCGTGCCGATGGAGCTGGGGGCCGACGGGTTGTGTGGTGAGAAATATTGGTCAGCCACCGAGTCCAGGATGTTCATCGCCTCCTGCTTGCCCTTGCCGTGGAAATTACACAGCTGGACAAGCTCGCGGGCAAAGTCGTCGTGCGGCGACAGCAGGGCGGACAGGCGGCCGGCAAGGTTTGGCCGCTCGTTTTCCACCTGAAGTTTTGGGTTGTACACTATTTTGCCAGGCCACATTTAGAAGTCTTTTACCCACCTCATGCAGCATAAGGTCAGCAGAGGGCGGCTTCACCTTACAAGTAACGACAGCAATACGCATCGCCGTAAACCTATTATTCCAATGCATTAAGGGTTTCGGAGACATTCGGCGTACCTGATGTTCTGCATCGCGTCCAGATCCCCGGAATGGGTGACGTTGCTCGAGATTTGTCGACTGTCCTCGCCGTTGTCCGGGGCTTGCGAATTCCCCTTTTTCTCTTTCATCAGGCGCAGCACGTCGGTGATGCGCACCAGTTCGAGTTGTGAGTTCATGATGTATTTCACCTGCAAAAAGGGTTTGTTATTAAAATTGTCGGGACTGGTTTGCGACCCACTTTCTCAGCATCGGCAATGTCTCGTAGATAGTCCATCAGACATTTCGCTTGCAGCTTTTTTAAATCCAACGGCTCCAGGTGGATGGGTTTCATCACGCCCGCGTCGACAGCATGGGCATTGGATTTGAGCGTGAAGCAGATGGTGCCTGAATTAATGGGCTGAATTATATTAATACAGATAATAATAAGTTTTTAAATCTAAGCAATAATCAGCAGTAAAAATTAAAAATCAAGCACTAAATATAAAGCAGAATTTACCGCACCTCCAGTCACGAACGATAAGCGCATGATAAGCGTGGACTGGCGCTTTTCGAGTAGCTGGTCAACCTAAATAGGTGTGTTTCAAAGAGAATCCGGTGCTAATGCACTTGGGGGGGGGCAGTCCGAATTTTGACTACAAGACGCCCAAATGCCGTTTTTAAACCGAAGCCCTGGAAAAGCTAGCCGCCTAAGCCCAGGCTAGCTTCATACAAACAAGCCTGAGCTTAGCTTGAGCCAAGCTAAGCTTGCCTAAGCTAGCCCAAATGACCCTATTTTGACCACCTGAGGCAATTTAAAGCTTAAGTTGCTGCTTGGGCTGCTTGCCTGCCAAGCCTGCTTAGTTATAGCTGTTAGCCTAGGCTTGTTGAAAACCAAGTAGCTTCGCGGAGTGTCTCGTAACCCCTTACTACCAATTTCGGGCTGCCCCCCAAGTGCATTAGCACCGAGATCCTGCTGTTACGATACCTGGTCGAATTCAAGAAAGCCGAGCAAGAAGCCCATTTCCCACAAATTTCGCACGTTGTTGCGGCCATCGTGGAAAATCTGGAGCAGCTCCAACATTCCGCGCCATACCGAGAACCGCACGTTCGTCGAGCCGCACTCGTATCGCAGATGGGGGCACAGAATGTTCTTGAAGGTCACGATTTCTAAATGACAACTTTAGATCGGACAAGAGATTTTGCGTACGCTGTGCGCCATTGATTCTGGCGCTCGAGTCGCCGCTCTGGCAGTCCTGGCATTGCAATTTGTATTGGAGCAGCTCGAAATCTTGGTCGATGAGCCCCCGGTTGACGCCGGCATTCGTTTTGAAGTGTTGTTTGTAGAGTTGTACGAATTTTCCCCATAGCATGCCTAGAGAAAGGGATAGTTCATTGATATTTTCAAGCTCACCCTGATCCGACCACTGTAAAAGCAGTCCATCCTGTAAGTGGCACCCGTATAGCCAGAAGATGGTCGCCGTATAGGAGGACATCATCCGTTGCACTTGGCAATCCTTCAAACATGAATTTTTTAAATGAAATTAATTCTTTATAAAAATTGTTCTAGTTTGTTCACAAAAAATGTCCGTTTGCTGATTTTCAGACCTGATTCCTGCGCGTGGCGATGGTGAACGGCAGGGAAAGGGTGTGAGCGGTGGAGAAGCGACCGGATGGTGAGAATAGCGTGGCTTTGATGTGGAAATAGAAGAGTGGCCGTTTCCCGTTTGAGGTCTTCTCATAGACGCCGCTGGGAGACAGGTCCTAGAAGATGGGAAAGGGTAAAAATTACGGAGGGCTTCTATCGCTAATTGATACCTGATACGAATTATGATTCGACGACGCCTTCCCCTTTTGCCGGGTGGTGCACAGCAAATGGGGATACGACGCTGCCCTAAAATTCACATAACCGCTGTGAAATAGCAAGACATACCAGTATCTGTTTTTCGCATTGTAGATGGGGTAGATGGTGACGTTCTCCTTGCTGTTGACGTCACTTTTCTTGTGGGCCGTGTTGTTCGGCTGGTCGTTGAGGCCTGATTAGTTACATTTTTCACTGATGCAATAACAGATCGTTGGATCCCCCGCGGGAGAGCCAGCTAACCGTACCGGAATTCGATTGGTGTCGTTTGGTGCCCGAAGTCGGCTTCATCGCAAGAAGAGCCGCCGACGCAGGGATGCCGATGTTCGGGGCGCCCTGCAGCAACCGAGCCCGTCTCATTTCGTTCTTAAAACCGAAATTGCGAGGTGCTCTATGATGTTCCGTTTAACCCTTTAAACGATTGGCTGAAGCTTCTGACCTGGATGATCTCGGCAATTTCTTCGGAGACGACCTGAATTTCAAAGTCCTTGAAGACAACACCGCGTGCCAAGGCGCCGACGTTCATGCTGAAAAAGCCCTACGTTTTCTTCCTATTTGAGTTTAGTTTTTGTTTTCAGTTTTTTATATTTTCCAACCCACCTGAACAAGTTGTTGGTGACGAGGATGGCATTTGTGGAAGGCTCAGTGGCAAGCACACAGTCGCTCATCAGCAGATCCAAAGCAGCAAAAACGGCTTCGGAGAGCGGTTGAACCGGGTCAAACGATCCGTACATCTTCTTCGAGATTGTCAAATCGTAGCGGAAACCCTGACCCCGTATTTGTTGATGCGGCCAGTATGAACTACCTGTAGTCGGGCGCCAAGGATGGCGAGGATGAACATCATGTTCGAGTAGAAGGCGACGAGCTCGTTGATCGAATCGTTCTCCGGGTCAACTTGGTCTCGCATTCGCATCACTTGCGCGGCCCGCACGTCTCGCCAGAGCCGCTCGCAGTTGCGATTGCAGTATTTCTGAAGCAAAAAAGTGTTTGTTAACAAAATACTTAGTTATTAAAAATTGTGCTTCTAATTGTCTGAAGATACCTTGAACATTTCGATGCACGGGTTCAGCGATCCTTCCTGGAATCCAGTGAGCTCGCGGTGGAACTGCTCGAGGTCGGCGGGGCCAACGAATTGTGTTGTGTTCATCAATCTGAAGGGGGACAAAGTAAAAATCCCCCGAGTCTGTACTAACCTGTACAACTGATGGAGCTGGACCATCGTATTGTCCATCGTGTCTTTCAGCAGCTGATAGTTTGGGTCGGTAGGGTCACCGACTGCTGGTAAGTTGTCCCTAAAATCCAAATTTTCCTTTGACGTGCAGCGCTTGCCTGGCATAGTTGACCAGCTCAACGAGCGCTTGGTTCAGGCGATCCAGAATCGCGCGATCGTCCGCCGTAGTAACCATAGCCTAAATACCGATTCTATTGAAAACGCAAAGCTCCACCTGGAGACTGTTCTGCAACCGAGAGGTAATGCAGAGGACGTTCCAGGTTAACATCGTCCATTCTTCGTAGAAGGCTTGGTCCCTCGGCTGTGCATTCATATTGGTCTTAATCCGTTGCACGCGACCATCGATCTCAGAAAGAAGGCGGCAAATCATAGCTTTGATCTAAACAGCTTTGGAAGGGGAAAACTGGAAAAATGAAAAACCTTGGCTTTCTTCTCCTCTTCGCTGTCAGTAAGCGGCGGGTCGTAGTGACGCCGCACATCATGCCACAAGCAAAAGAGGTCGTGCAGCAGCTTCTGGAAGCCCTCGTTCGGCAGCATCGTCAACTGCGTCCTCGAGCTTTTTAGGGCGGCTAAAGCAGCATGAATATTATCGAATTTACAATGACGCCCCATAGTTTTGAGTTTTTTAATGGTTATTAGGAAGATAGAAACAAAAAAAACCCATCACGACGTTGCGAAGCAAGTAGCCGGCAGGTGGGTTGTGCAAAGTTAAAAGATTTTTGAGCTGGCTCGATCGCGCTGGCGGGGTTAATGCATGGATCAGGGAGATGGATCGCTGAAGGGCGAGTCGAGTTTTTTGAGACCGGGATTTTTCCATCTACACTAATCCATGCGAGCTCCCGTCGCGGCGCGCTCGAGCCAGCAGCAGGCCCGAAAGGACCCACATATCACTTCCGCTAATTCATGATTGACGGTTGGCAAAGAAGAGATTCAGGGAGGGAACCCCGATGAAGTCCGGGGTCACCGAAGCCTGCAGCCCTCCCGTGGCTGTCCCTGAAAACAACAAGTACCGTAGGGCGATCGGAGGCCGCGAGCTGTTTCCGGTTGCAGGCCTTCCGGCTGTGCGCACGGCTGTCGCGGCGGGTCGCCTCAAAAGGGAATATAAAGGAGAAGATGGTGGGTGATACATAGGTGGATATTAGGAGCACCATGTCTGTTAGAAGTTCCTAAAGGGGCACGGACCGCCGCATAGAAAGTTGTGAAATTTAAGTTTTGCGCGTATATAGGTACGTATCGTTGCTAAAGTTGAACTGCACCTCGGTTTCCTGGCCATTGCCAATGTATGCGCGCAGTCAATTTTGTTTTTCGACAGTCGGTGTCCGCTATTTATAAGGAAAAGGCGCTGATTATGCACTATGCTTCAATTTCGTTGTTTTTCAAAGGCCATATGTAGCCGAAAATCTTCTAGCTCTACACTCGTCTTACTCAGCGGCACACCAAATAAAAATCAATCAAAAAAAAGAAAAGAAGAAATCAAATTCGGTAATGGGAGAGGCTTTTAGCGGAACATGCCACCCAAAGTGAATGAAATGGAGGTGGAGCGGGAAAAAGAAATTTTTCGTCAATGAAAACGGAAGTGAACCAACGGACGGTCGCCTCTTTTCTACAGACAATCCAAATCAACGATCGGCGGCCGAAAAATGCCCGGCAGCTATGCGATAAGGAGACTTCGCGCTCTTTGCGTAAAAGCGACCCTATCCGTCCTTTTCCGGGGGTCATTGTCGCGGCGATAAGGGGAGAAATCGATTAATGAGTATATCAGAGGACAGAGGCAATTCAGCTCGGCACCCCGCGGCAGTTATGATTTATTACTTTGGGGCTAAACCTGTCGGCAATGCGAAAAAATAAACTGGCCACAACTAGCCACACGCTGCTGTAAAAAAAGAAAGCATGACGGGAAAGCTGGAACGTTTCCCTTAAATTATAGGAGCTATCCACTTTGAAAATGCGATCGAAATTTTTTTTGAGAGACGGAAAGGGATAGAAAAACATTTCAAAGAAGTCATTGAACGCAAATTCGCGGCCAGATTGTAGGCCGATAAAAGGGTCCGGGGCATCCGGGCAGCCAAAACATTCCTTTTGGTGGTCGGCTCGGTTTTGGGATCCAAATTTGTTGGTGACTAATGGTTGTCGACTTGCTGGACATAACACATGTATTAGAGGCCTGACTGGGGGCGGTTATAACATGAGATTCAGAGGTTTGGGGGATAAATAAGAAGGGGCAAACTCGTTGAAGGCATCAATCAAGCGCGATAAATAAACAAGAAATTATTTCGCAGATGCGCTAATAGCCATCAAAACGGCTAAAATTTAAGTAGACGCAGAGAGAAGAGCAAGCATAAAACACAAAATATTTAGGAAAATCTAGCAAAAACGGCCTGTAAGAGGCTTTAGGAAACGACATTTAAAAAGGGGCCAAAATCGTTGGCGATCGAACGAGTGACGTCAACGGCAGGGTTGCCGGGGCATCCCCCAAACGATATTTTGGCCCGTTGGCTGGGTCAATGCGCAACCGGCCACCAGTCGCCACCCCCTGCGATCATCACTGATACGGCGAATGGATTGGGCCGGTCACCACCGCCATTCGTTTAGACCTGTCTATAGATTTTCCTACGGAGATATGTGCAGAAAATGGGAAAGTTAGAACTAAATCCAGAATTTATAGCTATCGTTTGTCGGGTGTTGCCATATAACTGGTTGCGGAAAAGGGCTTGTAAAACTATAAAAATGATAAGAGGATTAAGCATACCCCAAATTTCGAAAAATATGGTTTAAAAGGTGGAAAATAATGCGAAAGAAATCAATGAAATCACGTCTCATCCGGCAAAAGGAGCATGATATCAACTGACTGAGATGAATTACGAGGATGGTGACCAGCAGTTGATTTCCCGGTGCTGATTCAGTGCCGGAGAGAGCGAAAGGCTTTCGATAAAACTAACATTTCATGGTTGCACCGGTCAGCACCTTTGGCCCGCCGCCAATTGTTTATTTCTCTTTACCCGCTTATCGGGGCCGACAATCGATCATCATCGCGGGGGCTGGAATGATAGCGGATCGCACCCGCCCGTTCCGCAAAATCCATTTTGGGCAAGGGCGAGTATTGACCCGCCGGTTCCGAAGCCATTTTGGGAAACAGCCGTCACAAGGTACAACATAATCGGGAGCGTCTGGCGCTAGCAGGATGTTCTCTCGCCCCAAATCACATCATGTGGAAAGAAGTAAAAAGTCAGAAAAAGAAAAATAGAGGGATTTCGAAAATATTCCAAAAATAGGGGTGCGCGGAACCGGGGTCAGAACCATTTCCGCCGATGGCGTGGGAAAGCAAAAACAAAGCACAATAATTCTAAAGCTAAAAACAACAGTTTTCACCAGAACTAATTGAACAGACGCGCAAAAACGCGAATAAAAAGTCTGTAATTCCGGGAAAACACTTTGTCGAAACTGCCAAGGCATTCCCTGTAAAAGCGCGCCCAAACGACCGTACCCAGCCACGAATTCAATGGGGTGATTGAATGAAAGCGTTCTCAAAAGTTCACAAATGGTCAAAAATTCTTCAATTCACTATTTCACAAAGCTCCATGAAAATAACTAACCCCCAAATTTTCAGTAGATGCTCTCCAGCGAACCAAGCTGCTCAGGGGTGACAGTGAAGGTGCACCCGCTCGTTGTGCTCAACCTAAGCGAACACTGGACACGAGCGCGGCTGCAGAAGACAGAATCGGCCGTCTGGGGCGTCATCCTAGGCCACAAGGACTCGAAGGGACAAGAATATGAGGCCATTACGTCTTTTGACCTTCAGGTTTGGATATCTATGTTGTCTATTTTCGATTTTAGGTGGCGAGGAAGGACGTGCAAGATGGGCGATTTGAACTAGAAGCGCCCGAAATGCAGGCACGCCTTGCTCAATGTAAGGACTTATATCTACCCTCAAATGTGTTGGTTGTACAGATACGGAAGTGTTCAAGGACCTGACATACCTCGGATGGTATACGGCGTCGACCCCGAAGGAAGACGAAAAGCTGTCGTTGCCTTGTGACAGCCTTCTTTTCCAATTGGCTCCCTTTATAAATATGCCGGCTAACAAGGTAAGTTAGTTTCTTTATTATTAAACGCTCGTCACACGCTTTAGTTGCCGTTGATGGTGTACAAGATCAACGAGAAGGGGATCGCGCAATCGGTGCAATGGACCCTACATAGCGAGGAAAGCGAACGGATCGGAGTTGAGCATGTGACCAGGTGTGTTTGTGAACCATAAAAGTAAGATTTGGGAGGGCTGGCTCTATTTTGCGTATTTATATGAATTTTTAGGCTATCGAAAGCGGCCGGCGATATCAGCGCATCGAACGTCAGTCGACACCACCATACGCAATCCTCGGTGGCCGGCATGGTGTATCAGAAGCTGCGCGTCGTGCAGCGCTGGTTGCAAGCTGTTGAAGCCGGCTCAATTGCGTACGACCCGGAAATCGCACGCGAAGCCGCGAAGATCATTCACATCGGCCAACAGATCAAGCCGGCCGGTCATATGGTCGACGAACATCTCGAGGCACACACCAAAGAGGTCGCCGTCGCCATTTTGATCACTAAGGTGGCCGCGTTGCTGGGGAATGGTTATCAGGTAATTGCTTTTTGACGATTGGCAAAAGAGGGCGTGAAGTCCACTGGAAAATCGGCAATAACTAGAACTGGACTAAGCCGTTTTTCTAGACGGTTTGCGATGCACTGCGTCTACGTGAGCCGGTGACTGCTGCCGCTGCGGACATGTCTGGAGACATTGATCCTGCCATCCGAATGATGAAATGTTTCAACCAGGCTCCCACGAACCTTCCACCCGAATTCATGAACTTGTAATACGTGTATTGGCCCTTTATCCCGGTGAACTTGAATAAATCTTTTACCGCTCGGAGGCGCCGAGGTCATTCGTGAGTATATTACACCTCCATTGTAAGAACACACATTTATCTGAATGGTTGATTATCATCGAGCATCGAATTATTCATAAGGATTTGTAAAGAGACACGGAATGAGGGGGAAACCGTAAAAGCGAAAGTTGCACGCGAATGACATGGAATTTTCAGTGGCAGGATTGACGAACAGCTCACAAACGACGAAAAAGGAGAAATAGCTGGGGAAGGCAGAGAAATTACCCGTAAGAATCAAAGAGAATGGCAATGGGGGAGGAGGGCCGATAAGGAACTAGGGGGGACATACAATATACAATGGCATTATCGGGAGGCAGTGAAGTGGGAAGGAACTCAAAGCTGCTTTAGACGGTCGAAGATGCTCGTCACCTCCGTGTCGCGCGCAGGGGGTGGTTGGGCTGAGAAATCTAAGAAAATGATCATTAGAAAACGAATTGAAACACACTCGTCCTTGGCGCACTTCCTCGGGTCGGTGTTTGTGGGAGGAGCTCAGAGAGATAGCAGGAGTTGTTTTGTGCAGAAAGAACACCATCGGTTACGGTGGGCCGCCGATCAAGTTGAAGCGGTGGTGGCTGGTTGGGCTTTCTAAAGAGAACGTTCCGTGTTTTCCGATAAAACCCGACCTTGCATGGCCTGTTGGTGCTGCTCGGGCGGGTGGGGAGTTTTCCCTATTCTGCAGGTTTCTGATGTGGCCCGAGGTCTGTGACGTAGGCAAATCCACCTGCATCTAAAAACACGTTATCCTTGGAAAGGTCGAGTAAGCGGGGAGGAGTTCAAGCCAAACGAAGCGTGTTAGGTTGAAGAGTGTTTGGTGATAGAAGGGATAAAGAAACACGATTACCGAGTATTTTGTCAAGTGCTGAAGGGTCACCTGCCACCTAATCAAAATGTTGGATAGCTTTAAAAGAAGGAGCACGTTCCAAAGGGCCAAATCAAAAACATGTCAGCGCACCTCTACCGTAGGTTGGCCTGCTCGGCGCACTTTGAAACCGAGCTTCGCTTGATCGGGAGGGGCGGCACGCTGAGGTTGGCTAGCGGACGGCGGTTTGAAGTCGTTCAGTCCGGCGAATTGAGGGGCGTGAAGATCTTGGACGCGTGACCGCTGCCGGTGGACGGCCATCTTAGCTGCAAACCAAGGACCGAGGTTAGGAGCCCGAAAAGAAAATGCCAGAAAACCCGAAAAGTAGTCTGGAAAAAAGTATCTATCCCTGTAAACCGAATGAAAATTCAGACCCAAAATACCGTAAAGTTTTAAAAATGCGGCGGGGTTAAACGAAAAAGTAAGTTCCCATCGAATTCCCTAAAAGGGTGAAAAATTTACTAGATGTCAGAGGTTATTTCCCAAAGAACCAAACGTAACTTGAAAACTCAAGGTTAAAATTCAGCGATGTCAAACCTGTTCGACTGCGCGCCTCGGATCCTCGCGATTTCGCACGTGGTGTTGCCCTTTTTCCGCCCCACACCGAGACGAGCTTATCCAATTCTTCCAGTACGCCGGCGGTATCGTGTGCTAAATGGTTATTGTTTGAAAGTGTCCAATTTTCACGTACCGGTTCGCAGGGAAGGCGTTCCATGAGTCATCAACTGCGGCAACAGCTTCTTGATTTGCGGCTGTACTGGTTGCAGCGGCTTGCGCTTCCGCTCTTCCCTCTCTTGGTCCTCGATTTCACGGTAGCACGTCTACAACATTTTATTGGAAGAAACGATTCTCTCACCTCATAGGCCAGCTTGAACTGCGCCAAGTCCTCAAAGAACTGCTCCATCTTGTATTTCTTGGTGTTGATGGCGAAGTACCGGGCAAGCGACGCCCAGTCCGCCTGCATCTTTTCGTGGAGCTAAAAAAATGCGAAATCCATCAGATATTAGTCAACACGAACCGTGTCGATTGTTTGCATTTCGGTCTGTGCCTTGGCGAGGAACGGCTCCATAACGGTCATGAAGCGGTCCTTGGAATTGGCAGGCTTGAAGGTCTTCAGACAATTTTCGAGCTAAATAAACCATAGCAGGGTCTTAATAAATCTCTTTGTACCTTCTTTATCGACGTCTTCAGATGGTTGATCCCCTTCGCGATCTCGTCAGCGTTGGCAGCACGGGCCCCAATGACGTTTTTGAAATCCTATGCCAAAATTTGGAATAGGTGAAAGGCACACACCTCTTGCGTGAACTTGGGATTTCTGACTCCACGGTGCTTGCGCATCTGCCGTATCAAGAAGTGCAGGAAGGTGTGCTTGTTCTCGATGTCCTTTGTGTCGGTCAGCTAAAGGAATATATCTCAAAGTAGATGCGTAGCCAACCTTTGGCAGCACCGACATCTCGAATGCAAATACATCCTTGTGGGCGGGCCCACTGGCAGCCATGATATTACCGGACAAGAGCAACATCTCGAGGAAGGTCTTGAACGCCGACGAATTCTTCACCTCGGCACAGGCCTCGATCACCTTCGTGATGCTCTAAGCTCGCGGAAAAGTAGCAAGTGACGAAAAAAGAATTACCGGCTTGAATTCACCGACGCTTTCCTCGAATCTCCTCTTCAGCACCATTAGCTCGAGTCTCAAAGGGAGGGCCGGGATCTTGGCGACGGCCGCGACGAACTAGGAAAACAGCTATCTAATGTATATAATCAATATCACACCTGTTCCCCTTCCGGCATCAAGTCAAACACAGCAGGGCTGGCGGTGCCGAGTTCCTTCAACTTATCCGCAGGCGGAAGATTGAGCCGCAGCTGCTCGAGTAGCGTAGTGTCGAGATTCGTGCCGTCGACCTAAAAGATACAACTTGATGAACCATCAAAACCCAACGTTGAGAATTTCCTCACACCAGTTCTGGGCCGGAACCTTGGACGAGGCGAATAGGATCCCTAAAACTACTATTTATCCGAGAAAGCATAATTTTACCTAGAGCCTGCAGCATTTTAGGGTCGTCGATTATCTGGGGTTGCTTGACATTCTTGTTCGCCTTCGCCAGAAGCGCGCCAACACCACCAGAGCCCGGACGATTCGAAGCGAAATTTTCCTGGAAGAAGCCGTCAGCTAAGTAGAAGTGCTCAGAACCATACCTTCAACTCTTTCATCATCGATTCATTGGCCAGATCTTCCTCGTTGGTCTTTGCCCAGAAGCAGTCCTCGGCCAATGTGTTCGGTTGAATCTAAAATGATTATACTAGAAAACTTAAGATCAGGCTTACCACATTCGAGCTCCATGGAAGTTTGCGGAGCGGCACGCCAATTTTGTGCTCCTTCTTTTTCTTCAGGAAAGAAGGAAGTGTGGGGGCAAACGCTGGCATACCACCTGAACAGATTAAAAATAGAACGAATATTTGGCTGGCATTTTCGGAAATCGCCGTCGCATACAAAAAGTAGTTTTTTTCGGACAACTTTTGGAAAACGCAAATTTCTGGAAATCCTGAATTTCGATGAGCACATTTCGAAAACTGCTTTTGAAGAAGTTGTACCGAAGTTGAAAATTTACCTCCGAGGAATGGTGGAGGCGGTGGTGCTCCAGGGGGTCCTTTCATGCCAGGTGGAGGTGGAGGGCCTAAAAAGCAAAAAGCACTTTGATATTTTGCAAAATTAACAAACCGGGTGGTGGAGGTGGTGGTGGGGGTCCTCCAGCGACCGGGGGCAAACCGGGTGGGGGCGGGGGTCCGCCAGTGACCGGGGGAAGTCCGGGAGGTGGTGGTGGGCCTCCGGTGACGGGAGGTAGTCCGCCGGGTGGAGGTGGAGGTGGTGGCCCTCCAGTCACTGGCGGAAGTCCTGGGGCCGGCGGGATGTTTGAGCCTGAAAAACCAATATCAGATTTTGGCAAACATGTTATAGAATAATTGGCTGGCCGACAATCGAGACTAAAATCAAGATAAAATCTCTTTAAAGACTGCTTTTTGCATAGCAGAACACCCAAATAATTTATTGAAATGCCCACCCATCAACGCCTTCACTGGCGTCATGTCGGGTGGTGGCAGGGACATTGGGTCGGTGCCGGCATGATGCTCTTCGGGTCAGAGATCTAAACAATATTCAGAAAATTATAAAAGAACTCACATGCTTCCGTAGCCCGACTACTTCACTTTTATATTCCTCGAGTTTGCTCCAGTACTGCTGTTGACGAGCAATGGCCAGCTGCTTCTCCTCGATAGCTGTATTCAGATGCCGTGTGTTGTCCGAGTCGGCAAGTTGCTCGATCATCTCCGCGATCGGCGTGTCGAAGACAAATTTTTCCTATAATTTCTGTAAGTAAAGTGTCATAGATGATACCTCAAAATTGGGCAATATGCCGCCACGATGAAGAATAATATCCGAAACGCACGATTCGATCAATCGGAAGTAGGCCATCCTAGGGTAGGAATTTCGGTAAGTCACGATGAAGCCGCATACCTGATTGCTGTATCGCGATCCGGGACCAAGAGCAGAAGTTGGAGGATGGAGAGGATCAACCCTCGATCGGCCTCTCTTTCAGCCAAATCCTCGCTGTTGCCAAAGTTCTGGAGCATCAACGCGCAGCCCTCGATCGAGTCGTACTTTTCGTTGTCGACTTTGCTGCAAAAAGCAACTAATTGCTATTTAAAAAATCGCCTACATATTGTCAAGCCGTGAAATCAGTTCATTGAAGTCGTCGTCGCGGCTTTGCATGTACCCGTTCCAGCCGGTCACGAATTCGTCCATGTCTTTGCGCTCGCATAGATGGAGTATTTTCTGAGGAAAATTAGAGGTGTTTTAACGGAATCGCTTTACCTTTGTGTATTTGCCAATGCCTTGGTGGTGGATTTCGCTGCGGATCTTCAAACGCCATTGCCATGTCACTTCACACTCAAGGCTTTGTCCATCATCCGAGACGTCGTCAGGTGGCATCATGCTTGGTGGATGGATGGCCAGGTTGATCAACGCCATGGTTTTCACCTAAAATCTCATTATCAGCCTCAATACAAACTGCCTGGTAAATTTAGCAAAACACTCACCAAGCAATTTCTTTCTTCTAGCGTCGGTTCATCAGAAACACACCCAAAAATGGAGAGGATGGGCTCCCACCTCGCACACGCTCCAGAACCCGACAACGCTGAGAGCTCGGATAGCACCTTGTCGATACTAAAAAAACTGTATTGACTTCACTTCGAAAATTTACCCATTCATCTCCACAGTGCATCCCGTCCCTTCCGCCAATCGTTGGGACATTGCCGAGAGCGAGGTGGTGATTTTCAGGATGTCGAATCGAATAGAGAATATCTCGGCAGTAAAGCGCTAAAAATAATTGAAGTGTCGAAAAAGCGGTACCTGAAACTTTGGCCCATCTTCTATCCGGCATTGATTCAATGCCAGTAGAGCCGCAAACAATGCGCGTAGAGTATGATCCGCCCGCCTGGTGACAAGACTCAATCCGGGCTAAAATGAAAAATTCCGAATACAAAGAGAAACCTACGAAAGTGTTGGCGATTCCGTGCACGCAAGCCACGCCTTCCTTCAGAAAGTCGAGGATTTGCTCGAATTGCTCGATGTTTGCTTGCTCCCTAGAAATAATTTCAAAAAAGCTAACCAGAGCACAAACCTATTTTTATGGAGTTCCCTGATCCGTTCGACTATCCGCTCAACAACGGCACCAATTAAGGCCAGACCCGACATATTCTCCTTCGAGTCGGAGGCAAACTAAATGGTGATTATTGTGAAAAAACCTGACAAATAAACCTCGTAGACCCAGGGGACCGGCTGGAGTTGTAGAGAGAATTTGAGCTCTTTGATAGTAGCCCCATAATCCTCAACCGGTCTCCGTAACCGTAATGCGGCAGCAATCTCATTTTTGAAATCCTTCGGTTGTTTAATCTAAAATATTTTGTAGATAAGGAGTTTTGAAAACGGACCTTTTTGTCAGCTAATTGCCGTGAGTTGGCGTTGAGTAGCGCCTTCTTGCTTTCGGTCGACATTTTTGCCAGTTGGTCAGGGATCATCTTCGGCGGCAAATTCCGCTCCTTCAGCACCTCCTCGACCTGCTCATCGAGTTGAGTTCGAGTTAGGTGGTCGAACTAAAACGTTAATTGAGCTGAGTAAAATAAAGATACTTTGAAGTCAGCTTCTGAAGATGTCGCCGCATTTCCGGCACTGCTGTTCGCCCGTTCCTTCTGGAAAAAATTGTTGATTAAAAAGTTGTATATCAGAATTTTCTTGTTATTTTATACACGTTATGTCTAATCACCATTTTATCAATGGTCGGTCTTTGCGTCGGTTTTTTACGTCTGGCACTAGCAAAAATGTCGGCTAGTCTCGTCCCCTCCTTTTCAGAGCCTTTTTTCGGGCTTCGTCGGTAGCTGAAGTTGCCGAAACGCTGGAAGGACTTCATCGATGGATTCCGTTCGACGCCCTGCGATTTGCCGTCCGCTGACCCGGAGGCCGCTTCCGGTGGAGCATCACCGGGCAGGCGGAATATATCGCTTTGCGCCGGTCGAGCCATAGATGTCCCCAGCTCTAATAGGGCATTTGCCACGTCTGCGTCCATTTTGTTCTATTTCTGGAAAGCCAATCAATCAAGAAATCAAGGGGGTATGAACAAGAGCATTAATAAGACAAAATCGGGAGGAAGCAAAATGCAAGCGTTCTTTAAGGTACAAGTTTAAGGCGAGGGATTAGGTAGTTACAAGGCGTGACCTTCAAGACGCATGTCGTAAGCGGATCGACTGTAAGGCCAGTCGGGGGAGGGTGGGGAGGGCTGGCGTGCCTGTGGTATTCAAATGCTGGCAGGACTGTGTTGAGAGAGACGAGAAACCCCTCCTGTGCCCCGCGACCCCGCAGCACGCATCCCTCAAAGAGAAAATAGCTTTCAAGCAAGGCACGCGGTCTAAAAACTCTGGTCTAACGCTATCGATCTCATACGGTAGAAACGCCCCTTCCTTAAACCGAGAACGAAAAATTAATTTTTAAGGATTAGCAGGTTGGAGGTAAAAGCCCAAAAACAAGCCAGATTGAAAGTCGAAGAGGAGTGATAGGATCTACCACCTTGGTCACGCGTTGAATGCATGAAGCCCGAAACGGACATGCAAACAACAGTCAGCCGGCAAACAGACACCGTTGCGCCGATCGATTGATCACCGGCATAAAGGGCGCTCGGGCTCATTCAGGAATTCAACAGGTGGGTCCGCCGCATCGTCGATAACCCCCAGCAAACTGTCAGCTGGAGGCTGGTAAAACGAGGGGGCGCACATCTTGCTTCCCGCCAAAAAAATGGGCGCAAAAATGGCCAGCCTGGTAGAAGCAGGGCAAATATTTCTAGAACTCTAGACCTAGGCCACAATGATACGTAATTTTAACCATCATTTTAAAATTTTGAAAAGTACATGCCAGCGCCAAAATAAACCCCTCGAGGTCAGTGGCGGCGGGCACTGATAAGTGAAAGCGACAACAGAAAAGTGATTGTTTACCTTGTCCTGTGATGTCTCGTGTGCCTTCTCGTTTTTCTTGACTTTTTCAGACTTCTTGCGCACTTCCGGATCGCGATTCTCATCCTTGCGTTTTCCTTTCAGCATGGAGCCTACCTGAAATTCAAAAATTAATTCGATCGCAACGCACAAATAAATAGCCCAAACCCCATGGTTATTCATAAAAAAGATTAGAACAGCGCAAAAATGCTGGCAGCCACCGATATATCCCACACACAGCTGTGGGCTGGGACCAACATTGAATCGAATTCAAGGTCGCCTGGCCAAACAGGTAGGCGTGCAACTCTTGTTTTTGTACTACCGCTTGACCGCCTATGCATGAGAATTTTGGGACCCCCAAAGATTATTTGAAAGGATAGTGCATATGCTGCGGGGAAAACGAAAGTGCGCAACAGCATCGCTCTCCCCCGTTCGCAGCCTCGATTAACCGGAAATTGTCGGCGGCGATTAGCGCGCACACCTGCCCCGAATAAATGCTTATTCGTGGCTTATATGAAAACGCGGACTTGCTATGCCAGCCAAATAATTGCCAAAAATGCGCCTCGTACCCGGAGCAAAAAGCATTTTTTTTGGGAGGAGAGCGGGAGAGCGCGGAAAGGTGGGAGAAGCTACCTAACCGTCGAATATGTTAGCAAAACATCACTGACTGTCGAGTCACAACATTGCCCGCGGGCAGTTGTTGCACTCGGCCAGCCTCCAAAGTCAACAAAAAACCAAATGTTGCTACACCCCAGGCCAAAGTCGGCCGAAAAATTGTTCTTTAGTGCCGATGTTGCGGTGTGTAATAATAGATTGAGGCAAGTGTTCCGGAAAGGGTTAGAATGTTTTCTTTTAGAAAAGAGGGGGGGCGTTCATGAAATCTTTCGTTCGTTCACAGACAAAGCATGATTCAAAATGCCGAGGATGACGCTTTGTAACGAATTACTCTGAAAGAAAGCTGAAGCGTCCAGGAATGCGGCACCCTAGCGCCTAAATGCTAAATGCTCATACTGTAGCCCGAGAAAATTCCGCCGATAATTAGTGCCACCACCACCCACATATAGGCAGAACAAACTAACAGGCTTCATGAAGCTCTTTAGGCCACGATGTTTCCTCTCGCCACAACTTTCGACAAGCTTGGCAGCCTCGAGATCCAGCGTAACTACCGGCGGGCCTCTTCTTCTGACGTCCGAACCCCTTGAAGAAGTGCTACCCGAATTCGAGTGGCAACCAGAATCATCTTGAGGGCCGATCTCCATTGTATCTTCCAAGCAAGCGTCGCTTTTCACATCGAACGTGAAATAAGCGACTTGCGTTTCCTTTTCGTTTTCGAATTTCAAACTCCTCGGGTTTTCGAATTCGCCGTAATCGGGGCTGGGCGTGCGCGGATGTTCACACAACTTCTCGGTGATCGTTTTGAACAACGGATTATGGAACAATTCGGGTTCTTCCGCTTTCCTTAGTGGACGAATAACCGGAGCCGTTGTTTGAGGCCGAGGTATTGGAGGCCGAGTGTGAAGCTCTTTCACCAGGGATTTCACCGCTTGCATCCGGTCCCAGTATACATCTTTTTCGTCATTGTTGTTGACGTCTTGCGTGATCTACGAATTTATGTTTCTCGGGTTCGAGATGTTCAGAGCAAATACGAAAAAGTAAAAACGTAATTCAAAACCAACCAAAACCTTCTTCAAGCCCGGCTGCCGCGACTCAACGTTAAATGAGTATAATATTTGAGAATCCTCAGACTCATCGTCGATTATGAGTTGCGTTACAAGTTGCTGCTGGGCTTCCATTTAGCGGAAAACACAGTGAGACTCTCGTCGGCGGCTGTTCCGTCCCAACAAAATGGAAAGGCCGCATCCAACGGGTGCCCAAACTTGCTAACCGGGTTTCCATTTCAGGACAGCCAGCTGCTTCGATATAGGGCGATTATCAGGTGCCTTTCCACAACTTTTTCTGGCAGAGGTTTCCGTCTATCGGGTCAAACAGCGTTCAAAAAAGCATAGCGCAGAAACCGGATCGGCCTAGCGGGAACTGGGAGAAAGTCCGTTTGGGCTCCAAAGAAACAGGTTAATCGGTAGGACTGAATTTAGATACTTTTTAGAAAGCATCCAACAAGCAAGTACCCTTAAAAATATAACTTTAAACCATTACCCTGCCTAAAAATCCCTTCTTCTTCTTCTTTTTTCTTTCCGCGGATCGACTGTTGGAATACGAGTGCTTCTTTCCGCCGTAGGCCATGCGCTGTATGGAGGTGTTTCCTTGAGGCGTAGCGGCGTGCGCAGAGTGCAGAAAGACCTGTAAATAAGAGTTTGAATGGAATTGCTGCATCAAAATAGCGAAGAAAACAAAAGTGGTATTCAAAATAAATGAAACACCGAAAAAGTTGGTCCAAAAAAAGAAAAGTTGATTCCGAGTCGTCCAATTGACGTGTAGTGGTCAGAGTATTGGGCCGGACTGCGTGGGTCTGCGTCGCCGCACTAATGTGCACTTTCACCTGTGTTATCGTACATTGCAAAAATTAAACTGTTTTTTTTTAATCGATGCTCCGACTTTATTTCTCACCAAATTCCCAAAATTTCTGTAAAAATCCATTGGTAACGGAAAATGAAAACAGACAATTGATAACAACCAAACGTAACAATGAATGAGCTAACAAAAAAATGCTCGAGACGAGATCAGAATTGGGCCGTCACGTCGAACATGTGCTTTTTGTATGCGGCCACCTTGTCGTTGACCCAGTCCTCCTCGACAAGGGTCACGTCTCTTGCATACAAATCAGAGGTGCGGACGAGCTCGGTGAAGACGAAGCACCTAGAATTAATGCATGTAGATCGGACCGAGGAGTGGGATCGAAAATTTCACAATTATTTGTAGCGGGAAATTCGCACCGAGGTTTGCTTCTCGCCAAAGAGCTGCTGGGATGGATTCGCAGGAGGACGGACGGGTTGACCATAAGTCTGTAGCGATCTTCCTGTCGATCGTAGATACACGCATTCATGAACATTCCATCGGCCAGGGCGCGTCTAAAGCCATTTTTCAGACCATCAAATTCCATACCTTATCGAGTCCCGATTCCCGCCACAGCTTTTCATCTCACACAAGTCTTTAGCGGCTTCCCGCAACTGATTTCTGATCTACAAAACTATCACTTGCTCATTTTTCCCAAAAGTTTACCTTCATGACCGTGTTGAGGGTCCGCATATTCAAGCCGTTCCGTTGGCAAAATTCCTAAAACACAAATATGTGCCCATTTTTCAAGGGGATACCCTCAATCCAAATTTGTTTTTCTTCTTCTCCGCCCGGAATATGTTGCAGATGTTGAAGAGGGTAAGGTGGTCCCCCTCTGCTGTGCGATATCTAAAAATTACATGTTAAATTTCTAAAAAGTAAGGTACCGATCCCTAATCCTCTGCTGCTCCTCGTCTTTTCCCTCGTTTACAAAGATCGTCTCCGCGGACATGCATGCAACAATCCACAAAACTTCTTCTAAAGCCGGAGTTTTGCGCTTTGATATCTGCATACCAATACATCCATGGTTTGAAGCCGCAAGGATGACGCGGCCGTGTTCTGGAGGAACCGGGAACCTCAGTAAGCATTGGCCAATGTGAGTAAGCACTATTCTTCCAGCCCTGATGCGGAGTTTCCGAAAAATCGCAAGAAAAACCCTACTCATTTCTCTCGACAGCCTTCATCGATTCGAGCTGCGCCAGCCCCAACTTTATCGAGCTCTCCTCCGGCTGGTCGATCAGATCCAACGTTTCTATGTTTTTCCAGCCAATCTTGAGCAATTCCAACAACACCTTAAAAAATAATTGAAAAATAACCAACGCACCTCGACAAGGTTTGATCGTAGAATCTCGGGGACAGTTGATTTTCCCATCGTCTTTTGGTAGTGTTTCTCTGGGTAGAGCCTACGAGAAGTATACAATATTTTTTAGAAACAAACCGGTAGCAGATGCCAGGTGCCTCGCGCCCGGCACGGCCAGCACGTTGCTGAGCTTGCGCCTTCGAAATGTTCTGTATCTTCAAGACGTCAATTCGATTTTCGGCAGTGAAGTTTCTGAAAATACAGGTTAGCCGGTTAGCTGCCCGAAATTTTTAAGATGTCTGCTAAAAATCTCTCACTTCATCTTGACTTTCCCAGAATCCACGACAATCCGGATGCCCGGAATAGTGACGGAGGTCTCGGCTACGTTCGTCGAGAAAATCACTTTACGTTGTCCCTAGAAAAACGATTGGCAATACCACGGGTAACATACCTCCGGGGCTGGTTGGAAGACGCGCATCTGTTGTTGCGGGGTCATTGCAGCATATAACGGAAGTGGATAGATCTTATTTTCTAGCTTCTCATTGGCCAACGTAACTTTCTTGATGGCGATGTCGATTTCCTCACGACCCGTGAGAAAAACGAGAATGTCATCGCTGGAAAAGAAATGTGATAAAAGATTAAAGCGAACGGATACCTAACTGCCCTCTCCTTGTGAACATTCATAACAGTAACTAGCGCATCATGGACGTGGTCGTTGATAGTTGGGTCCATTTTTTCGGCATACATCAGCTAAAATAATGATGATGAGGAGGATTTCAACCATTTTGTGCCTGTATTGGGTAGGTTCGTCCTTCAATGACATTAACCGGTTCCTTCGTGTTGAAATAGGCAGTGAATGACTCGGCTTCAATCGTCGCTGACATGACCACGATGCGAAGCGGAGCTTTGCCCTTTTTCATCCGCAGTCGTCGGGCCCGTCTAAACTTTAGTTGAGCACGAGATGGAAACTACACCTCAACACCGCGAGAAGAATATCCGAGTGCAGGGAGCGTTCGTGCGCCTCGTCAACGATGACGCCTGCGTATTCCTAGGAGGATATTTTACACGGTCATCACCGGGCTAAAACCTTGAGTAGCGGATCCATCATCGCCTCTCTCAAAAGTATACCATCCGTCATATAGAGAAGCCGCGTCGCCTCACATGCTTGCGACTCGAATCTTACCCGATATCCGACCTAAAGATGTTGAATTCAAGGCCCGAAAAATATTACCTCATCCCCAAGCTCTTTGCCCACTTCTTGCGACACGCGAACGGCTAGCGAAATAGCAGCCACCCGCCTTGGTTGGGTGATGGCGATGCGGCCGCCAGCGTCACACCAGCCAGCAAGGAGAGCCAGCTAGACCGCAAATTAGTTATATGCGAAATCGGGGTTACCTTTGGCAGCTGCGTACTTTTCCCGGACCCCGTCTCTCCGATGAAGATGTGTACGCCATCCGTGCTTAACACTCGCACAATTTCATTCGAAACGTCATCAATGGGTAGATGAGGTCTGTCCACTCCAGAAGTACCTTCGTACTAAAACCAAAATAAAGGAAAAGACGGTAATCTGCCACCTTTCTCTTTCTGTTCGTTGGCTGCTCTACGGCCTCGGGCTCGGCCATATCTGGCATCACCACCTTTTTGTCTAGGAAAACTTGAGCCTAAGCCTCTGAACGCCTACTCTTCCATTTTCTCTTCTTGGCCACCGCAAGAACTTCTGGCGCCTTTGCCATCTTCCTTTTCAGACTAAATAATGTCTTAACGGCTCTGATAAAGAAAGCTGTAACTATTAGAAATCCTGCTGGAAAATCCGCCTTGCCGTGAAGATGTGTTATAACAACCGATTTGAAGTAGAAACAATTTATTCAACGTGACCGGGTATAAAACAACAACATGAAAGTATTGGCTTTACATTACATTGTACCGCCCAGCCGGCGCACGTCCAGCCGTAGAGACAGCCTAGAAAGGTTTAATTGAAAATAGCGAGACGAAAACTTACAATTGATTTCATCGATTCTCGCATGATACGGAAGATCTCTTCTTTGGCCTTGCGCAGGTTGAATTCGGTGCGCGCCTCAAGGAAGAGGAAAAGCTTCGGGTCTTGGCCGGGCTGAAAGAAATCATTTTTCGCGCAAAATTTCAATAAAAACCTTGGGTTCTCGTTTCGGTGGGTAGAAGGTGCCCTTCACCGAAATTCCAACGTCCGCATATTCGTTGATGTGCCGCAAATTGTCCTGAACAAATCATTGTTTGCGCTACGCTAAATTACCCGAGAGCATATTTTGTAGCGGACTTGCTGCGGGAAGTCATTGATCTCCAACTCCTCCTCGAAGTATTCTTGCTCTTCGGAATGACCAAGCATCGACATGCTGAAATTTAGAATTAGAAAAAATTATTAAAAAAAGCTTTACCTCTCATCGGCGATATAATTCAATCGTGAGTTGAGCTTTTCGGCTATCTGTTGTGCGGTCTGCTTGCTGCTCAATTTGAGCGCATTCGCGTCACCCTAAAAAAGAAAATAAAAACTTCTCATAATGGTTACCCGAAGAATAGCTGCGGTTCCGGACGTCTCCGCTGCAACCTTCTCCCCGGTTGCAATCTTGTCTTTCGCGATTTTTGCAGCAATCTTCGCGGCTTGTTCTTTCTAAATAGACATAAACACGCTAGAAATCGGTAGTACCTACCTTGCTCTCCACGGCAGCCGCATTCGCAACAGGCCCATCTTCCACTTTGCGGACGGGCATCGACCCGTTGACCATGCGCTTCTTGCTCTTACACAGCTTATCCATTTCACCGAACGTCTAAAGAAAACCAAATCTCCAGATAGAGAAAAAACCCACATCATCGTCATCGTCCTCACCAGCTTCCATCCCCGCCACGAGTTTGGCCATTGTCTTTTGGCTGGCCACGGCGACGGCTTCCGCCTCATCGTATTTGTAGCCGCTGCCAGCGAATCTAGGAAAAAATATTAATGCTGGAGCAAAAAAAAACGAACCCCTTGCCGCCGAGATGGATCTCCTTGCCCTGTGCCTTCATCTCGGCTTGTAGCTTCTCCCACATGGCCTTTAGGTCGGCAGGGGGCGTCACTCCAGACGTCTCGAAAGCCTTGACGACTTCTCCGGCCATTCGTTCTTGTCCTGAAAAAAATATCTGGTATGTAATAATCGCGGGGATCTATCGTTATCACGAAGGTCAACATCTCGAAACTGCCGAGATAATCAGTTTTCGAGAAAATTAAATTTAGATATTCTGATTGTCCAGTTGTTGATTTTCGATATAGAGATGCGTCGTCGTTACGTGTTAGTTAAAGAAATATTACCTTCGGGGAGGAAGAAGGTGTAGGCGAACCCTTGGTTTCCGGCTCTGCCTGTCCGTCCAACTCGATGCACATAGTCCTCATAATGGTTGGGGCAGTCGTAATTGACGACAAGGATCAGGCCCTTCACGTCCAAACCGCGAGCAGCGACCGAAGTGGCGACCTAGAACAGGTAAAGTAAATAAAGTAAATTAATAAGGTCAGTAGCGGAGTCAGCAAAGTCAATAAAGTATTTACCAGGATCTTGATAATTCCATTCTTGAAGTCAGTGATGGTCGAGTCGCGATCAAACTGATCGATTCCTCCATGCAATGATGCGACATTCTTATAGCCGTTGCTGATCAATTCTGTCAGCATCTCGTCGGCCTACAATCAAAGAATATAGAGACCAAAAAACGCCAACCTTTTCCTGCTTGTCAACAAAGACTATCACGCTGCCTTGCTCGTAGTAAATCCCAAGTAGCTCGAGTAGCTTCAGCAGCTTCTGATGCTCTTCCAGAATGCAGGTGTGTTGCGAGACGTCCGAGCACACCACCGACCTTCCGCCAACCTATAATAATGCATGTATATTCTAAAGGACGAGCTAACCTGAATCTCAACCGGATCTCGTAACGTCTTCTTGGCCAAGGCTTCCATTTGTCTGGGGAAAGTGGCTGAGAAAAGTACTGTCTGACGTGTGGGCCGAATGTTCTCCACAATTTTCATGACCTAAAAGCCAAAACGTGGAAAAAAAGAGAAAATACCTGAGGCTCGAAGCCCATGTCGAACATGCGATCGGCTTCATCCAAAACCAGGTAAGTGCAACGGCGCAGATTTGTGACCTTGCCTGAAAAAATATCAATTTATTTTTCTTCGCAACAAAACTCACCGCTGTTAGCGGCCAGCATTTCGATCATCCTGCCAGGGGTGCAGACCACGATTTCCGCACCTCTTTTCAAATCAGCAATTTGTTCGGAAATACCCACCCCGCCATAGACACAAACGACTCGAAGGCCGTGTAGCTAAAAGAATCAATTTAATTTTTTTAAGCGAAATGTTCACCTTTGCGAATTTGTTCGCTTCTTTCCAAGTCTGCATGGCAAGCTCACGGGTGGGCGACATGATCACGGCTGAAACGAAAATTAATATATTCTAGGCAAAGTTTACCAATCGGTCCGTCCATGTCCTCAAGTGGATCTTGGTCAAGAACATGCCTCAGCATTGGCAACAAAAAGGCGAGTGTCTTTCCACTGCCAGTCTTTGCAATGCCAATGACATCTCGGCCAGACAGAATTGCCGGTAGAGCCTGTGCCTGAATCGGAGTGGGCTTCTCATAATTTTGCCTGCAAGAGGGTTTCAGTTATTGTCTAGAATTTAATAATTACTTTTTTAAGATCTGCAGGGTTTTGGTGTCGACACCGGTCTGCGCCCAAGATTTGATCGGTTTCGGCACCTTCTTCCCGCGTACCTAAATAAATATAGTGATTTGGAAATATTAATGAAGCAAAAAAGTACGAGTTGGATAATCCAGTCCGCACAAAAAACCATACATACCTTGATACCATCCAGCTCCTCCCGATATGCTTCCACCTCAGCCTTGGTCATGCGCTTAATTTCCGACGTCTAAAAGTAATTATAAATCACTAGACTAGAACGAACCTCGTTATAAAAACACTTCCGGAAATCACGGTAGTACACACGCTCATGATCAGTAGGGGCCAACATACGTCCCTTTGTCGTTAAACTGGCCATCTAAAAAGATCATTGCGAAGACAGTCAAATGACTAACTCCTTTGATTTCTGGAGCTTCTTCTGTATTGACCTCCGTCATGTCCTCAGCCTCCATAATCTCGCCACGATCGCGCTTTTCCTCTTTTTCAACTTTCAACGTTACGACGCCGCCCTAAAAATAGGTACGATAAAATTGTTGATGTCAAAATACCTTTTTGACTGTAGTTGGCTTTTTCACATTCTTGGAAATCGAGTTCATAAATGCGTCAAGCGGGTCATCCTCTTCCATTTCTTCAGGTTTCTCGACCTCTGGCTTCGGTGGCTCGCTAAGAGTGGGTAGATGCTTTCAACCGAAGCTGTATACCTGGCAGTCTCAGCCGGTGTATCGTCCATCTCTTCTATGCCTTCCAGGAGATCATCATCATCGTCCTCCAGAGACCATTTCTCTAAAACACAAACAAAATAGAATACCGTAAAATAGCTTACTCTTTTCACCCTTCTCATCAAGACCCGACTTCTCGCCACGTGCCTCACGCGCAGCTTCGCCCTTGCTGAGATGTGCTTTTCGGGCGCGTTCCGATTCAATCCTTTCTTTCCGTTGTTTCGCTAGTTTTTGAAGGATGTAGTTCTAAACGAATGTTTCTTCAGGAAAAATTACGCTACCTGATCAGGTCCTTTCATGTCGACAATCTCGGCAATGTTGAGGTTGACTTCAGTATCGCTGATCGGGCTTTCCTCTTTTTTAACTTTGGATTCACCGGACTCTCTCTTCCTCTTCTTCTCATGCGGGCTGCGGCTACGGCTGCGACGGCGCTCGCGATCCCGGGAGCGGCTTCGCTTGCGGCTCCTAAGGAACAATAAAATGATCAGCAACATAAAAACTTACTTTTTCTCATCGCGGTCACGGTCTTTTTTGCGGTCCTTCTTTCGATCACGATCACGGTCGCGAGAATCTTTACCCATCTGAAAAATTGGGATTTGGTGTGCCAAAGTGAAATAAAAACAAAAGGAGGAGATGGTGTTAGTAGCAACGGGTAGTGTTCCCTTTTCAGGGTCATTTATTTGAAAAAAAGAACGGGAAGGCTGGGCCTGTTTTATCAACGAGGTCAATCTTCCAAATTCGAAAGCCGCCCCAAAGCAAACTTTTGAAAACGGATTCCGAAAAGGGCCCTTTTCCGCTCCACACCAATACTATCGACGCCGTGGCAGTGTGTATTGTACACAAATGTTCATCTCGTGCCGCCAAAAGAGACACCAAAGAGCGAACAAGCGAAAACAGACAAAGCATAGTCTGGGCAACGTAAATAACGGATTGGTAATCGCTTGCAATTGCGCAAGGTTTTTCGGTCTATAAGATAAGCTGCAACCATTAAGCCCCCTTATTATGATCCTCATCCTCTTCTTTAGTTTAGAAATTTTACTTATCTTTCTCCTTTTCAACTTCTATCATCAAGCCATGAGCTTCAACAAAAATTTCAGACGATGGAAAATCCGATTCAATTTTGTGCAGCGGTCGTCTGCCGTCAATCAGCTTCAAACCAGCTCATCCCGCTGGCCTCCTGCTGCATCGATTTGGCGGAATTACGTAAGTATATCCAAATAAAAAAGTTCCCATCCGCTTCCAGCCGGAAATTCTGGTAGCGACTCGCTGATATCGCGGTACCCGCCAGAGACCAAGGATCTATGTGCTGCCCTCTACGCCAGAATTCGCACCCATTTCACCAATCATGGCCATTTCGAGCATAGCGGGTGAGTAGATAAAAAGATTGAATAAGTATTGATTATTGTTGACGTGATGTAGGAATCGTCCTATACGTCAATATCATATATTACATCAGCGTTTTCAGCTTCGTGATCCACTACAGCGTCGTTTGCGCCGAGCCGTGCACGCTGATCTACGCCGCCGTCAGCGAGGGCGGTGAGCCCGAGCCATCCCGGACGACGGCGCAAAGACTGCTGCTCAATATTCAGGTTCGTACTAGAAAGCTTACCATATGAAGGTTTGCCCCATGCTTTAGTCTGGATTGATGACGGAGACACAGCTGCTGATGTTGATGCCCCAGGCTGCCGACAACGAGCTTCAGCCGCACATTCAGCCCATGCTCACACAACTTTTGGTTCGTCATTCTAAATAATTTACTAAGAGGCTGCGATTTTAGGGCGGGAAATTTGAACATTGGATCTAAGCTTTTGTCGTTTTAGATGGTCTCATTTGAGAATTTTAAAGCTTTCTGCAGGTTTTCTGACCATTGAAATTCAGTTCAGTTTTATCCTTTTCATTTCCGATTTAAGGTTGTCTGCGGGTTTTCAGACCTTAGAAAATCTAATTCAGGTATCATGGCCTTTTTGGGGTAACGTTTTTCGACGCTTTTCTGGCTGCTCGTTCTGCTTCGATAATTGTGCCCCATTTTTTGCGTTTTGATGAATCAACCGTTCAATATTCTTGACGGCACCCCCAGCGAGAGACGACGGGTCTATTTGAACTGGGCCCTGTTTGCGTCGTCTTTTCTAAAGAATTCGCTGCCCCGCGCTCTCTCACTCCAGGATACCTCCTTCTCTCCGGGAGAAGGTCCACCCCAGGTTTCGCCCCGTGACTGTGCCCGTTATCGCTTGTGCCCTGACTGGTCTCGTTCGATCAATGGGCCTTTCGGTGCTAAAATCATTTTGAGTGTTTCGCAATTTCGAGATTTATAGGTTTTTGTATGTAGCTACCGTTCTTTTTGGCGTTTTCTTGGGTTTTGGTGTATTGCGAAACCCCCGGGGGTGCGCAAGAAAATGAGTCACCCAGCGCCTTCCACTCAATCCCTTGTACTTTGACCTGAAATTTTCAAGTTTTGAGCTTACAATCCCTTGTTAGTCTTACCCTTCCCCTTGCACAACTGCAACGCTGCAACCTGTCCCCTCCTTTTTGTTGACATTTGGTGGCTGGCCCTGCGGTGACCATTGCCGGTGACGTGTGGGCCCTAAGGGCCCTCGAATGGCACCCGGATGGACAGCGCGATACAAAAGGCCATCGGGCCACCCGGACGGCAACCCCGCGCGCCAGTATTGCCATGAAATTCAGCGAGAAGCTCAAGGCTGCCTTTGGATATTTTGACGATACCCCCGCGCCGGTTAACCCAAGCTACCCGAAACGGGATTTGGGGCTGATTTTTGAGAAGGTACGTCTATTGCCCATTTTTTTGTGTCAATGACGTCATTTTATATTTATTGTTTTGGGGTGAAACGGCAACACGCAAAAATGGCCTTAGACCCGGTCCCGCCGATAGTAGTAAAAAGAGCAGCGGCGACTATAGCACTACCCCGCTTTATGTTGCTTTTCGGTGGCGCCCCCCGTACAATACCTAGAGCCGAATTCGGGCTTCACATAGGTATACAAAAACTAGTAGTAGGGCCGGGGACGTCTATTTGCCCACGTTCCAAATTCATAACCCTGACCCTCTCCCGGCTTCGAAGGTTTCAAATTTCTTGGGCTGAAAATGTCGTTTGTGGGTCAATTCGTGGAGGACTTTACGCTTTTATCGATCGAAAGGTTTAATTCGGAAGTTTTGCTTTTCCATATCGCTATTTGACCAATTTTAAGCATTGTTCAAAACCAAAAACAGCTGAAACCGCTCTAATTAACCCGGACGATCCTACCTGAACTTTTGGACTTGAATGAACGGGATTGACGTCTTTCTCCAGCAAAATGAGCGCAACAAACATGGTCAGCCTCCTCCTCCTCCTCCCCTCCTGCTTAATATGCAGGGAATGATTCACGTTTTTGAGGCGCCTCCCGGTGACTCTGCCCCCCGATATTTTGCTTCAACACTCGGCCGCCCTTCTCGATTCGCACAGTTTTGATTTCATTGTCTGATAGAACGGCGAGAAGCTTCTGGTTATCGACCCGTTTCATTGATTCCTATATTATGTCTAACCTAGCTATGGATCCGAACAAAATTTCGGTGCTATACAGCAATAAACTGGTAGGGTGTTTCGACACACCATTTGTTGCCTTTTTCTGGGTCAATAAATCGCTAAATGTTTTTTAGTCAATCATGATAGCTTTTGAAATGTCTCTTTCCAGATGACGGAGAACAACTCGCAAAACGGGCAGACGCAGCGCATGCACGAGTTGCGGGCTCAGGTCGAAGATGTGAAAACGGTAGGTTATAATCGTAGAGTTATAAATGCCCAATTGGATTTTATACCATCGCTGTAGACTTAAAATTTAGCATTTAAAAACCCTTCAGATCATGTCGAACAACGTGGAGATGATGATGGAGCGCGGCGAGCGGCTGGAGAACATCGAGCAGCGCAGCGAGCAGCTCGCCAATTCGGTAGGTCAACGAAATAAAAACGGAAAACAAGAAAAAAATTCGATTTTACAATCAAAACAAGTACAAGAATCGCACGCAACGACCAATTTTAGTCGGCCAACTTCAAAATGAACGCGCGGCGGGTGCAGCGCAAGTTTTGCATGCTGAACGCCAAGTGGACGATCATCTCCATCGTGTTCGCCGTGATCCTATTTGCTATCTTGATTGTGCTGATCCTGAACTGGGCCGGCGTTTTTAAGAAGAACAATTGATTAATTGTTGTTTTTTCCTTTTCCACCTGAAATACCCATTCATACCCGTAGGGCACTATTTGAAAGAACGTGTGCCATCTCTCCCTTACCGCATTTAGTTGCCCATAGCCCCCCACACTAAATACTTTGCTCATTCTTGAACACACGATGCGTCGCGTTTCGAACTGTACCTACTTTCAATGCTTGCTTGCATCGTCGTGACCAATTCAGTGCAATCAACCCTTTAATTGACGGCCAACCGTCTGAAAATCCGGTAGCGCGAACTGTGATTACCCCCACGTCGCCACTTACGAACTTTAATGATTCCCATTTTTCATTTTATCAATTTGACCTTGAACCATCTGTCATTGTAACATTGTTCAAGCATAAATAGTAAAACCCATTGCCGCGTGGAAATTTCGCAACAGAGTAATAAGTGCGTGGGATATTTACTAACCTTACAGAGCTCGGCAAATTTTCTGTTAGTCCTGGTACCAATTATTGCTAGTAGAATGGATAGCGATCGACTGTCGCCGCGCCAATCTGGAAAGTTCATCGCCGAACGCGCCGAGCACATCAAGTTCGACGAGGCGGCCGTACAAAAGGTTGCTGCGATGGTGGGTGGAAAATTTGGGTTTTTTGGGTTTTAAATTGCTTCAAAAATGAATCGTTTTATGAAAGTTATAATGGAGTTGTGCAATGAGGGATTCTTTTGCATTATCGGGGGGGGGACTTTTTGGGGCAATTTTTCAAATATAAAATATGTATAATATCCTGTAATTTTTTTTTCCCTATTCTCAAAATTATAATTTTTTTTTTTTTTGAAAAAACAAAAAACCTTCAAATTTTTTTTTAAAAAATATAAAAAATAAAAATTTCCAAACACAAAGGGCCATTTTTCGCCCCAACCCCTCTTTTTAAAAATTTTAAAAATTTTTGGAGCGTCTTCTTGTAAAAGTTGTCTAGGTCTTTTGTTAAGCACCAATATACTAAAAATCAAGCCCTAAAACCACTAATTTAAAGAAATACACTTCCAGATACTGGATGCGGCAACGAACGGCGAGCTGACGCAGGTCCAATTTGCCGCCCAAGACGTTCACCCAAGGGGCGGAGGAGTGGCAGCGATAGAATGGTTAGTCCAACCTCATGGACAATCCAGATTCCGAATTCAGGGTATTCCTCCTCGACACCATCAACTTCTCCTTCTGGCCCGATGAGGGAAGTGCTTGGGAGATTACTTGGAAGGGCACGAAACAAACTGGCTATTTTGGAGCCTGCGCGGCCGTGAATATCGCCATGGAGAATGGGGTTCCGGTAAGGAAATTGGTGGAGTTGGACTTGTTTGCCAGATGACCAGTGCAAAATGGATGTCGGAAGTGACGGCGGCCGAGTTGGGGCCAATTCTAAGGTCTTCGATAGGTGGATTTTTGCCGTGAAAATTTATAACTGGTTTTATAGAGCCTTACAACGACATTCCGCTGTTGGCAGAACGAGTAAAGGCGGTCAACGAGTCCGGGAAGATATTGTTGGAAGTAGGTGCTCAAGTTCTCTGCAAAATACAGGAAAACATGTTTTTACAAAGGTTCATCATAAACTATTTTAGAAATTCGACGGCTCCTTTTACAATGTTGTGAATCAAGCCGACGGCAGCTGCAAGCGACTTCTCGAATTGATCGTCGAAAACTTCCCGTCATTCCGCGATTTTGCGGAATACAAAGGGCAAAAAGGTACTTATTTATAATTTTCTAGTTATATTTTTAAAACTTCTAGTCTCATTGCTGAAGCGGGCCCAAATCTTGGTCATGGACGTCTACGGCGCGTTGGAAGGGCAGCTCGACGGGAAATTTGGCGACCTCTCGTTCGGCTTCCCTCATTTTTGAAGGTTTTCTTGTAGGGAGCTGACGATGTTTGCCGACTATCGCGTCCCACAAGTGATGGCCTATTTGGGCATCTTTGACTATTCGGAGGGGCTGCTGGAAAAGCTGAAGAACAAGGTGCTGCTGCCAAATGGGAGCCCGGAAGAGGTCGAGATTCGTGGGTGCAGCATTGCCGGATGTGACGTAAGCGTTCCATTCAGCAACACAAAGCCAACATTTAGCGCATATACGAGGCAGTGCAACAACTGGCCGAAAAGTGCGGCCAGGAACATCAGAAAGTGGGTTTCTGGTGGTGTTTTGCAATGAGAATGTCGACATTTCACAACCTGAGAACTTCATAATATCGGAATTTAGAAAAATTACTAAGTGAAAAACATTAAAAAAACTTCAAACGAAAAAAGTTTTCTTTGGTTAAAATTTTGGCCGAAAAATCGTTATTTTTGAATTTTTAATAAATTTGTAGTTTCTACGCTGAGGAATAGTAAAAAGAGTTTTGAAACGCTTCCTCAATTCATATCAGAAATTGGATCCTTAGAAAAAAGTTACCCCGCCGACATACGAAAGAACCATTTTGGCATTATGGATTTTTGCTTCAGAAATGCGGAGATTTTAAGTTTACATAGAAATAATTATACATCACTGAGGAGAAGCTTTCTAGGTGACAGCCGGAGACATTGACGTCTTTCTCTGGATGTTCCGACGCAAACACGCCGTAGAGATTGAGCCACGGGTGCCAATGCATCGCACCAGATGCATCTACTACTAGACCACAAGTTTTCATGTCATTTTTAGGCCGTCTCAGCTTGCCAATTGTTACAATTTGTTGGTTTATCGAGCAATAAGTGAATAAATTATGAGGTGAATGCGAGAGATTTTCTGGAGATGAAAAAGCATAGAAATGGAAAATAGATTTTAAAGCAGATGCGGACGATAGTTCCTGTCGGAAAGACATGGGAAAATACGCTAGGATACCCGTTAGATGAGATACTGTTTGCAAAAAGTGAGAAATTATCCAAAAATTCAGTACAGTTTTACGATTTGCTCCAATGGACGGCTTCGACTGCGGGCCCGTCGCGATCGGTCGGCCTCGCTTTCGGAATGGGGATCTATCGATGCGTCACGTTGCGAGTGGCTTCGGCGATTTGAGGTGGCCACGGACGGCTCATCACGATCTGGCCCGTTCGGGTACCCGATCGGCAAGATGTATTGCAGCTGGAAACTTGTGATATTTAAAAACTCTACAAATTTTGTCCGTAATTTTGGCGTGTATGGCTAATTTTAAACATCAATCGCTTACGTAAGGCGTCAAATAATTGGGTATAAAAACATTCAGTTCACATTCAACATTCAGCGTCTTTAATATCGCTTACTTGTTCCGTTTTCGGCCTATGCAACAGCTGGCGTATCGCGGGGTCACAGTGTCTGGCGGCCGTCGCCACGGTTGACAACCCGGATACCTGAACCATCGCTGATTTGTTCATATTTTGAGATCCGTACCTGTATAGCTGCTATTAAAAGTCCGAGCAGCGTGGCGACAGCCGTCTCAGCCCCTTCCACCGGCACCCAGTTCCCAACGTCGTCGCGGCGTGAAACCTGAATAAGCTATCACGTCGGGAGATAAATGATCGATTCACTATCTAGAACTCGTATATTGGAATCGTAGATACTTACATGGGCGAAAAGCAGTATAATGAAGGGCGCATCGGAGAGATAGGCCCTTGTCCAGACATGCGCCAACGCTGCGACCATATTGGAATCCTCCGCCTCGTTCTCAAGTCTGAAAATGGCTGAATAACCATGACTTACTTATATAAATCTTTTATTTAATCCAGGGTAATAAAACTAAACTATAAAATAAAACTAAAGCGAAAAGTACTGACCCGTGTTCGATTGCGTATCGACGTTTCGCTGCCTCCTCGACAACGTGTCTAACCTCACACTTTGCCTAAAAAAAGCTTTACCTGCAAATTACCAAAAACGACCTTTTCAGCGCCTATCACACAGATTGTCCAAGGTTGTGGCACGGAAGCCATGCTCGGGCAGGTGTCTATTCATGGCCGGTAAATATGATAACTTTTTGACATACCGGCCGTCTTCACGATATTCTGAACGACTTTAATCGGCACCGTTAGATCCTTGAAAATACTATAGACCGGACGCCGCTAAAAGAAGAGTTTTTAACGCGCAAACACAAACTGACCCTCATCTTTTCGTAAAATATCTGCGAATTTCGCAGCGACTCATCCTCTTTCGGATTCGCGGGAACGGTCTAAAATCATTCCCATTAATAGGCGGTAGCCACAAATTCCAAAAATTAAAAAATATATATGCCGAGCAGGTAAAATAATCCAAAAAGTTACCTACAATTTCACGAAAGGGCTCGGTAAAGTCGTCAACGGCGTAAAGCCTCGTGGATACCTGAAAGATGGTGGCGCCGACAATCGCAAATTACATTTTTGTCCGAAGTCAACGACGCTTTCGTGTTGCGCCGGCCCTCCGCCGCGCCTTTGTCCCCCTTTCGCGCGTGCTTGATCGCATAAAATGATCTGAAGAAAGAATTGCCTTTTTAAAGGTTTTCACCTTGCCTGGTAGGCTATAAAAATGGTGACGCCCAATAATACGCAGCAATTCAGCACAGAGTCCTGTAATGGAAAGCGTTGTCGGTACCTTTAGAGACTTCTACTTTATCCCTTTAGAATCCGTTGGTCTACTTTATTGATAAAACCGCTTTTGATACGCTAACCACTGGATTTGCACAACTTCCGAAAAACGTTACCCTATTTTCCTGCAGATATCTTTGTACAACGACGAGAGCGTTTGATGGGCTTTCGGCTTTTTTCGGGGAAACCTGAACCATCGTGGCCAGTGTCCGTAGCCACCGAACGCCCCAGATGCGCTTTCTGTCCCGATCGCCTGTTCTATAGCAGGTACATTATCATAGCGAAAAATCAGAGCAACGAAATTTCAGTTAATCAATCAGGCGAGCACAACCACGAAATCTCAGCCTCGGGCAAATGAACCAAACACGTTTTCTCTAATTGAAACCCTAAATCGTTAGCGCTTTGTGCTGGCCAAAGCGACTAGATGGTTCCGGCTATTCGACTCAAACACGCAAAACGACAAAAAGAATAAAGTTTGTTCCCCCTTTCCGGAACTTTTACGGTAGCATCATCCGAAATCTATCAGTTAAAATATATAAAAAGGCTGAAAAAAGCTACGATTAGGTCCTCGAAATTTTAAATTGAAATGCCGTATCATGCATCCCAGGCAGGGGATGCTGAGCCTCCTCCTGGCTTCCGCTCACATGTGTCAAACAACAGTGTAAAGAGAGGTAGGGCACGGGCCCACGGGAGCAGACGCAGGTGCCCCCTAGCACATACAAACAAATGGCCCCGCCCTCACCCGGCAAGCAGTCTGCAATTAGCCCCACCCGCTCACAAATGAAAGATCCGGGTAAATTGCATCAAAGATAAAATATAAAAATCTCCGACCTCCTCATACCCGAAGAACTAATTATTACATAAGCGGCACTCAAATGCAATCAATCAATGCGGAACCTTCTAGAATAGAAACAATCTTTATCTTCTATTAAAGCAATTTAAGACCAACATCAACGATAGGACAAACTCCTCGCTAGCGCTTGCGCCACACACTATCGTTTTCAGTCGGTGGAGTCGACCTAAGCAGGTGTGTATTAGGTTTGGGAAAAAGAATTCATACCATCACTAGATCGTCGATTTCGTCTTCATCGGTACCAATCGATCCGAGGAAGTAATCAAGCGGATGACTCCACAGCTCATCTTTGAGTAACTGAAGAAAAATTAACAACAAATAGGTTGATACCATACCTCCGCCAATTGATCAATTTCCGGCTGTTGCTCCGACCTCATCCACGCAAAAAATGAGAGCCAACCAGAGTCGTCGTCGTCGCCGAGCTACACACAAAATAGGATTATACGAAGGTTCTACCTTGCCAAGCTCGCCGCCTTTCCAAACGATCGGTGTCACACTGCTGGAGCCGTGCGGTTCACTGGTCTTGTAGTGCTTGATAATCGCATCATTTTGGAAGTACGGGTTTTCTTTGAATTTGAAGATCAATTTGAAGCCATCACCCGGCTCGCTATGCTCGTCAACCTAAATAAACAATAAATCCAGTCGAAATCCGGTACCTCAAAGTGAGTCAGATACGACAGCGCTTTTTCTTCTTCGTCGGTGATAAGCTCAGATACTTCTGGATGTTGCATAAACTAAAGACCACCACTACGCGTCAAAAAACTCAAGCAGACCGCTTTGTACCAAAATTCAGGAATGTCATTGCACAACGCGTTGCGGGTTGCATAGTGGGGTTGCTTTTCAGCGATAAACTTCTTTTCTATCTAAAACAAAGAAATGTAATAAGGGATAGGGGCACTACCTCAATCATCTCCGTGGTCGCCTTTTCAGAGAGCTTGTCAAGCTGTGTCTGGACCAAGTCAAGCCGACGCAGAGATTCTTTTTGTGCGTCGTCGAAGTCGTCGGGCGAGGCAACTTGCATCCGGGCACGTTTCGCCACCGGCTCATCGTCTTGATCGCCAGAAGCCATGCTACAAGCAACGGAACACAATGTTCTCCCACCAGCGAAAATTCAGCTTTCAAGCGACAAGGCGCTTCAACAATGTATTGGAGCGGTATGACAGGCACAAAACCTCACAAAAAGCCCTCACGTGTAGAAACAAAACGTTTATCAAGCAATGTTAACCAAACAACACAACAATTTCAACAAGGTAATTTAATAATTGCGCTGGAAATCCTGCCAGTTCCTGGGCCTGTCCCTTTCAACATCACCCCGCCTGGGGCCGGCTCCTCCACGGAACGGAACACGCGGTGGCGCATCATAAGCAGAACCACGGCCACGGAATCCTCGCTCACCCTCGACGAGCATCCGATCCTTGGTCTAAGAAAAATGATAAAAGGCCAACCGAAAGCGCTTACAGGGAACACGATCATGGCCTCCCCGTCCACGCCCTCCGCTGTTACCCCTCTGCTGGTAGTTGTTGTGCCGATCGCCAAAGTTGTTCGAATATGACGAACCGCCGAAAGCGTTGTTAGTACCTAAAACCGGTCACAAAGAGCAACGAAATAAATACCGTTGTAGCCCCGCTCGGCAGTACTCGACCAGTTGTTCGAACTCGGGTGCCTTCCGCGACCTCTCGAATCGCCACCGTGAGTGCGGGGACCGTCAAAACCGCCAGTCTTTGGGGCGCCACTAGATTCGGTAGCGAAGTTAACATCGAAGGCGCTTCCAGTGCCGGCTGCTAAAGAGCCTATTTCAGTTTCTGTGATAATTATACCAGGTACGCCCCATTTAGTCGCATCGAACATCGTCGGCGGCTTTTCATTGAAAACCGAAGCCGATTCAGCTGTTGAAACATCTTCTTCAAGAACGTCGGTAATCAATTCACTCAGGCCAGGTTTGTGACCTATAAAACATCAAAATAAATGGCGAAAAAAATACCAGTTTCAATTTTCTCGGTCTTGACCAACTCGCAAACTGGTGAGACAGCAACACGCTGTGTATATTCCTAAAACGCGAAGATAGTCGTAAACATAACAAAATCACCCCGCTCTTAAAATATCCATCCGGGTCATTGACTTTTGCGTCGGGCATTTCGTCTTCTGAGCCTCCCAACATCTCCTCCAATAGGCTGTGATCGAGGTTCACCAGCTCAGGGCGAGTCTCATCGATGGGGTTTTCAACAGTCGAGCCGACCGCAGAGGTAGTAGTAGATTGTGAATCGACCTCGGGCAAATCTTCGGCAGGCTCAGGCGCCTGGAAAACAAATTCGGTAGAGAAAAGTTACGAACCAGGGGTTCAACGACTTCTTCGAGTGAATTGTTTTCCACAGCAACTGTCACCGTTTCCTCAATGGGCTCTTGCTCCTCCGTTTCAGTTTCGACTGGGCGTGGTTGCAGCTCGGCTCGCTCCTCCAGAGCTGGTTGCGGCTCGGCATGCTCCTTCAGCGCGGGTTGCGGGCCGGCACGCTCCTCCAGCGCGGGTTGCGGCTCGGCACGCTTCTCTAGCGCGGGTTCCGCCTGCTTCAAAAAGAGATTATGATTCGTATCCGAAAAACATACCCTGAAGGAAGCGTTCCTGGACCGCACTTCAGGCATCGTCCCAACAACTAAGAAGATATAATAAAAGCGTAGCCGACACTTGTGTACCGCAATCTCTAGCAAGATGGCCCAACTGTTCACACCGATAGCATTTACGTCCGACTCGTTCGGGCTTGTAACCAGTGTCCTTCTGCAGATATTTCTTTTCTGGCGAAGACTCTGTGGTGACAGCTGCAGGCTAAACAACAAGAACTCAGGGAAGGATACAAAAAATGATACCAAAAATTTCTCCAGAGCAGCATTATATCGAGCGTTTAGCTGGGCATCGCGGAAGGGGTCACGTTCTAAGCAAACCGTTTTGTAAGCACTGGTAAACTTACTTGTGAGTAAGCCTACTAAACGATCCATCATCTTCTTTGGTGTGTCCAGAAACAATGGATCGTCCTTTTCTGGGAGCAGCGAAACCGTTTGACCCTCCGTATCATTGAGCAGTAGCTAAACAGAATAGTGACAACAATGATTTGAGCGCACCTTTGTGAGACTTTCAGCAACGACAGAAGTCAGCTGTAGTCGTCGTTTGAAGCCCTGAAACAACCATTTTTCCCAGAGAAGTATATACCGTTTCAAGGTCAATCGAGCGCACAGACTTCTTAATATTCTTGAAAAACATGCAAGCCAAGGCAGACACGCCGTCGACCTAAAACTCGTTGATGCCCAAAAAATACAAGTACAAGGTCATTTTCTTCTTCTGCTTCTTTCGCCGCCTTCAAAATAGAATTTCCTTCCAGCATGCTGCCATCGAATAGAGTATCCCAGGCATCGGCTTTGAAGGCAATCATCTCCGCAGTATTTGGGTGAGGGTACTTTTCGTCAGCAGCCGCGATGATTTGATAAACAGCGATAAAGAACGAGAAGAGATCCTAAACAAAATCAGTCATCAGAGGTATGACGATTACATATGCATGCTCCAATTTCGTGCCCCTCGAAGTCATGTCCGCAGCCAACACATTAGCGAGATGCAAGTTCCCGCGATAAATCGCAGCCAACCAGCTAAAGGTTGTTGAACAGTGGTCATTAGAAAAACTTGCATTTCCCGCATATCACGTTGATTGATGCAATTCAGAGAGGCCTTCTTTGTGGTTGCCAAGAAAAGCCGGTAGGCCGTGACCTAAATAGAGTCCAAAACCAGAAAACCGATTTACCGGGTCCTTCGTGATCAAGCCGGCTTTCGTCCATTGACTACAGATAGTGTTGAGGTCACGACACGAGAACAATCTAGAAAACAACCGTAAAGGAAAAAAATACGCGCATACTCAATATCAGCCATCGGTGGCAGTTCAGCCTTCAAATCTGACAACCAGGTGCGATGTAAGCGTTGAGTCAACTTGTGATTCCATCCCAGCCGAGCTGTCGCCAGAATTAAGCCATCCCTGAAACGCAAATTTGGAAGAAATTGATGTCTAACTGGATGCTGATGAATGAGGCATGCAAGGCAATCTGCGTAGGCAGGAAGTCAACGTCACCATCCTCGGCGAACGCAAGTAGAGCAATCATGCGAGCGATCGGGTCCTCAGCCTCGACTGCCCAGCGGAAGACATCTCGGTAGGCATCGTCACCCTCTCCTAAAAAGAGCGACTAACCGACAGAAGCGAGCAAACCGGCTTGTTTCCAAACAGCGATGATGTCATGATCGATCTCATGGTGCTCTGCAATCTCAGCAGCCTGCTCAACTCTATTCAGGGCCAGCAAAATGTCTATCGCGCGAATCGAGAGATCGCGATTCAGGTCCATATTCTTCGTTTCTTTGGCGCGCTTGGCTTGTTCGAGAAGATCCGCCACTAGATACATTTTGTTCGAAATAATTCTAAAAACGAACCCATCTGATCAAAATGGTCGTTCATTGATTCCTTCAACATCAACTTGATCGTAAACGGAATTTGGCCGAACACCAATTCCTTGCCCAGTTGATCAACGAGCACTTGCAGCTCAGTCTCGTATTTGATCGACTTCTAGAAAAACAGATTTACACGCGGAAACAGGATTTCCAACCTCGGCCTCCAACGCAGCAATGCGGTGCTGAAGTTGCCGAAGCGCGAATCCGCTATCGGCGCCGGCATCCAACGCCGGGAACAGGTATGGGCCACCCTTGTCGCGGCGCACCCGTGGAATGGAGGCGATCGCCTCACGCTCAGTCTCCTCGACCGTCTCCACCATTTTCCAATGCAATTGCGTTCAATCAAGAACTAAAAGAAATTTTAGCATTAGATGAATTCGCAGAAACGTGAAAGAAAAGCTAAAAAAAGGAACGGGGAAAAATTTGGAGGATAAACCGAAAAAGAAAACCCTGTCTCCTCCCGCGCTCCCGATGGTTACGGTATGGTCTGTGGTTTAGCCGACAAGGCGTATTGAAACGGAATTTTCACAATTTGTCAAAAAGGCAAATTTTTTCGCGCTTTTACAAAAAAAAACGATTTATCGTTGGGTAAACGATCCAAATTGGGCAGCAAACCGCGCTTTTGCATAGGATTCATGTCTGTACCGCCCGTGGATGTGTATTGTCCGTCAACGCATACACTCTTCAACAACACAATACCAAATCGTTTATCGAATAATACGAGCAATGCTAAGCTTTATACAAAAAAATCTTGGTAGATGGTGCGGGACAGTCGGGGGCGTGATGGTTGCCGGGGGTCTCTAGGCGGCACGGCGCTTGCACAGCACGAGCAGAGGGCCCACAGCCGGGCCGACGATAGCCCACTCGGTGCCGTTGAGACCTGAGGATTTACAATCGTTGTTGAGAAGTGCGGAGTATTGACCGACCAGCCGAGGCGCGCTCCTGGCCAAAGTGGACGTTGCCGAGCAGCTCCTTCTTGCCGTCGGTGAGGATACAGGGGGCGCAGTCGCCGACGTTCACCGGCGTGAACTCGCCCTTGGCCTTGGCCTGTGTGTAGGGGATCCATTTGTATTCGAGGCCGCGAGAGCCCTCTGGTGGCAGGGTGATCATCTGGAATTTGGTGGATGTCTATGGAGTTTGGTAATGGTGTAGTTCATTCCCAGCTTTTGTATCTCGGCTCCCCATTGGCCTTTTGGGGCGTAAGATATGCTTAACAGCCTTGTAGCGCAACGGGGACTTGGGATTAGGCTGGGGATAAACTTCTTCGCTCTAGGTTTTCGTGCTTCAAACCTGGAAGGATCCAATCTCGGCGCCAGCATTCTCTTGCTTGTCCCAGCCAAAGTTGGCGAGCACCTAAAAGATGCTAAATTCAAGGAGGTCAAGGTGGTTCATGCCTTGTCGCCAGCATCGGGATAGGCACGGCCGAACAGCGGCTGTCCGTGCTTGTACCACAGGGCGACGTATTGGTTGTGCGTCGACCCGTCCTCCATCTTCAGGCCACGATCATCGGCACGCACGGGGAGCTGGCATTTGTTGATGAACAGTTGGTTACAACGCTAACTGACCTTGGGGAACGCGTCGCGGTACTTCAGGTCGATCCAGATGTCGTCGTAGACCTTGATGCCGGTGGGCTTGGGCTTGAGGTTGCGGAAGATGGTGAGCATCTCCTTCACGGTCTCGCCAGATATCTGCTCGTTCTTTCCATCGTAGCCGACCATGGCGATGCCCGTGTCCATTCCGTAGTAGCCGAGGAGGGTTTCACCCTATAATAATTTTTGACTTTTTGGTCGTTCTAGCAATCAAAGCCGGCTGAAACCTTTATTTCTGCAGTCATTCAGTCATTGTAATCTGTACTGACCTTCTTGGTCTTGATGATGACTGGGCAGGACATGCCGCAGCGGACGAGCTCCAAATGCGGGACCTTCTCCTCGATGTTCTTGATCGGCAGCCACTCATACCAATAGCCCAAGGAGGCGAAGTCGCCCTGATACGTCAGGATCTGGATCTGGCCACCCAGGTCGCGCTTGCCAGTCAGCTCGACCTGAAATTTAGGAATTATGGGTGGGCCCGAATTAACGATCTAACCTTTGAGTATGGGAAGGAGCACTCGACGACACCGTTGTTGTTCCAGGCACGCCCGTGGATCGGCTTGCCGAACTTGTACCACAGCGCCACGTACATGTTCTGCTGGTCCTTCACTGGACGTCATGAAGTTGAGGGCATGAGTGCTAGAAACGTACCGCGGACCGGGTTGTCGGGGAACGGGGCGCCGATCGGCACGAAGGCCCATGAGTCTTCCTTGGCTGGCATTGTTGAGCTGGGTGCAAAAAGGCTTCGAACACTCAACCGCTTTTTTAAACCAAGCCTACTATGCAAATTTTGAAGCGTCCGGCGTGATCTGGCGTCGTACCCAAATTATTGATGCAATCATACTGTACCCTAAATACGGACTTACGGCGTGCCCTAAAAAAGCCGCCAACTCGCTCGACGCAAGTATCGAATCGTAAGCTAGTTATGCCATCCGAAAGCCCTGAAACGACGAGTTGGCCAAATTTCATAATGTCGATATTCACAATGTCGAACATGTCGAAATTTCAGAATTCGCAATTTATAATCAAATTTCCCGGAAAAACCTTCAAATCCTTTGCAAAAAAGGTTGACATTGCAATTGCGACATCCCGAAATTTCGGCATTATAAATTTCGACATAATGTGTTTCCACAAAATGATAACAAATCTCTAATTAACGACCACTTCCTGCCGGTTGAACCGTTCCGTGCTATTCTATTTGGGCATCTTGTGGAACAGAGACAATAAGCATCCCAACATTTACATTTCTGCGCAAAGCCGCCCGGAAAAGACCTAAATTTACGTGTGAATTTTCGTACAAAACCAGCCGAAAGCCCTAGGCTTTTACCTTGACTTTCGCCTTGACTAATCGACATTCTCGACTTGACAACAATGGTTTGAGGCCCAACATCTCCTGATGATTTCCGCTTTCAGACCCAAACTACCCAACTCGCCACGCCGACCCGCAAGCCGACGTCGCCGGAGGCCCGAGCGGCCGTCGTGGAGAAGATGAAGTGCCTGCTGGGCGTCTTCTACTCCCCGTCTGGTGCGCGAATCCCACATGCTAAAGATGACTGTTTCCAGACCTCGCGCCGAAGAGCAGCGACAACTCTCGTGCTCCTCAGCCGGCTCCTCCCAGGAACGATCCCGCCAGCGCGGCGCTGCTCACGAAGCTCAGGGAGATGCAGGCCGGCCTCCGGAAGAAGCCTCGCGCGGACCTTCCCCTTGCCCAGGTTTCTGTGGCTCCTGGTAGGCCGCTTTCTAACTCCTTTTGTAAGCTTGACTTGTAGAAGTCCTGAACGCCGAGCCGCCGTGCCCGCGCACCGATCTGCGGCTGAATGCCCGCTACTGCACGCCGAACTCGCAGCTCGTGTTGCTCGATCTGTTGCGGGAGCAGCTGCAGCGCATCCAGACGGCTCGTCCGGCCTTGCCGATGCAGTTCCCGGAGCCGCTCCACAGCATTACTGGTAGGTTTTTAAAAGCGTTTCTTAGGCTTAGGCTTTGGTCTTTATTTTGAAAAGGTTCTGAAAAAATTGCGTATTTTCTAGCCCCACCATCGTCGCCGGCGCTCGGAGCTGGCAACGACTCGGCAGAGACCAAGGCATCGGATGAAGCCGTCTTTTGGCCCAACGAGTACTCGGCTTGCAAGAGTGGGTTTGGACATTTTGAGGGAATGGAGAATTTTCCAGTCATCGATGCGCCTCCGCCGAGCCCTGCTCGTCTCCAGCTGAATGGCGTCAACCGCCTTGGCCACCCCGTCGAGCCGACCAACGTCTCGAGCCACAGCATCGGCACCATCTCTGATTGGCCCTGGCCGCTGTCGTTTACCCTCCGCTCTGAGGTAGAAAATTTTCTTTTCTTTGAGTAGCTTGCGCCCACCATTAGCTAAAATCATCCCAAATTTGGAACTTTTGTTCTTTGACCGTAATTTAATGTGTTTTAGTTTGTTTTTATTTTGAAAAACGCGATGACTGGATCAAAATAACCGTTCGAATTTGTGATTCTAGTCGGACACCGACGACGAACGCGACTCGCTCTCCTCTTCCAGCCGCCATTCATGTGTCTGCTGCTCCCCGAATCAATGGGCCGATTCCTGCTCCAACATGCCCTCCTCCCCATCGGCGCATTCCATCGAATCCGATTCTGCCTCGCCGGTTCCTCCGATGACCCCGGATTCTGATGATTCCTGGGTTACCGTTTCTACCTTGGTGAGTCGATTCTGAACATTCTATAACTTTCACTCAGAGCGCCCGGCACCTGGCCGACGAGCCGTGCGACTGCAACATTTGCTCGGGCCTGACGGACACTGGCTACTCGTCCTCTACCACCTCGGACGCCTCGGCCTCGTCGTTGAGCCGTTCCAGCTCGCCGTGCCGCTGCGGAGGGGTAGCGCTTGTTTTGATGGCCCCAAAATTTCTCTGATTTTCCAGACCATCACCATCAACAGCTCGCGCAGCACAGTGACCGACTTGGAGGCGTCGCACCTGGAAGCCCCGGTCTTCTTTGAGGCTGCGTCTCCGGCTCGCCTGGCATCCCGCACCTACTCGGAGGGCGTTTGTGACTGCACCCACTGCAACGCGGCCCGCCTGAACACGTGCACGCGCTCCTGCTGCACCACCGAGGAGATGGTAGTTTTTCGGGCTAGACCCGTGGTTTATCCACAATTTACCATAATTTAATTTTAATAGTTTTAACCATCTTTAAGGCAAACTGAAGAAAACTATAAAAAACATACAAAACGAACCTATGGACAACCTATTCCAGTTTGAGCCTCTGATCGCCCAGCCGTCGGTGAGCTGCCGCCCCTCTGAAACCGCCTCAACCGTCGAATCGGAGGTGCGCTCCATCCTCAACCAGGTCGTCTCGGACGTCGTGCTGGAGACGAAAGAGCAGACCGACGACCAGCTCTGGAGTGACCTCACCGAGCCCGGCCCTCCCCCGCAGCTCTCCGAACGCCCCGAGGACATCAAGGAGGACATGCGCAAGCTGTTGGAATACAAGGTAACCGTCTCAGTTAGCACTTTCAAATGATTTTCCCAGCTGGCCAGCTGGAACTACTTCGAGCGGATGTGCGCGGAGCGTGTTCGCTCGGCCACCGCGGCGCTCGCCTCCATCGACTCGGACTGCTGAACTACTCGAAATTCTTACTGACCCCCGCTCTGTGTATTGCACTGAATAAACGTTTTTGGCAGCGTGTTTTTGTGTACCCAGAGTTTGCACGGATTTCTATTTTTCGCCGGAATCAAAAGATGGCCCGCTGGAAGAAGCCCCGAAATCCGGCGCCACACCGGGAAATGGCAAGAAATAGAGCTTCACTCCGCGAGCCCCTTTACCCCCCGGTGCACTCCGCCATCCCGATCGACGCGAAATTTTATTTTCATCTCCAAAACGGGGCACACAACAGGCACATAAAGGCAATGTGGTATGTGGGGGGTTGAGCATGGGTTGGTGAGGGTGAAATGGGGGGGGGGGTACTGTACTGTTAGCGGGGGAATACTTAATTTTTGTTTTTATTTGAGGTCGATACCAACCTGTTATTACTAAATAACGTATTTTTATAATGTTTTTCGTAGTCTTTGCATGCTATGAGTTACAAAAAAGATCCTGAACCAGAAAATTTTGAAAATTTTGACGATTTTTGGTCATTTTTTCCTACATTTTTGACGACAACGAAAGATTTCGAACATTTGCATGAGCTTTTATAATTAAAAACAGTGTAAATGCTGTAAAAAATGTCTGCATTTTGTTATAGGATCGTAAAGCATTACTGGGAAACATTAGTTTTCCCCCTGCTAACAGCACAGTACCAAAATGATGGGGGTATGGAGGGCTCGTGGTGATGACCCGGTCGCAGCAGATACAAATTGAGTTTGTCCCAAATCAGAAGACGGACAGATGGGTGCCCGTCCTGGGTGGACGGCTAGAGAACGTCGCGCCATTCGCCGAGTTTTTCTGGAATTGGAGGGTGCAAAATAGCTGAAATCTACAGGGTGTGCCAAGACAGAAACAGCTTATCCTTGTCTCTCGTCATGGCATTTTCCCATTCCTACCCAGCGGCCAAACAATACCAACCTGTGAATTGGCGCCCGGCGTCGGCGTGTGCGAGTTGGAGCGATGCCGGCGCGAATGGCGCCCGGAGACCGAGCGGAAAACAGGCGTCTCCAGGCTTCGGCTCCGACTCGGCGGCTCTTTCGGCGATTTGCGCTCCTCGGCGCTCTCGTTCTCCTCCACCACCACCTGCAAGATTTGCGGGTGCTTTTGCATTATCAACAGTTTTCTTCTGCTATTGGTTAAAAGTATTTTTACCGTTCCTAAATGTAAAACCTTATAAATTTTGATTATAAAAGGCAAAATAATAGCGGTTTTTCCACTTAAAAAGGCAGAATTTCGACAAAAATTGGCCTAACAACTGTTTTTCAATTTTTAGTTGTTTTTAGTTAAAATTAAATTATGTTACTAGAAATTTCTGGACTTCTAAACGAAAAATCGACCGCCCCCCTCCGATAGTGCCAAAGCACCGATGGATGAAGCCCAAACCTGCGGGGTGATTGGGCTGGGGCTGGGCGCAGTATCCTGTGGATTCGGGCTGCCCTGGGCTGGTGTTTGGGTAGAAGGGGTGCCGTCTGCTGCGACCGCTAATTGTCATATCAGGTCCCTAAAAAAACTTTCTGTCTCTCTCGCTCTCTCTCTCTCTCTCTCTCCCTAAACTCACTTTGTTGGTGATGTCGTGCTACATTCCGAAGGAGTCTTATCCCCGTTTGAAGACAGATGGGCGGAGATCGTCTGCGCCAACCGCACCGGAAACGGCTCCAAGAATAAAAAGATCAAATTCCGCGGTGCCGTGATGGCGTTCAGCGAAACTGGGACTCTGAAATGACGGCTCGCTTTTCTCGTCCTGCTGTAATTACCGTATGAAAGGCACCCGATTTTTGTACTCCTTGATAAAGTCGTCGAGGTGGGCCACCTTGCGCTCCATAAAGTTGATGACCTTTGTTCTCTAAAAAACACTTTATACGAAAGAGCTTAGAGTTTGCTGAAAGCGGTGAAAGGCATGATACAAAGTACAACTTTGCCGGCTACGCGTAAGTACCTTTCTATCTACCTTGCCCTCGGTCTTGTTGACCGTGTCGAGGACGATGGCGTAGTGCTCGTCATCGGGGTGCCGGGCGACGTACCGCGAGACGGCCGCCATTTGGGATTCCTGAAATAAGGGTTCAGAAGTCCCTGAAAGGTTGTAAATTCGGAGTGCAATGTAACCTACCAAACTTGCGTTCCGCTCCTTATAAATGTGGCTGAGCGTGACTTTTCGCATCTTATAGAAATCGAGGTCAATGTCCTCGAACCGGTCTTCTGAAATTAAAAAAATTAGATTGTTCCCATTACTTTAATAGGCTTGTTAGCAAAATCTAGCCGTATTTCATGCGAAAAACCATTCCAAAACGTCAAAAATGCCCAATTTTTCCAATGTTAATTTTGAAAATTGGAAACTTTAGTCGAAAAATCAACATTTTTTGTGGCTTTTGCATAAAAATGTCTAAATGTTAAGTGGGGGGGGGGGGGAACATAACTTTTTTCCTGTAAGGAATACCTAACGACGTAATAATAAGTGTTTTAATGGTGGTTTTAGCAAATTTAATCGTATTTCAAGTCGCCAAACAGTTCCAAAAACTTAAACATTTGAAAGTTTTGGTGAAAAAATGGCCATTATGACTCGAAAAATCTATATTTTTGTGTTTTTTAATCAAAATCTGTACATTTTTTACGTTTAGGAATAGTAAAAACTGTCTAGAAACGCGTCATTTATTCATAGCAGAAAAATTCACACCTAATCAAAAAGGCTGCGCCCCTGGAAATTCCGAAAAACCCCTGATTCAACAACTCGCCCCAAAAATAGCGGACTTTCTGACCGAGAAGCCCCCGCTAATTCCTGTCATGCGCGGTTTGCGATGCCGATCACTGGTGTAGGCGCATGTTTTTGATGCCGTCTTTTTGGGGATCGCGTAAACGGGCGATTTTTGGCTGTCCACCAGGGCCCACGTGATTGTGCCGGGGAGAAGCCCAGTAGTCCTTTTATTAGAGACCGATCCCCCGGCTATTTTTCGGAATATTCGTGCTCCTTCATTATCCCCGGGAATAAAAAAAATCGGTCCTTTTGCTTTATCGGGGGGGATTTTCTTTCTTAGGATCCAATCCGAAAACCACTCGGCAAACCTAGAAAATTGTTTTAAAAGTTCCCCTTTTGGTCGAAAAATCTGGATTTTATGCTGTTCAATAAAAATTCGTTTTGGAATAAATAACATTTTCTTCGGTTTTAGGAAAAATAAAAAACATCCTGCACTGAGATTCCCTAGCTAGGACCCTAACGACCCACCCCCCGATATTGGAAAAGAACCCAGAAAACCAATCGCTAATACAGGAATGGCTTTTCATTACGTGGATTTTTCTCAAACTCAAAATCTTATATCACCTGCAGCTACCGATCATCCTCCCTAGAATCACTACAATGCCCAATTATGCCCCCAAGAAGGGCTACCGTAATACCGGGGCGCCTAATTGTGTGTCTAAAAACAGCCGAGGCGCGCGATTGCCGAGGAAATATCCGGATTTTTGCGGATTTTCGTAGGGGGCTAAAGTCATCGTTTTGTCCGGGGGGCGGGCGGTTCGTGCGTCAACGGCGGTTCTTGTATTGTTTTGGAATTTCGTGTATCAGACCGGGAAGGGGGGATTGAAAGATTGGTCTTTATTGTAGCCCGGAGCCCTTTATAAAGTGTAAAAAAGAAAACATGTACTGGATTAACATGGAAAATTAGTCGGATAGGCGTAATAGTTGAAAAACGGGTACTTTCGCATTATCGGGGGGAGGGGGCGGATTTTGTATAAATCTAGAAATGTCTAGTAACTTAATAATAAATGTTTTAATATTGTATTTACTAAAATAGTAATTTTTTTATATTATTTTACAAAAATTTCTCACGTTTTCACCTTTAGGAATAGCAAAAAAAACCTTTTGGGACCGTTTCCATTATTTTTATTTAACAAAATAAATCCTTAAAAAGTCCCCCCGATAATGTAAAAAGCCAAGACTCTTTGTAAAACAGTTCTCCTTAAAGTAGCCGACCTGTCGAAAAGAGGATCACCCGACGCTCCTCCTTCGAATAAGTGAACCCAAAATCCGCGAGAAGGCGGCATACGGTTTGGACGGCGTTCCGCACGTGCATCCCGTACAGATCGAGCCTAAAAACGGGGGTTTTCACGCCCAAAAATTCGGCTCACCGTATTACACGTTTCGTAAAGTTGAAATAGTGGAGAAAGCCGCTGGAGCCCTTCTGGTACAGGTCCATTCGCCGCTAAATTTTGGAGCCTTATAAAATGAAGGATATAATGACTATGGTAAACTCAGGGCACAGACATGAACCAAGGAATTGTCGGGTTCTATTAAAGGGTCGGGTGAAGGGAGAAAGGTATCGACGTGGTCAAGAACTTGCAGCATGTACTTTCAGGGTTAATTTTAAAATGTCGAAAATCATGATTTTGAAAATGTAATGTCGAAGTTTCAGAATGTCGAGATTTACATGGGCAAACTGCCTGGAAAAACCGCCAATACAACGCAAAAATGTCGACATTCTGAATTTTGACGTTATTCTTTTAGGCATTTTGATAACAAATCGCAATCGTCACGATACTGAAGAAACCCCGCAATTTCCACTATCCCTCCCTTCACGCGCCCCCTAAACTGAAGTCAGTGGATAATCGGTAAAGTGCGCATTACCAGCCTGGCCTTTTTGTTCGTCTGAAAAGGAGGGGTGTCGTTGGCAATACAACGACTATCGCAATCCACCTACCTCGAAGCGGCCCTTCTCTGCATCGTCGATACCTTTCAGGAAAGCGTGCAGCTCGCTGGACAGCTGTTTTCGGCCGTTTTCTTCTGAAACAACAGGCTAGCGTTAGCCGGAATTTCACGTACTCTCGGGCCCTCCCCCGGTATCGGGTTCTTGCGTTGGCTCTTCGGTGGAGCACAAGTTGAGATCGAGGGCGAACATCACGGGGTGCTTGCGCTCAAAGTCTTCCATCGAACGCGTTTGGTCGCCACGCAAAAAGGATTCGGACCTGCAAAAAAGTTGTGAGGAACATGGAATTCAGGCTCACTTCAAAAAGGCATGCAGCGTGGGCACAATGTCGATGATGTAGCGCTGCTTCATTGTATTGTTCGTAATCCTGGACGACACCATCGACAGCACCCAGTCCAGCGACAAAGCCCCGGTATCGTTCTAAGACCAAAATAAATTGGTTATTGGCAAAAACATACCTTAACCATCTCCTGCACCTCCTGGCTGCCCTCCACCGTATGCGACAGCTTATGCGGCAAGTAGGTGAAGATGATCTCTTCGGCGTTGATCAGCGTGAAATCGAACCGCGCCACCAGCTCTTCGATTATCAGGCCTTTTTGAGAGCCGGGACCACCTAAAAAAGCCCGTTTCTTTAGTATTTCCTGGTAAGCTTCTTTCTAATAACCCTTTTAATAATTAGCTAGATTTCAAGTGAAAAGTTATTCATAAAGCCTCAACCCTATCCAAAAAATTTAAATTTTGGCCGAAAATCCACCTTTTGTATATTCATAGATTTTTTAAAGTTTTGACGTTTAGAAAGAGAAAGAACACTTTAGAAACACAAAGATACCCACCAAAAATGAAGATGAGGCTCTGGTCATTCGGCGGTTTCCGCAGCACCCCATTTCCAATCGTCACCGGGATCGGAGGGGCTGATGAGAGGAAACTGGACATAAACAATAAAGAATAATCCAAAAAACAACACTACCGGTCATTGGCCTTATCGGGGCGCTTGTCCGCGTCGGCGCTGAGCGAGGGGGCGCATCCCATGCCCCTCGCTACCGTGACGAACGTCCGTCTATCGGAGTAGTGGGGGAGCGGTAGGGCAAGTCGAGCCTAGAAGTTGAGTTTTTATTGGTTGGATAGAACTGGGCACTGCTAATGAAAAATTCAAGGAATTGTCGATTTCGGCACAGAAAAAGGACCCCAAAACACGCTACCTAAATCGCCTCTTTGGGTAATATGTACGTCCAATTTTGGTAAGTTTTTAATGATTTTAAGTAATACTTTTAATATGATTTGAAGAATGACTTTATAATTTTTAATGTTTAGAAGTAATGATTTTAAGTAACACCCCAAAGGAGCTGATAAAGGCAAGCGCTAGAGTGGGATTTTCTGCCCATTTTCGCCTCTAGAACATAGGAAAAAATTTAGCAAAACCGTTTTATTAGGCTAATCATTCGAATCGAGAGTTTTTCTATTCCAAAAGATAATTATCGCGTTTGGCGCCAATTACTTGTCCAAGGAATCGGGGGATAACCCAGCCTTGGCCAAGCGATAAACAAAACTAGGATTTCGCATAGGTATAAGACCACTCGGCGAGCTATAAAAGTATACATAGACTTTAGAAAACAGCCACAATTGAATTGCGGCGATAATTCTGAATACTTACCGAACGCGGGTTCTTTCGCGTTATCGGGGGGGCAACTTTTCCCCTAAAAGTCCAGAAATGCCTGGTAAAGTAATAGTAGGTGATTTAAAAGCGTTTCCAGTCAAATTTAGCTACGTTCTACCCGGAAAAATAATAGAATAACTTGAAAAATCGGCAAAATTTTTGGTAGAAAAACCATATTTTATGTATTTTTTAAGAAACTTTGTAAAGTTTTACGTTAAGAAATACAAAAAATCAGCTTACAAACACGGCCACTATCTATAGTCGAAAAATTGGATCCTTAGAAAAATTCGGTCCCCCGATAACGCACAAGAACACGAACGCCCCCTCAGCACACTTTGCCACACTTCCACCCCCCAAAAAAGGAAGAGATTTCCGGCGCGGCGGGGTTATCCCCCGGGGGTGTAAATAGACAAAAGTGCAACACGCCCGGGGCGGACAGGATGGCAGCAGGATGGAATTGAGCGGGCGGATTGATGGGGCCGGATGGGGGCGGATTGGCTAATCCCCCAGCCCTAGATAGAGCCATAGACCCATCGGATGGGCCCAGCATGGAAATGTGTGATTATGAAAGGGCTACCACCAACTGTCTGTCATCAAATCCACCAAGGTGGCGAGGGTGTCGCTCGACCCCCGATGCTACGTTTGTTTACGCCGCAAAAAATGGTGATTTTGGGTACGCGCGTTGAACTCCTGGCGGTTTACTGGAAGTTGTAACTAAAAAAAATCAGGAATTAGAAAACCGGGTACTGGTCTGTTAGCGGGGGGGACAAAATCTTCAAGCAATCCTCTACGACTTTGGGACGAAATCTAAAGCATTTTGATAGCATTTTCTATAGATTTTAGATTTAAAAAGATAGAAAAATTCAAAAAATGTGGAAATTTTTTAAAAAATGTATGAAAAATGCCCAAAAAAGTCAACATTTTCGAAATTAGAAAATTAAAAGACATTTTTATAACTTTTTGACCAAGTAAGAACTTCTAACAAGCAAATTATGTAGTATCAACAAGTAATAGGCGGAAAAAAAAATCCCCCCCCCCCCTGACATCCATACCAACAATAATTAAACAATCAACATGAAAGCATAATTTGACTTTGACGAAAGTGGAGAGCGGCATAAGGTCAATTCCGGAACACGGCAAAATACGAAAATAGCCCAATTTCCGGCCATTTCCGCGCTGCGTAGCCGAACAAGCCTTCTAGGAATCGGCGAGGGAAATACGATATTTTGTAAAAGAAGTTTACCTATAGGCGCAAAATTACTAAAAGAATAGGGCGACCTTTCAATGCGCGTCAGTGGCCACAGGGACTTCAGGTGCGAAACGGGCAAAATGAACACCGCCCGCATGTCTACCCGTCTCTCAATTTGATCTGACGCAAACAACCACCGACACCCAGACATCAAACAGAATGCCATTTTCTATGGATTCGCGCCGTGTACTTCCAGAAAATTTGCAAGTTTTAAGGTAAACTGGAACTGTCAGCTAATTTTTCCAGTAATCCTGTACGTGAGATAAAAACATTTAAAAAAATTTTACAAAATTTAAAAAAAAGTAAAAAAAAAAATAAAAATTTTAAAAAATTTTTTTAAGAAAATTTTTATTAAAAATGAATTACAAAACAATCAAAAAAAACCCCTGACGAAAATGGACGAGCGGCATAAGGTCAATTCCGGAACACGGCAAAATACGAAAATAGCCCAATTTCCGGCCATTTCCGCGCTGCGTAGCCGATGAAGCCTTCTAGGAATCGGCGAGGGAAATACGATATTCTTGGAAAACGAAATTTATCGGGCTATAGGCGCAAAACTGCTAAATAGAATAGGGCGACCTTCAATGCACGCGTCAGTGGAAATCCACAGGACCTTCAGAGTGCGACCCAAACCCGGGTCAAAATGAGACACCGTCCGATGTCTACCCGCCAATTTGATCCGACGCAAACGACCGACCGACGCCCAGACATCAAACAGAATGTCATTTTCTATGGATTCGCGCGGTGTACTTCCAAAATTTGCAAGTTTTAAGGAAACTGGACTGTCAGCTAATTTTTCAGAAATCCTGTACTTTATACTTATTTATTTTTTTATTATACTTTATTTTTTGATATAAAAGATCATAAAAGCTTATAGAAATTTTGTAATTTTTGACTTTTTTATCAAAAATGCATGAAAATTGCTCAAAAAAGATCAAAATTTTCGAATTTTCAAAAAATGTTTAAAAGTTTTTTTCTAACTTTCTAGCAATCAAAACTACTCAAAACATTGTAAAAACACCGTATTTATTATTAACAGGTACATAGACATAGGCGGAAAAAGGAACAAAAATTAGTTCTCCCCCGCTAACAGTCCAGTACCGTTCTGTACCGTACCGTTTAGCGCAATAAATGGGGAAAACGATAGAATATCGAACAATATCGAACTATACTAATTAAATAATTCTGCGAAGTGCTTTTTAGGCGAACGAGCCTTTAGGCAAAGTGACAGTACCCTGAGAAAATTACAGTAATACCACGCCCCCGGACGGACGCAGAAAATCACGAGCCCCCGACAACAAATCTGCACAAAACATTGGACCCTGATTTTTGTGCGCCAACGCCTCGACCGGGTTGTTGTCACCAAATTTTGATTCACGCTCATGCTCCCCGGGGAAATTTACAAAAAAAGGGGGTTAAACGCCGGTGCCCGATTCCCAGAAGATGCCGTTAATTTCGCAGGCGCACAACAAGCCTAATTGGGCCTGAATGGGCAGATATACCAAAATTTGGGCAATGAGCCATCGAAAATTCGAGCCGTCGGGGTACAGTAGCTGAAAAAGGGGCGTGCAACACGAACTACTGTGGTTCTTTCACATTATCGGCGGGGGGTCCAATTTTCTCCTATAAGTCCAGAGATTCGTCGTAAAGTAATAACAAGTGTTTTAGAAGTTTTTTTCGTAAACTTTCCTATAAGGTACTATATTTTAAGTGGAAAAACCATAACAAAAAAAACTTGGAAAAAATTCTTAGGTGAAATTTTGGTCGAAAAAATCGCATTTTTTGAATTTTTTTATAAAAATGTTAGGTTTTTACATTGAAGAATAGTAAACCGTTTAAAAACACTTCCGCTATTTATATTTAAAAATTAGATGCTAAGAAAAAACTTGGTCCCCCCGATAATGCAAAAGAACGCTAACTATCCATATGGCATAGATGATGGAGTGCATCCCGGTGGTGAGGGGGAGAAGCCCTAATTTGCTCGGAGCCCCGAGAAGTGGTGGTGCGGGGAGGAGGGTAAATCTTGGGAGGGATGGGATGGCTCCTGGCAACCCGACGAGATTCGCATAACAACCCTCCGACACGGGAAACAGATTTACATATCCAGGAGGCTGGATGTATCTAAAATTAGACTAGTTGCGGCGAAAAAATTTAACTATTTTTTTGAAGGCAAAAACAGGCAGAACAGCCTTGAAATTTTTTTTTGGTTGTTAGCTCGGTCAAAAATTGCAGATTTTGCGTCTTAAGGCGATATTTTTTGTATTTTTTAATCAAAATTTGTAAGGTTTTTAAACTAGGTTTACCAAAAATAGTTTTTAAAAAAAGTTGGTTTTCTCCCCCCCCCCCCCCCCGATAACGCGAAAGAACCAATAAAGAAGTGCGGTTTTCGCATAAGGAGCCAGCAGAGATTCCTGGAGAAATTTGCAGTCAGCCAGCGACGAATTTTCTGCCCTTCCAGACTCCCAATTGCACCTCGATCCTCCCCGCGCCCGTTCGTTGCCGCGTAGTGTCCCGGAATCCACGGGCCCGGGTTACGGTAGTGCGGGCCTCTCTCCGGCTAATCCGGCCATTGTCGCCGGCATACATAATTGGAAATTACCGATCAGGGGTACGCCTTGGAAAGTGCATAAGAGGGTTAAAGTATCAAAAGCCGGGTGGCTAGACAAGGGGACGGAAAAAGACAAGCTGGGCGTTTGACAAGCCGGAATCCGGCCGAAAGCCTGGTACTGGAATAATTTGTGTTGCTGTTCTACCTGTTAATAATAAATAATGTATTTTTTATAATTGAGTAGTTTTTGTTTGCTAGAAAATTATCAAAATATTTTAAAAAATTTTTGAAATATTCATACATCTTTGATCAAAAAGTCACAAATTTACGGAAGTTTTATCGTTTTTAAGAGCTTTTTCTATCTAAAAACTTTGTTAAATGGTATAAAAATGGTTTTATAGTTTGTAGAGGATATATGACCGTACAGAATTACAAGGAAAATCCACTTCCCTGCTAACCCCCCCCGCTAACAGTCCAGTCCCAAAAACCGTTAAAATCGGGCAAAAAAAAAAAAAAAAAAAAAAAAAAAGCCCCAAAACAAGAAAAAAAAAAATTGGACGGGGGGGGGGGGAAGGGGGGGGAAGGGGAAGGGGGAGCGGGGGGACCCCCCCCGAAAAACACAAAAAAAAAAAAAAAAAAAAAAAAAAAAAAAAAACAAAACAACAAACCCCCACAAAACCCCCCCCCACCGGAAAACAATACTACGCCCAAAAAATCCCGCCGCCCCCCCAAACGACCTCCCGGGGGGGGGGGCCGCCCCGGCCCCCCCACACCCCCCAAAAACAAAAAAAAAAAAAAAAAAAAAAAAAAAAAAAAAATTAAAATTTTTTTTTTTATTATAAAAAAAAAAAAAAAAAAAAAAAAAAAAAAAAAAAAAAAAAAAAAAACTTATAAAAAAATATTTTAATTTTAAAATTTTTTTTATTTTAAAAAAACATTTAAAATTAATTTATTTATTTTTATTTCCAAAAAAAAAAAAAAAAAAAAAAAAAAAAAAAAAAAAAAAACCAAAAATTATAAAAAATTTTTTTAAGTTTCTTCCATTTTATCCGCGATTTTCTCCATATTTTTTTAAAAAAAAAAAAAAAAAAAAAAAAAAAAATTTAAAAAAAAGCTTTTTAAAAATTTAAAAATATTTTAAAAAAAAAAACAAAAACGTAAAAAATTTTGAAATTTTGTTGGAAAAATCGGCCATTTTAGGTAAAAAAAATCCGTATTTTTGTCTTTTTTTCTAAAAATCTGTAAACCTTTGACGTTTAGGAATAGTAAAGAGCACTTCAGAAACTTCTATTTATTTAGGAAATATTGGGTCCTAAAGATAAAAGCCCCCCCGATAACGCAAAAGCACCCCCTTATGAAATACCTCCAAATCCGTGCCATGTTTTACAAAAACAAACTTGCAAAATTTCATCGCCAAAGCCAGATTTAAAATTTAAAAATAGCCATGGCCGCGCTACGTCAAATGCCGGTCATCCCGGGCACCCTATTTTAATCCGACAATATGCCGATTTCATTGGGTGGGGCAGGAAATCCCCCAGGGGGATCCCCCTCTCCTCCCCAAATTGGCCTCATGGACTCGAGCATTAATTTCGTGCTCAAATGGCGGGAAAATGGGCATAGGGACCGGGGCAAAAATAGAGCGAATCCAGCGCCTCGGGGGGATGCGGCATCATGGCCGGAAATTTGGGGCGCCGGTGAGCGCTGAAAATAACCGCCGCCACGGCCGTACCGCCGAATGTTCCAGCCGGAAGGGCCGGAAAAATGTTGTATTAGGCCCAGATGTGATGGAGGAGGCGAAAGTTGGGGTGCACTTCTGGGAGAAAATGAGTACTTGTCTGCTAGCGGGGGAGGGGCGGACAACACAATATTTTTCATTGAAACCGACCAAATCAGACCAAACTGCCGACGAAATCCCTCAAAAAATCGGTACTGTACCGTTAGCGGGGCGGGGGGAACAATCTAGCGCACCTAGCAAAAGTTTTTACATACCAATTTTCGCGTTTCATATGGCATTTTTAAGTGTATTATGGGTCGTAAAATACTGTAAAGTCATCAAACGTCTAAAAATCCGAATTTTTGTGTGTTTTTTGCATTTTGGTGCTTTTTTGCTAAAAAACCAGAATTTTGCGAAAAGTTTCATATTTTTAAGAACCGTCTATGCTGAAAAAACGGCCTAAAATCTATATAAGTGGCTTGTATTTTGCATTGTTGTGAGACTCCAGGGCGATAGACCAAAGCTAGCGCCTCCCCCGGCTAAGAGTCCAGTACCTTTCCAACCTGATGTGCCTTTAGGCTTCGGCGTGTTTCAGGAAAGTTCGGCGTATTTTAATGAAAAATTCGCGATAAGCGTCGAAAGGAAATTGCTGAAGTAAGGCCCGTTTTCGGACGGCCCGCTAAATGTTAAATGTTGCCATTTAGCGCGGGAAACGGCAGACTGGCGCTACCGTACCCCTCCGCCCCGGCTGGACACACTTTTTAGGGAGTAACCACGATTGGGCGAGAGACACAGACGGATCCGCCGGCCGACACGGATTTGCCGGGCGAATGACGCAGGCGGAAGGAGGATAATCTGCCCCCGACACCCCTCCGGCCCTGCTCTCGTTTATTACTTTGTGGTGTCGTCGAAAATAAACTGCGCTCAGAGGCGGTGGCGATGAAATTCGGCGAGTGAAAATGGAGAAAAGAATTTTTCAGAAGCGAAGCTGGTCTCAAAAATCGTGTATTGGAAGTGAATACCATGAGCTTTAGGACGGTTACGAGCCTAAGCTTAAACCTAAGCCTAACCTAAGCCTAAGCATACCGTCGAGACAACCCATTTCCCAATTTTTAACCTGGTCCTGAAATTAAGCACTTTTTACGATTCAAAATCTACGGGAAAACCTAACAAATTTTTACAAAAATGCTAAAAATTTCGACGTTTTTAAAGTTTTTTAGATCGAGTTCCCTTTAAAGTACAGTTAAATTTTACGAATAAACACTATTAAAATATATAGTTTACTACGTTGTGAGGCATTTATGGATTCACAAAAAAATCTGTCAAAAAATCGCTACTTTCTCTTAAAATGGAGAATGACCTTGTTGGATTACTTTATTACCGGAAACGACATGGCAATACTATGTACAACAGATCAAACAAAAAAACCGTAAAGACAGCGAGATCACAGGTTGAGCAAAAGAAATGTCAAAAACATCGGGCGCGCTCCGCGGCGGCACGTCTAGACGACCTGGGTGCGCAGCTCGGGCGTGGGGAACCAGGCGACGCGCAGGAACACGGCCAACGCGCCCAGGTTCAGCACCTGGCAATACAGTAAGTCAGCTTTTAGAATGTAATCCCACCTCGAATACGAACAGGAAAAAGTGGTCGAAACGCCCGAAAACGCGTGACCACTCCTGCTCCACCTAAAAGGATTGGTATTTTCGAGAATTAGCTGAAACTGGGTTTCTTTCAAAACTCGGTTAACGTTCAATTCATTAGAATTTGAACCTCAGTCTAAGCCTAGGCCTAAGCCTGCCTAGGCCTAAGCCAAGCCTAAGCCAAGCCTAAGCCAAGCCTAAGCCAAGCCTAAGCCAAGCCGAAGCCAAGCCTAAGCCAAGCGAAGTATGAGCTAAGCTTAAGCCAAAGCATAAGCCTAACCCTAACCTAAGCCGCGCAGATGTTCGCCATTATTTTCGACGGGCCGGAATTTCGAGATGCTGTATGCCCTAAGACTGACCATTTTCCGCTGGATCTTCTGCTCTTGCTTCCGCCGGAACGATCTCTGCGTCTCGGCAATTTCCTCCAACACCGAGTAGATCGCAAACAGTTCTGGATTTTTCATCCTAAACACTTGGGGTTACGAAAAACGTTACGGATCTCCGGACTTGTAGCGTTTCTCGAAGTGGGCAAGCGGGCTAAACTACAGATTACAGATGCCCCAAGCCGACCATCGCCTGCTGTATCTCGGCCCCTTATTATGCTAGAGGGCCGTAAAGTATACCAAAATATTCGCTAAGCCAAGACGAACATTTTGGTATACTTTACGAACCTGTAGGCCACTGGGGAGCCACGTTATAAAGGTGGGGGCCCGGCTTGGGGGTCTGCAGTCTTACTGTATCTCGGCTCCTTGTTGTCCTACAGGGCTGTAAAGTATACCAAAACACTCGCCAGATCAAGACGAATATTTTGGTATATTTGACACCCCTGTAGGTCAAGGGGGAGCCGAGATACAAGAGCAAGAGTAGCCTCTGTGGGTCATGTTGTTTTTGTCTTTTCTTTCCAACCCACTTGTCCATCGGAATCAAGTCCGGCCGATAGAACGACGTGCGGTAGACGGTCGATCGCCGTTTCCGATCCGGATTCATCAGGAATAGGCGGAGCATTTGTCGGGAGGGTGTCTCATCTAAATGATGCCCCAGTTACCGTACCCAAAGAACACACTCACTTCGCTGGATGTACTGCTTGGCGATGGCGAGGAACGTCATCGAGATGGACACACCGACGGCGCACAGGCAGATTACGATCAGGATGTAATAGCCTGGAATATAATATATTTTAAGGTTTAAAGAATCGGTTAGTTTCTTTTTTCTTTGCTATTGCCATTATTTTATTGTTTCTATTTGTTATTCGTATATTTTAAGGTATAAAAGGTGTATAAGGGCAATTAAACGTATCTTTTCAAACCTTACCCAGTAAAGGTATCGCATTACTCTTCGGCATAGCCCCGGCGACGATACCCAACAATACCGTCATCGCCAGCAGACTGCCAAGCCCAAGCGATACCTTAAAACTGTAGATGATCAATCGAACCGATCCGAGCCACCTTTTCGTTTCGTGGCCCATCCGACGAGCCGGGCGAGAAGATTCCCAAGATTGAGAGGGCCGAGATGAGGAATGTCGGCGCCACGATCACCGTCAGGTAATAGATGGGTCGGCGTTGGAGGTGGAAAATGTAGTGGATCTGTAACGTAAACGGTCAGACTTTGTAGTTTTTCCGGCACCCAGCTAAACATTAAATCTCGCATACCTCGACACGATACTCGCCCTCCTCCAAGAAGTTCATGTGCCGGACCGTGATGTTGAACAAGTGCCATTCGGTGTTGCCCTAAAAAAGGCTTGGTACTGGACTGTTAGCGGGGGGCTTGCCTAGTACGGCCCTCTTTCTAGAATTTTACACAGTTTTTGGGTACAAAAAAAAAACAAATAAAAATTTTACGAAAATTTAAAATTTTTGGAAAAAAAAAAAAAAAAAAAAAAAAAAAAAAAATTTAATATTTTTAATTTTTAGAGATAATTGATAAGTTCCTAGTAATAAAAATCTATTAAACGCACCACAAAAATACTTTTTGAAGTTTGTAAAGTATATTTTAAACTTTGTTTTATTTTTTGTTTGTAACGATTTAAAAGTCCAGAAGTTGTATATTAAATTATGTAAAACTGACCGTGAAATACGAGTCTTTTGGTGGATGTGTGGCGTGTACCACCATCTCCTCAATGTTCAGCAACGGTGAAGCCAAGGCCACCGCGCAAAACTGCGAATCGAACGGGAACATTTCTAAAAGAGGAATTTATAGGTTTTGGGTTCTGGTTCGTTAGCGGTGGGGGACAATGTCGCGCTCCTCTCTCTCTCTCGCTCTCTCTCTCTCTCTCTCTCTCTCTCTCTCCCAATAGGCCTATTGGGAGCCTCCCCCCCGCTAACGAACAAGAACCAGATTTTGTTCCCAACAACCAAACCTGTCTCAATGCGGCAGATACACGACAACTTCTCCGGCATGTTCAGCTTCACGGCGCCGTTGTGGTACAGCTAAAAAATTGAGTCACAGGTTGGCCAAGCTGTCAAACCCGAACATCGGCCTTGTTGGGGGTGAGCATCTCGTTCGTCTCCAAGCTAAAATAGTGAGTGTTAGCGTACTAAACTACACAAGTATTCAACCCAAAAAAGTTTATCGCAAAAATCCGGTAATGGGCTGTTAGCGGGGGGCGCGGGGGTAGGTAAGGGGAAAAAGAATTTTTGTTTTTCCGTCTATAACTAACAGTTAATAATAAATTGTGTATTTTTACGATATTTTGGTAGCTTTTAATTGATCAAAAGTGACTACAGATATTTTGAACATTTTCGAAACTTCGAAAATTTTTCCTTTCTTGGTAATTTTTCACAGATTTTGGAACAAAAACCCAAAAATTTACAGAAATTTTATAGTTTTTACGAGCTTTTGATTGAACTTCCGACTGTGTAAAATGCTATAAAAATGGTTTATTATTTGATATAGGACCGTTTCAGTTACAAAAATCGTACCTGTTATACACGAAAAGCTTGGGCAGCCACACCAAACTCTGCGGAACGATCACCTCGCGTTGGCCCCGATATTTTGACGGATTCCACGATAGCCTAAACATTTCCTTTGAAAAACACGGAAAAGCGCGAACCTCCTGTCGTACCAGCGCTGCGTGTGCGAGATCACGTAGGCGGCTATCTGCTCGTTTTCACGCTAAAATTGCTCATTTTCTCCAGATTTTTGCTTCTTCGGGAGCTAACGGAAGCTGGGCAACAATTCTTCCGGCTTCCGGCGTGCCACTGAGTAATCTTGGGCACACCGGGGGTCCGAAAATTTGACACTAATTTGACGGATGACACCAGGAACCCGAGGGAAGCCGCCCGGTGGGTCCTATTACGAAAATAGGAGCCAGAAGCCCATGAATCAGAAGGAAAAAGTCAGGAGTTGTTACAAAGTTGGAGCCGGAAAGAATTTAGGTACTGGACTCTTAGCGGGGGGGCGGGAATTTTTTAAATAGAAGTCGAGGATTGTTTCTAAACTGACCTTTGTTATTCCTAAACGCAAAAGTCTATCAAATTTTTATTAAACAAATGCAAAAATCACATCAATTTTCCGACAAAAATTTAAATTTTTCAAAAATTTTTAGAATAGAATAAAAGCGGCTTCCCAGCGCAGGGAACCCCCCCCCCCACGCTAACGCTACAGTACCGGAGCTTCGTTCTTTAATGGAAAATTACCCTAAAACCTCGTGTATAGGTCCTCCCCGTGTATAGTTCCGGGTGAAAATTTTCATGTGTACGGAGCGTCCGTAATTCCGTATGACCGTCATTAAGTGTGTTTCGTTTTTTCGGTTTCTTGCAAATAACGCCGCTCACGAATGGTATTTTTGCAATTTTGATGGAATATTTGTTCGTATTCCGACTATTTCCAACAATTTGAGTGGTTTAATGAAAGAAATTGCTGCATGAGGCCCTGAGAACCGGCTCTTTTGGCTTACATAGTTTTTGGGCCGAATTGTACCCTACGCACATTATTTGGTGTCATTTGTATTGGTACGGAACCAAATTGTACCGGAAGTATACACGAGGTTTTAGGGTAACTTAAAAACGACCCACCAGCTCAATGAGTATCCCCAGAACGATCGTCATGTTCACCATCACCGGTCCGTCGGTGAACGGAATGACGCGCTTGTCGTAGTCGGCAAAAATGTCGCGCAGAATCAGCGACGTTTCATTGTCTAAAAACCGGTTATAGCTTTTAAATTAACAAAATTAAATCCGACTTACGATATAATGAAAATACTGTATAACGAATTCCACTTACAATGTGCGTACACCATGCTGCCGCTCGCCAGCATGTAGCTGCCCAGGAGGGCGCTGATCAGCAGCATCCTGAAAAATAGGTTTTGAAGCCGGATTAGAAAAATCTGAGCTTTATTAAAAAGTTCCCAAAAATCCAGGTGCTAATTCCTTAACGGGGGGCTTAGCAGGGAAAACCCAATTTTTAATTTTATCCTCTGTCTCCCTATCCACCGATCTATCCAATCTTCCTTTAATATAAATAGAGGAAGCGTAAAAGGGAGGTTTTTTATGAAAATGGAGTTTACCCCCCTTGGAAGAACGCCCCCCCCCCGTTAACTAACCAGAACCAAAAACAAAAATCAAAACACGCGATCCCGCGCGTCAGCGATTTGTTTTCAGGCGCGCGGCGCAGAGTCTAAAATGCAATCCGGGGTGGATCAAGGATAAAAGCTTGGGAACTCTGGCTAAATAGATGGCGGGGGAGGGGCCATTGGGGGAAACGTTCTCACATTCTCTAATCATTACGAAAAGGACCCGATGAGCTCGAGGAGCGGATATGGGTGTGTTTATTAGCCGAGATCTCTGGCCATCCCCCCGGTCCCAGGGACACCTTCAAAAGCTTGGCCCACCCGTTCGTTATTAGGGCATTTTGAGGTGGGTGGAGGCTTCAAAAAACGTTATGAGAGGATGTGTTATAAACCAGGGATTTCCAGGGACCTTTTGCATTACCGGGGGTGGGGGGGGGTGGTGGGTCCAATAACACTGAAAAACGCTATGAGAGGCCGTGTGACACTGTCCAATGAGCGCCCGAAGAGCTGATTACCCCCGATTTTCGGCCGGCTCCTTAACCAAAACACGATTAGCAGAAAACGACAACGCGATGAGCAGCCGGTTTTTCCAGAGCATAAGACCCCAAAAAAACCGGAAAGAATAGACACCCGAGCTGACTGGACACCCGGGCCACACAAAGCTTCCCCCCAGAATTTGATTAAGGCCCACCCGGCGGTTAATAAAGCCCCGTGTCGCCTTCTTCAGAATTCCCCTTGCCTTGTCAGCACAACGAATTTTTGACAAGATCGGGAAATGGGTGGAGGGGGGATTCTTGGGAACCCGGCCAAGCCGCCTAATTTTGGGTGGTACCGCTTGGGTCCAGGGATTGGGGAAAAATTATGATGGCAAATCTGACTCCGAAACTGGGTACTAGACTGTTAGCGGGGGGCTTCAGCGGCTGTTTTTAGGTACTACATTATCGGGGGTGGGGGGTTCCCATCAGGCCAGAAATGCATCGTCACTCTTGTATTAATGTTTTTAGCAAAATTTAACTATATTTGAGGTAGAAAAACACTGAAAAAAACTTATAAAAAGTTTTAAGTAAAATTTTGGTCGAATATCGGAAATTTGTGTCGAAAATTCTATATTTTTTGTATTTGAATCAAAATTTACAAACTTTTTACGATTTGCTATCATTTTGTCGAAGTTTCGACAAAATAAAAATTTAAGAATAGTAAAAGATTAGGAAAAAGTTGTATTCCACCCCCCCGATAATGCCAAAGAACCTGTTCTCTGCGTATTTTAAAAGTTTTCCAACAAAGCCCGCTCCCGCGATTAGCGCCATTCCGCCGACCAAAGTTCAAAAAGTGTGCTCTTCTCGTCTGTTCGTCGGAAGTGTTACAAGCCACCAGATTAGCCACGACGTAAACAAAATAGCCCCCGGGCATATGCCTAAAATTGGCCCAACTAGGCACACAAAAAAGGGGGTTGAAGCGTGAGAAAAACCTTTCTCAGGGGCACCGGAAAAAGTTGGGCCTAATTCTCTTGTGGGGAATGTGTTTTAAAGGGGCCGAGAAGCCGGATGAGCACAGAAAAAAGAGATAAGCTCAAAAATCAATTTTTACTGACGGTTTTTATGGAAAATCGAGAACGATCGGGGACGCAACGTGAGAAAAACCTTTGGTACTTTCGCATTATCGGGGGGGGGGACAAATTTTTTCCTATAATTCCAAATGCATTATGTAACTTCATAGTAAGTCTCTTAATAGTGTTTTTAGTAAAATTTAAACATATTTCAAGCGGATCTAAAAACTTTAAAAAATCGAACATCTGGTCCAAAAATCGATAGTTCTGGTATTTTTGTAATTAAAATGCGATAATGCGAGAAAGGGGATCGAAAACTGAGCACAAAACAGAAATCCACCTAAAAATAAACTTTTAGGTTTTTTTCTTCTAGAAAGCGAAAAACGTGTCACGCCCGGAAGCTGCGTGGGAACGGAATGGAGGATGTGCTCACGGGGTTTAGCATAAACCGGCCCCCTAAAAAGAGAATAAGCTCGGGACCTAGACGGGGATGACGAAAATGCGAAAAAGAAAACGTTAAATCTGTTCCCCGGAACATCGAGAACGTTGCACCACGAAAAACTCGATTTTTTTACACGAGAATAATTTTTTTAGTATTCTTCATCGTGGCTTATATCGTTTTTAATAATTTTTACTACATTTGGAGCAGAGAAACTTTCAAAAAAGCTTAGAAAATGGTCATATTGGTCGAGAAGATCGCTATTTCCGCTTATAAAACGCAAATTTTTAGCTAATGGGGACGGGAGGATGAGGAATAGTTATAGAATAGAAAGAGGAATTTGCAAAACAGGTAAAAAAGATCCGTCGTACAAAAGATGTAATTTTCCGGAAAATCCGGAACCGGGCATCCGAAAAAACCGAAATCAACCCAAAAACGCCACTTACAATATCGACGGGCAAAGACATCCGGCGATGCGCATCCCGCCGTCGTAAATGATGTGTGCAACAGCTTTGGAAGTGGGCTAGAAGAGCTGTCCACTCAATAGAAGCTCGACGTAACAACAAAACGGGGGTAGAAATGAACCCCTCCCTCCTCAATTGCCCTTCTCTGCGCACGCTGCGTTCGTTCGACCATAAAAACCCGGAAATGGGCCATCAACACTTGCCAAACCAGGAACCCGCCCCGGGGGCGATCAACGCCAAAGCGTTCAGAAAACGGGGGATGCGCGAGCTGGGACCCCGGGAGTAACTTTTTAGGGGCGTTTAAAGGGAAATTCCAGACAAAATCCCGGCAGCCAAAACCAGGCTAGCTTTAATCTCGACAGCCAGAATTCTGGCAGCCAAAATGCCGGCAGCCGAAATGCCGACAGTGAAAACGCCGACATATTCTTGACGCATGTTCCTCTTAAACAGCCATTTGGCATGCCGAGATTTTCGCTGTCGGCATTCTGATTGTCGGGTTTTGGCTTTCGGGATTCTGGCTGTCGGGATTTTCGCCGTCGGTATTTGGGGTTTGGGAATTTTGGTTGTCGGCATTATGGATTCTGATTGTCGGGATTTTTGCGCTTCCCCTTTAAAGGGAACGGCAAGGCAGAATCTTGGGTTTCTTATGGATATGGGTTTCCTAGAACTGCGAAATGATAATGGCGAATTCGATATCACAAAAAAAGCAGGTAAAAGCACTCCTTTTTAAAGCCCTTGAAAATACAAAAATAGAACCGTAAAAGCATTTCTTCCTTGAGCCCCTTCAAAAGATAAAAATAGCAGCGCAAAAACCTTAAAAGCATAACAGACCAGGCCCGCACCCGGTATTCCTGGAATCCCCCCCAAAAGTGCTTTCGCGCTTCACGAATGCGAATTGAAGGCGACGAAGTGTGTCTGTCTGTCTGTCTGTGTGTATGTGCGTCTGAGAGCGAAGATGCGAAGCAGACAGCCGCCCCATCCGTGGCACGTGTCGACCCGTGTGGCCACATCCTCAAATTCAACCCTTCCCATTCCCCCTCACCCGCCTCATTACGCATAGCGGAACCGCGCCAGAATGTTACATTCTCGGGCCAATAAGAAGATGCACTAAATCGCAGAACCCCCAATCAGCCGGTGAATGGATGGAATAAAATTAAAGCGAGGGTTTTAAGTCCTGGATTTAGCTGCGTCCAATTAAGCGTGAAGGAAACAAATTGCTAAGAAAAATGTCTGGACCGAAGGAACATAAAAACACGTTTCTGCAGAGGTTTCTAGAAATCCGAAAAATCGACGGAGGCGCGTTAGAATTTTTAATGCAAGCTATATTTAATTTACAAGAAAGTTTCGACTCTACCTCTATAGAGAAAGCATTGAGCTCAAAGTTTACCCAATAAACGCCGGAAAATGTGATGCGGCGCCACACGCATCCACTAAAAATGAATGCGCTGAAAAAAGAGCCAGATTTCGTGCTCTGAGCTTTTCAAAAAATCACGATCAAAGATCTTTATGCTTTTTTAAACCTTACCTATCTGATTAACCTTCGAAAACGGCACCACCCACCTTTCGCTCCTTTGTACGTTGTTCTCTTTTTTTGGCGTCTGTGTTTCGCGGTCTTCGTGTCCCTCTGAAGAGCCCTCCAACCAGACACCTCGACGACGCGGCTGCAAACTCAATTTTTGACTCTTCGCGGCAAAGGACCCAGGCGTGACTCAAAAAAAACACGAAGCGCTTAATTTGAAAACGTCGGCTTGAAGCTGTCTAGAATGCGCACTAGCCGAAAAAACATGTTGTTAGCCTGCAGCGGGTTGTAGTCCTATTTTCGGGAGGGCCAATGGAAATTCTAAGATCGACGAACCCTTGTTTGAAGTTTGGAAAAGCTGGCCAAAGAGCAACGCCGTAAAACACGGAATTCTGGCTAATTTTATCGGAACGCGGCAGATTAAAGTTGGGGCGTTCCCTAGGCTTGGAATTTCAAAAAATTCGTTTGGGCAACCTGCAACGAACGGCCTTTTGCCCCCAAAGGGCCTTCCTATAAACAACGGTACTGATCTGTTAGCAGGGGGGATTAATCTTTGATTAACCTAAATCTACCTGTTGACCGTATATAATGTATTTTTTTATTTTTTGGTAACTTTTGGATTTGTAGAAAGTTATTAAAAAATAGAAAATATGTTGCCAATTCGATAAATACTTTTTTGGGCGATTTTTCATAAAATTCAAAAATTCTCGAAAATTTTCATCATTTTGATGCGCTTTTTATGTATATCTGAAAACTTTGTAAAATGCTATGCTGGGCCGTAAGCATTAATGGGGAAAATTTGCTTCCCCTCCCTGCTAACAATCGAGTACCAATAATGCCGCCTGTAAATAACGGAAACTCAACCCCGCTGTAGTCAAACTTCGGAAACTCGCGTGCCCTTTCCAAAGCGACGGACGTCACCTGGCCACATTAAGCGTCTAAAGTCGGCTTCCATTATCCCGTCAAAAATACCCGCGGCGCCCCGGGTAATCGGCAATTCTGTGGGAGAAAAGAGGGCTCTGGGGTAAAGGAACGCCTGAATGGTGGTGGTGGCGCTGCGCCTCCACTAGCCAATTTTTTTGGCAAAATAACCCCCAGTTCATTGGGTTTGAGCGCCTCAAAAACAATCGAAAAAGGCAGGGGACAATGACAAATGAAGGACCACAACAGCAGCCTTCTGGTAACTCCTTGAAGATGCTGAAACGCTACAGTTCTCATAGCGCCTCGTCGAAGATGATCTTCTCAAGCTCATCTTCCTAAATAATCAAAAATTCCTTTCACGAAATCATAGGCGCATAGCAGGTGATGTGTTTTCTAAAGGCCAATCTCAAAATTATTTATTGGCAACAACAATAATAATTAAAGCCCACAACGAGGGCACTGCATGCATGAGACAATTTGAAATTCAATACATCCTTGTTGATACGGGCCATCAGGCAGAGTGCAGCGCGGCCCAGAGCTGGTGTCGCAACAGGGCTACTTGCTGGTCGAGATGCCTGGCCAGCGACAATGCGGTCATTCGCTGTAAAAGCGCAAGTTATCCATATAGTAAAAAAATGCATACCTGTTCCGTTGAAAGCTGATCGTGATCAAATGCAGCTATGAAGTTCGTGGCATTCGAAAGATCGTCCATCTGCATTGCGGACCATTTGGCGCGCACGGCTTCATCTTGCGGCGCACAGGCCTGCGTCGATCCCTGTTGTGTGGTCGTCGGCATCGGCTCGTGCTTCAGTTCGGAGCCCATCCAGCGCAAGTTGTGAAAGTGGCGATCGAGCGTGAAGAAGAAGCACATGGCTTTCTTTTTCTGAAAAAAAGCTATTAGATAAAAGGCAGACCGAACTGTTTTATCAAACAAAATCTTTTACCGACCTGCTCTTTGTCCAGCAGCCGCACTTGGAACTCATCGAAGAGCGTCTTGACTTCGGAAAGCCGCCGCAGCTTGTAGTGCGCGAATTCGGGGCAGACCGCGCGATCTTCGGGCTCGTGCTTGATATCAGCGTCCGGGGCAAGTTGTGGGGGTTCCTGCGCAGGCACTGACTGCAGCTTAGCTTCGGCAAGTTCAGCAGCTCCTTGATTTTCGGACAACGGCTGAGCCTCCTCAGGAATGGAAGTGTGCGCTATCGGCGTCGACTCCGCAACAATTGGCACGGAAGTATCCATCGCCTCCACATCAACAGTTTTGGCAGAGTTCTCCTCGGCCCGCTCGGTAGTGATTTCCGCTTCCTTGGCAATGCCCGGTTCATCAGCGGCCGCTTTCGTAGCCTCCGCCGGAATGGCGGTTTCTCCAGCGTGTGTACTCGTTTCCTCAACTCTGATCACCGGTTCCTCGACGGCCTTTTCGATCTCCGGAATGCCCGCCAGTTGGGACGGTTGCTTCGGCGTGGCAAAGAATGGAGTATCCGTCTAAATGGAATCTCGGATAGTGAGTTAATTTACTATACCTCTTTCGGCATTTTCCTATTCTGATGATAATCTGCCAGCGCATCGTGCACAGTTTTCGCCCTCGGTTTGCGGATGGCGACAATATTCTCAACCTAGAGACAAAAAGTAAGAACTAGGAAAAGGGAATATACCTTTGAGGATGGGGCCATCGCCAAGTCGCCGATTGTTTTGATGCCGAGACGGTGGAAGGAGTTTTTCATGGAGAGACCACTGGAAAGGCGAAATAATTAATGGTGCAAAAAAGTCCCGCTCAACGTGATGCTCAAGCATTGCGGACAGAAAACCTCAAAATCTCGTGCTCACTTTGACATTCCGCGCTCAATGCTGGAAAAAATGCTCTGGATGGGCTCGGTGCAGCCGGCCAACTGCGGAAAGATGGCCTGATTCTCGTTGGAGGTCGAAGGACTCGAGGGAACCTTTGGCAGCTAAACTTGAAATCCAAAAAATTTCTCGAAAACCATACCCTATCGGCGCTTTCGCTAGGCCTCCGCATAAAGTCGTTGCCGTCAAAGTAGACACGGCGTTTCTAAATGGGTATATCTTTCAAAACCAGCGAAAGGAACCTTCTTATCGCTGCTCATCGGTGTATTCGGTTTTCGCAGGATACTGGGCGTCAACTTCCTCGGGGAGCCCATTGGAGGAGGTCCACTGCAAAGAATAAACATTTACCGAGCAAATCACATACCATTTCTCGGGCGTTTTATTATTTTCGTCGTCGACAGTGGTTTCACTGCTGGCCTCGGGTTGTTTGGTCTCCTCATTTTCTAAAAAAAAGTTCAAAATAAAATTTATGTATTTACCTGCTACACCTGGTTCCATGATAATGTCCTGAGCCGCTTGATTCTCCGTTGATAACTGAATCGTCGACGCAGTATTACCATCCTCCTTTTCCGCCACAATGCTCTCCACGGCTTTAACCTCCGAACCAGCTTCTCCTGACACGGGCTCAATAACGGTCGGCTTTGTGACGACGCTTTCCACCATGATCGGCTCTGGCTTCTCCGCGACCGCTGGGGCGGGCTCCACCTCCTTTGTCTCCGATCCGTCTATCTTGTGACTCGTAGGAGTAACTAAAGAAGAAAATTCAAGCTACATAAAAAGTAACAAACCTGGATCGGTAACCGGGGTCTCAGCAGACTTTTTCTTCGATGGTGTCAGAAATGACTAAATACCGGGATAAAACATAATCGTTAGGGGCTCACTTCAACAGTCAGTCGCTTTGCTGATTTTCGCTTCTGCTTTTCTTCATCCTTGGCAGTCGAATCCTGCTTCTTCTTCTCAACTGGTTTTTCTTTTTCCGTTGATTTTGGTGCCCGACCTAAATTCAAATATAGCTAAGTACAAGAAAAGGATAGAGAAACGCCACTTTTAATTATAAACTGAAGCCGTACCTCGCTTAGCCTGAACGGGCGTATGCTTCGAAGGCGTAGACTTCACGCGTCGTCCGCTTTTGCTCGAATTGCAAGATGAGCGCTAAAAACAAAAGTACAGCAAAAAAGGGTGACAAACCGATTCATCGTCATCTTGGCTTCCACTGCCCGGCTCCTCCTCAGCCGCGTTCAAGTCGGGGAACACCGTCGGCGGTTTATTTTCTTGATCTTCCTTAGAGCTTCGCCGTGCGCTAAATTGAATTTTACAATGCCAAGCGGTTCGCACCTTCTAGAGTTTGAATTCGCGTGCTTCGAGGGGGCAGAGCTAAAACAAGAATTTAGGCGGGATAATAGAAACGCTACAGCGAAGAAGTTGCTTCGAAAAGTTCGGCGTTTGTGTCCCACATTGGTTTGGATAGTGAATCTTCATCGCCAACAAGTCCAATGCCGCGCAGCATGTCCCTGTAAAGAAAGTTTGGTACGAAACAGCGACAAAATATCACAAAGCATAAAATCAAGTTTTCGCATACTTCTGCTCCTTGTACTTCTCCTTGCGGTGTTCGGTGAGTTTGATCTTTTTGGGCGCGGCGAAAGAAATCAGCGGAAAGTCCATGGAACTATCATCATCGCCAAGCGCTTGTTTGACAGGACGATTGCGCTTCAGGGGCAGCCCTAGAAGATGAAAGGAAAGCGTTAAAAAAGTTATAAAATAACGATTCTAAGATCAAAACTTACTTTTGGCACTGGTGCCTGGCTCTGCCGGGGAATCCATAGCACCGAGAATGCCACTAAAATGAAATGAATATATTCTAAGAGCAACGGAACGATAACGATAGCAGAAAACGCTTATCAAATGATCAGAATGCCCGTGGGCATTGCGGTAAAACGAAAAGAAAGGTGGGAAAAGGGTGAGTTGGGCGGGAAAAGGCGACACGATTCGAATGCGGGCTCGTCGCGCGCCAAGTATCAAAGGGAAAGGTTGATCGGCGAATATCGTAGAATCATTGAAAACCAGCCGATTACAGCCGCTTCGCGACTGCAATCGGCTGGACTTCGGGCCACCCTCCATATTCTACACCACCACATTTAATCCCTACCTTACGCTGATGCCTTCATGGCAATAACTACACTGATGGCTTCAGATACCTCCTCTAGTATCAACTATAATAATTTTCTTGACGCGTCTGTCCGTCCGTCCGTCTGTGTGAGCCAATTCAACTCGAAGGGGAAAGGAGCTAGAGCAGCTCTCTCGGTTCGGATAGTGCGCCGTCAGAAACCCCAAACTGATAAAAAAATTATGAAAAACTTTTAGTTTAAATTATTAAAATTAACTTTGAAAGTTTTTTCCTTAGTAAAAGGGGCGGGGGACGGAGGTTGGGGCGATTTTGGACATAGTGAGCCAGGTCGGTCTACCTTACGAATTTAACCCTACCCGCTGATGCCTTCATGGCAATAACTACACTGATGGCTCAGATACCTCCTCTGTAAACCCCCCACAAAAACATGCTCCTTCCGATGGCTTCAGATACCCCTCCGGGTCGAAATTCGTTAAAATCTACCAAAATACCTCCCTGATGGCTTCAGATATCCCCATGGCTGAAATCCCCTCAAAACTACTTAGATACCTCCTGATGGCTCAGATATCCCCATGGCTGAAATCCCTTCAAAACTACCTAAATCCCTTCCCGATGGCTTCAGATACCCCATGGCTGAAATCCTTCAAAAACTCCTAAATACCTTCCTGATGGCTTCAGATACCCCCATGGCTGAAATCCCTTCAAAACTCCTAAATCCCTTCCCGATGGCTCAGATACCCCTCGGGTCGAAATTCCGTTAAAATCTACCAAAATACCTCCCTGATGGTTCAGATATCCCCATGGCTGAAATCCCTTCAAAAACTACTTAGATCCTCCCTGATGGCTTCAGATATCCCCATGGCTGAAATCCCCTTCAAACTACCTAATCCCTTCCGATGGCTCAGATACCCCCATGGCTGAAATCCCTTCAAAAACTACCTAAATACCTTCCTGATGGCTTCAGATACCCCCATGGCTGAAATCCCTTCAAAACTACCTAAATCCCTTCCCGATGGCTCAGATACCCCCATGGCTGAAATCCCTTCAAAAACTACCTAATCCCTTCCCGATGGCTTCAGATACCCCCATGGCTGAAATCCCCTTCAAAACTACCTAAATCCCTTCCCGATGGCTTCAGATCCCCCATGGCTGAAATCCCTTCAAAACTACCTAAATCCTTCCTGATGGCTTCAGATACCCCCATGGCTGAAATCCCCTTCAAAACTACCTAAATCCCTTCCCGATGGCTTCAGATACCCCCCATGGCTGAAATCCCCTTCAAAAACTACCTAAATCCCTTCCCGATGGCTTCAGATACTTTAAATAATTTAAATAATTAATTAACATAATTAAAAAGTATTAAAAGTATTAAAGTAACTCAAAAAGGCATCTGGGCGCGCAAGGGGCCTGGGGAAGAGGGGCGAAGAGAAAGGGGGCGTGGCCTCCCGGGGAGAGGGGCCCCACTCGTTTTTAAGGCGCCACTTTCAAAGCTAATTATTTTTATTTAAACAAAAACTTTTTCATAATGTTTTGATCATTTAAGGGGTTTCTAACCACGCTCTATCCGAATCCGAAGAGAGCTAAGCTCTAGCTCCTTTCCCCTTCGAGTTATAGTTGGCTTCAGACAGACTGACGGACACCACAGCAAAATTATTATAGTTGATAGGAAACGGTGATATTACAGAAATCGAAGATTATATTTACAATCTTTGAAAGTCTAAATAAAACTCCAGTTTTTAATAGGAAATGAGTAAGAGTTTTGTTCTGTCTTGTGCCAAAGGGCTGTAAAGCTTTAAAGTATAGCAAAATCTTCGCCAAGATGTGTGGAGTCTAGTCAAGTATAATAAAACTCCAGTTTTTGACAGAGTAAAAAAAAAGACTCCAGTAAGAGTTTGTCTTTTCGCTTGTGCCAAAGGGCTGTAAAGTATATCAAAAAGTTCGCCAAGATGTGTGGAGTAAGAGTCATCACAACTGATATATATAAAAAAATTTTTGTCTAAAACGCAGAATCTGTTGCGGACGGGGAGGGCGGGCCGGACTTTAGTCAACGATTACCAATTTTTTAGATGACTGCGAAATTATGATAGTCAAATTTGCATCGTGAATACGGTACTGCGATGCGATACTCTAAACATTCCCCCGGTTTGCCCCGGCGATAATAAGCCGCCTCCTGGGCATTAGCACAGCCCCCTCGGATGGCTCATAAACCCCCTCCCAGCCCCCGGCTATCGGCCCATGTAGTATAGTGGTTAGTACTCCACGTTGTGGCCGTGGCGACGGTGGTTCGATTCCACCCATGGGCAACGCTTTTTGCTTTTTGGGGGTTTTACGTTTAGTGGAGTGCTTTTTCGCAAAGTGAATTCAGTTTTTGATTTTTCTTATCGATTCGTACGTCTAACTCGTGAAACTGAAGAAACCTTTAAGCAAAATTCAAAATGAAGCTTTACTCTTTTCATATTTTTACGCTGGCAAATTAATCAAATTGTATTTTACGCTTCATCTTTATCCGATGTGCACACGAAAAAAAGGCTCAAACAGCCTTTCAGAAATCGAACAAAAACAAAGAAAAATGTCACCGGTTCATATGGCTAGAGCGGAATATCACGGATTGGTTGAGGAGAGTCTGGGGAAAGCGAGAGATGGCGAGATAGTGAGAGGGAGACAGTCGAGGCGAGGGATAGCAACATGTTGAGCAAAAGGTAGCATTATGTACAAAAATATGTGGATAAATTAAATTAGTGGTTTCTTGATCATCAGGAGCTCGTTTGTTTTTGCTTCCACTTGTTGAAGGCGTCGGGGTCAAGAGCTTTTCGGAAGTGCTCTTCGACTGAAATTTATTAGTTTCATAATTTCTCTATTTTTAAATAAGCTATTTAGTCTTATTTATGTGTTTTTTGTAACTTACTGCTCGGAGTGGAATGTTCGATGATTTTGTGTTCCCGAAATGAGGCTCGTTTGGAGAAGGGCGAGGATCTTGCCTGCAAATTTTTGTTATTGGCGCTTTTTTGTTTCATACCTAATAAAATGATAAAATATTGTTTATAATATGATATTTAATATCTTTTTTATAACGATCTACCTTCTCCTCTTCCGTACGCTGTCTTCTGGGCCATTTCCCGCTCAGTGATCGCCGGAAATGTTCTTGTACAGATGCCGTCGACGATGGGATTCCGACGGATGAGGAAGAGCGACGTACCGACGGTCCAGAACTGCTTGCTAAAATATGAGGAATTTATTGTACGCTTAGGTCTAATTTTTATTTTTTTCTAGGGTATAATTAGTGTCGTAATTAACTAAAAATTCTTTATATACTATTTTCGCAAATAGTTAGCAATTAATGGTTTTTAATACCATATTTTCAGTCTGAAAACCTTATTAAAACTTTTTAAAACTGTTAAAAACATCGAAATTTGAGCCAGTTTAGATAGAAAAAAACGATTTCCCAACTGATCGATGTAGGGTAATAGTTAAAAATTATAAAAAATCGTCTAAGACTTCCGGATAAGGTTGTACTGTCATAGACGAATACGCAAGTAGAAAATTCCCCAATATCGTTTCCTGTAAAACGTACCTTCAATGATCACTGATGGCCGATCCGTTTCCACAGAATACGACGGGGATGGCGAGTGGATGATCGTGACAGAAGAGGTAGAAGGGGACGGGGAAACGTTACGCATCGAAAGATCCAGGGGCTTAAATTATATAGATGTAACTTTTAGAAAATAGTTTTACAAACCTTGTCGTCATCTTCTTCCTCTTCCACCTCGCTGATGCGCACATCACGCGTCGTCTCGGTGATCGAGGCCACGTCCATGTCGGTCGGTTCCACCTGAAAAGGATAATTTTTAAGATTTTATTAATTAGAAAGTAGCAAATTTTCAAATTAATAAAATTAACAATCGCAAAAAGCAGATTCTCAGGTTTTTTAAACTTGAAAACACTATAAGACTTTTAAAAAACTTTTCTACACTTTAAAAAGATTACTTAAAAAGTTCCGTTTTAGAAGTGCTATATATATTCTAACCGCAGTTTCATTAAATTTTACTTACCAATCACCAAACCAAAAAACCTTAATGCAAATGCAAAAATATAGATTTTATAACCAAAAATAGATCTTACAACAATTTGAAGGTTTTAGATAGTTTTTCACTTTCAATATCGTTAAATTTTACTAATAACACAATTAAAATAGTTGCGCATACGTTCCTAGGAAAATAGGGATTTGCGGACTATCCCCCCCCCGATAACGCACAAGAACCGCGCTCCCTGGAAATCATCTGGCCTACCTGAAGCGTCCGCTCATTGTGCAGCTTCCACAGCGAGGCGTTCACGTCAAATTTCGGAAGGTTTGTGGGGTAGAAATGGGGGATGGACAGGTATGAGGTGTGGTGGTGCTCAGGGAATAGCGCCGGCGTGCTGAGCATTGCTAAAAAGGGATAAAATTGAGCGTATAAAACGTACTTGACGCCATCGTCGTCGGCATGGTTGGGAAAAGATTCTGGACGGTGGTGGTGAGGCTCGTGCTGCTGCTCGCCGGCGCCCCCGGCAGTAGCGACATGTCGGAGAGCCTGAAAAGAACCAAAAAATATATTTTTATATGATAACCCGATTTTAAAAACCAACGCTACGAGTGACTGCTATAGACACTACGTTTTACAACGCGTAATAGTGCTATTTCCGGTGCTTTCGCGTTATC